TCCACTCTACTTACACTTTATCTTACTATACCTTACACTTGTTGTATCTGGTTATAAGTGCAGCATCACAGTCCTTTCATTAAGTATTGTCTCAGTTGCAATTGCAGGGTATTGCAACTACTCCACACACATGTGTTGTATCACCGCTACTAGACATTGTCAACACCTCAATCGACACTATGGCACCTCAATCGACACTACAGCACCTCAACTGTAGGCAGCACCTCAACTGTGGTCCTGGCACTTCAACCAGTACTGTCACCCAAATGAATAGATGTCCGTTCTCCGAGTCCGGAGCATTTGGGAGTAAAAATGCTTATACTTCAGTGTTGTGTGAATTGGGTACACCAGCTAAGGGACTAGCTGGTGTAGTGGTTTTACTGCTCACTATGTTTCAGTTTGGTTACCCGATTTCCCGATCCCTGACAAGTACCATCATACTGTCAGCAGTCATGTGTCAGGGGTCTCGCGCCTGAAACCCAGGTCGGTCTGTCGAGATACTCGGTGACTATCAAACTGTGTGACAGCTATTGTCTCGGTATCGGTGACTATCAAGTTGTGCAGTGACAGCAGGTGGCGTTCGTTGTATATACTATCGTAGGTTTCGGCTGACCTCTGTGGACACTCCGTTCAGGGGTAGCTCGGCACGATCAATATCAATGTTATGATGACACCAAGGTCTGGTGTGAGTGTTGATGATGATGAGGTTGATGGTGTTGGTGATGAGATTGGTGATGTCGATGATAATGAGGTTGATGGTGTTGGTGATAAGATTGGTGATGTTGATGATAATGAGGTTGATGGTGTTGGTGATAAGGTTGGTGGCATCAACACGAGTGTCCAGTGTGTTGACTTGATGCTTGAAGTGATCCCTGGACCGCAGTGGACTACTGCCTTCGGTTCTATCTTGATCTGGACCACTAACCTGCTATGGGCACCTTCGGACGTCAGGTAGTGGTGATACAACACACACACTACGATGAGGAGCAACCTTGATAGATTGCTGCTATGCTGACTGAAACTAATGTATACTTATGCTGAAGTGATAACTAGTTATATGGTGAGTAGAGTGGATGAGGATCCACTCGACCTATTGATGATGAGAAAGCATGGTTATATACCTCTTCTCAGCATTGCCAGCGATGCTGCTCCTGCTCTCTCTCCAGAGAGTACCTTCTTCATCAAGTACTGCTCAGGGGCCTCTCCTGCTTGGCACCCCTGTGCCTCTTGAGCTGTGTCGACTCCTTCGACACTGCTCCTCCTCCTCATGACCTGGTGTTGACTCCTTCGACACTGCTCCTCCTCCTCATGACCTGGTGTCAACTCCTTCAACACTGCTCCTCTCCCTTTGACCAGTGACAGTTCCTTTGACTCTTGTCTCTCGAGCCCCTGAGTGGTAACCATCTGAGCTTGGTCCTCTTCGTGGCTGTGCCTGCTCCTTGAGCTTGGTCCTCTTCGTGGCTGTGCCTGCTCCTTGAGCTTGGTCCTCCTCGTGGCTGTACTTGGCCCTTCTTTGCATGTGAGTCCATAGGAGTCCATGGTCTCCATGGAGACTGCACTACAACCATGCTCTCTACTGATCTCGACTAGATCTTCAATACCTGTGCTCCTTCCATATGAACCCGTGACCCTCCTGCTTCTTGAGCATCCAGGCCCATGACATGGAGTACTGCCTACAGATGGCATCAAGGGGCTGTGATACAACACACACACTCAGAGTAGAAGCAATGGCCTGCAACTACAACTGAGACAATACTTAATGAAAGGACTGTGATGCTGCACTTATAACCAGATACAACAAGTGTAAGGTATAGTAAGATAAAGTGTAAGTAGAGTGGATGAGCTTCACTTTTCCACTGTGACAAAGTGAATGTATGTATATATATGAGTGTTTAGTGTCGCCTGCGACACTGCTCTTCCTCCTTCTGGGAGGAGGGTAGCCTCTACTACCCTGCTCATCCTTCTCCTGCTCGTCCTGTTCCTCCTGCTCGTCCTGTTCCTCCTGCTCCTCCTGCTCCTCCTGTCCTGTAGGGACTCCTCCTCGACACAGTTTCCTGCTCCTCCAGCTCTGTCATGACTCGTTCATAACCCCTCTCATAATTATCTTAGATCTAACATTGGTGATTTATTTCACTGGACAGAGTCTTAGACTCGTTGCATCGAGTCTTGTACTTTCAATCTTATAGTTTGCTCCTTCCTTCTTCTCCTCTCTTTTCCTTTAAGGAAAAGATATCATAAGTCACTCTCTCAATCAACTCTCTCAATCAACTCTCTCTATCAACTCTCTCAATCAACTCTCTCTATCAACTCTCTCAATCAACTCTCATCTATTCCTTCCAAAGTCTGGTAGCCTCCTCTGCCTCTCGATCGCGCCCTCGTCGTCGTCCCACCCACCGTCGGGCCGGTTCGTGATAGAGTGCTTGTAATACGCAGACAGTTGTAGGATGGTACTGGTTGTGGTACCAGGGCCGCAATTGAGATACTGCCTACGGTTGAGGTGCCATAGTGTCAATGGAAGTGTTGATAATATCTAGAAGCAGTGATACAACACACACACAAAGTTGTTGCAATGCCTGTGATTGCAACTGGAGATGATACAGAGGAAAGACTGTGTTACTGCGCTTAAAGCCAGATAAGATAAGAGAAGAGTAATGTAAGATAGAGTGGATGGGGCTGAGCCCCATCCTTTGCAGAGAAGTGCAACTATATGTACTCATCTACTCCTCCAAGGAGAGCAAGCCTCTACCTCTACCAAGCCTGTGACACAAGGCAAGGAAAAAGGTAGCAAGGGATCAAGCCGAGTCATCGAGCAGTTGTCATACTCTGTACATGTAGTTGATCTCAATGGTTGTCTTCTTTTTTCTTTTATTTACCTTAGTGTTCCATAATCAAATTGTTGTCTTTCTATCAGATATGTGTCATCTGGCTGTGGTATCTGAGTCAATATGAGCCGAACGAGTCTGCAGCTTCCAGTCCCAGTAACATGGTAGCCTTTTCTCTCTCTCTCACACACACACACACTCTCTCTCCTCTTTAACCGTCAGGAACTTGCGAGTCTTTCATGGATCGACTTGTGAAATTTTTCATGGCTGCTAGGTCTTTGCTACTCACATTTGTGACCTTTTCGGCGAATTGTTCGATGGATTTTCGAGGCCCGCTAGCTCGGCTGCAAAAGGTGAAGCTCGCTTAAGAGACGTTCATCCAGACAAGGTTGAGGGGTCCAGCCGAGATGACCATGAGCGAACCGCGGCCTAGTGTTGAGGAGTAGGCCGCGTGGAAAACTATGGTGGCGCCTGAAAAGCGAATGCTGTTGACCTGTGTCTGTCCGGGCTAGGGCGGGATGGAAGGATTGTGTGTAGACGCAACGCTTGCGCATTGACATCGCTATTAAAGGCATCAAGAGATCAGAAGGAAGAGGAGAAGAGCATACTTAATCGTGGATGTGTGCAAAAGCGGGGGATCTCATGGTTTTCGGGAGAACGATTGTCCCGTTGCTCTTCGACTCTTGCTGGCTTGGCAGTTGCCACGTTTGCAGCAACATGTGCGCGCCTCTCCGACTGCATCTTCCATGTCAGCTCCGACAGACCCGTTGCTACAAGACCAGATGGGCCGAGAAACTCAATAGATAAGCTGCATTGTGGTCATTACCGTCGACGGAACAAGGGGACAAAGGTGGAAAGACGCGTTACATTCCATACTGCTTCGATTAACACAAGAATCGCTACGGCAGTCATTACCAAGTCGTGTGTATATATATACGTTGTTAGAAGCATGAAGCAGACCAAGTCGTCGCGGCCCATCCAGCTGGAACACATTGAATCGATTGAATCAAATTTCTTCTGCTTGAAAGTGAAACTTTCCTTCCAAGCAACCGAGTCTCTGGTCAGAAAGGCAAACTTACCCGCTGCACAAATTCAAATGACGATTCATACTCGACTTCTCTCGTCCTCTCTCGTCTTTTCTCTCTCGTCTTCTCTCTCTCGTCTTCTCTCTCTCTCTCTCTCTCTCTCTGTCTTTGTCTCTCTGTCTCTCTCTCTGTCTCACGCTCTCTCTCTCCCTTTGAGTGTCTGCTTTCCTAACCCCTTTGTCTTTATCACTTATTGTCTTCACCTGCTATTATCCTGCGTCCATCTTTTCTTCTTTCCCCTTTCATCATCCATCCGTCCTCCTTTGTTCTTGTATCCTCTTTGTTCGCGTCTGGATCTCTTATTCCAACCCCTTTTCAGAGATCCAAGCTGAACTTGCTTTAATCGAATCTTGCACAGGTGCATTCATCTCGCCCGCTTTGATCCCTTTACCCTGCATTCCTCGCATACTTCCACACGACGCTCTCATCCAAATCACTCGGCACGGCCCTCCCTTCTTCGACCATCGCAGTTGAAGCCTACATTCGCCTCTTGACCTTTCCAAAGCTGCCGTCCTGCTCAGTGCTCTTTGCCAGCCTCGCTGAAAGTTCGGATCCTAGCTCGATTGTGATTGCACAAGCAACACCTTCATTTCGCATTGCAACCGCAATCTTTCCTCGCACCCGACACCAATACGCTTGGGCCTTGCCTCTGCACACCGTGCTACACTACAAGACGTACATCAACAAGCGCATCTCTACGTTCTCTCTCTCTCTCTCTCTCCCGTTTGCCGCCAGTCTTTTCGATCCGGCTCTGACCAATATTTGCTGTACATACGCGCTTTGCCAGGAAAGCACCGACCCCCGCCTTGCTTCATCGCTTCACCTTCCTTGGTACGACAAGGCACAAATCACCTTAGGCGCTCGGGCCCTCTCTTCCCGTCCAGAGCCGCTTCTCCACACCTCTCCAATCCGGCAAAAGCTCGGACCGTCATCAGCTCACTCCGCTCACTTCAGCTCCAACAGCGTGCAGTTGATCTGTCTCACGTAGCTTTCTTGCAAACGAGGGCCTCAGCGCGCATCCAATTTCTCAACTTTGCACTGCCCCTCTCGCCCGCTCCTCATATAAGGGGCGCGACTCATTGTCGTCATCATCATGGTCCTCACCGACAGCTCCGGAAGCTTACCCGGTGACTTGGCTACCAGAACCAAACAGCAAATTACCAGTCGCATGATGAAGACAACACAACGAGGACGTCCCTTTGCCAAGGATACTCACGATCTCTTCGCTACACTCATCGTCTCTCTCGAGCTTGGAACACATCGTCAATACTTTAAGACATATCACAACTCTTTCACCACGGATGAGGCAGCAGAGAACCTTTCCCACCTCAAGTTCTCTCAGTCCAATCGCGTACCTGACCCAAATGAGCCCAGTCGTGTCGTCACCACAACAACCACTACCACCTTCAGCATGAACCGCGATATGGCCAAGGGCATCTGTCAACATTTTTTGGACGCCCGTCTCATCGAGAACGCCGGCGATGCCACCAATCCTATCTTCAAGGACAAAGGTGTCTACATGCTCACTCCCAAGGGCCTTCACATCCTCGAACGATTCATCACCAAAAACGGCATCAACGGCGATCATCTTCTCAAAATCTTTTCCTCTCAGCCAATCTGCATGAAGCTGCTTCACCTCGAGAGGCGCGCCTCTGACGACGAGCTGCTCATCAACACCCCTGTTCTCCAAGTCATCTTCCGCCGTTTTGTCGGCCGTGCGCCGAACTACGAATCAGCGACAGGCGACCACGCAGAGGCAGGTATCGACCGAACCCTCGGTATCGAGATGGCTGACCTCCAGGAAAAGGTCAAGGGTCGTGGTTACCGAACTATCAAGCACACCTTCAACTCCATGGGTGCGCTCGACTGGCTATGCGATTTTACCACCGTCTGCGGCAAGGACGAGGCTGCTGAAATCATGACTCACTTTCAACGTCTTGATCTGATCTCACTTGCCATCGACAAGTCCAAACGCGAGATCGAGCCCTACGACGATCGCGATGTCATTATCCGCGTTGAGGATGGTCGTGGAGGTTCCACTGACGGTCACTTCCGATGTCACGCCAAGACTCTGTACTGTGTCACCGACAAAGGTCGTCAAGTGGCTCGATGGGAGGGTTCAGACACCCCTTCATCCGGCATCGCCAGCCCGGCAAGGGACGACAGCTATCTTCTTGGCGCCGACGACTCCGCGTCTGCGCACCAGATCAAGAACGTACAATATCAGGCCTCTCGCGAGTCCGGCAGTCCGGGATCCCCAGAGTCTCGCCTCACCCGCAAACCGTCATCCAGCGCCAAGATGCGCAGCGACTTTGCTTCTTCTCCCGTTCCAGGCGGTGCTGCGGGCATTGGTCAAGGATTGCATGACTCTTCCTCTTACAGCAATCGTGACAGCAACACGAACCGACTCAAAAACATCCTCGAAGAACCAGCGCTGCGGTCGCTCTTCCGCGAATTTCTCCGTCAGAACTTCTGCGAAGAGAATCTAAGTTTTTGGCTCGACGTGCAGGACTTCAAGCGTCGTTTCTCCATCACTTCTAGTGCCGTTGCCGTGCAGACACCAATCAAGGAGCACAAGAGTGGAATGGGTCGTCGACTCGGTCGCAGCGTCACAGGTGCATTAGGCGGCGCAAACAAGGACAAGGCCGACGAAGATGGTCAGGGCATGAGTGCCATGGAGAAACATCAACAGGATCTGATCAGCATGTCATTTGTCATCTACGACACCTACCTTGCGCCTTCGTCACCTTGTGAGCTCAACATCGACCATAACTTGCGCACAGAGTTGATTCTCTATATGAACAAGATTCTGGCGGAAGCCAGGATCCCTTCGGCTTCTTCGCACACTGCATCTCCTTCCGCATCCACCACTCAACTCAGCGCAACGTTGACAGGTAGCGACATGGCACACGGCCACGCAGGCGAGGCGACCTCCATCGAAGAAAGGAAAGCCGCCGTTGTTGCCAAACGCATCCGAATCCCACTGCATGCCAGCCAGCTGCAAGTGATGGTCAGACTGTATGAGCGCATCCAAGATCACGTCTTTAGGTTGATGGCTACCGACTCGGTGCCACGCTTCATCAAAGACTCCCGCTTCATTCAGCTCGTCAGATCCGTAGAAGAGTACACCGAGGCGCTCGAAGCCGGTCGAATCGATCCCGACCAAAACTCAGGTCCAGCCGTGCGCAGAGCTGTGTTCGAAGCCATGCAGCTCAAGTCGGCCGATATGCTTGCGCAGAACAGCAGCGACGGCCGCAAGTCGGTCGACTCGGGCTCCCACCGCGCAAGTCCTCACCAAGCATCGAAAGCGGCGTCTGCTGTTCCTCCAGTGCCGTCACACACTTCTAACGACGACGCTGCTGTCAGTGGAGTGGTGGCTCCTTCGAACAGCTCTTGAGCCTTTACACGATGCATTTTTTACGATCTTGACGAAACCTCCTCTCCCTCATCACCTTCGCATGATCTTGTTCACATTCACACAGCTTTGATCCCATCCACCTTCACTTTCCATTGCTCCGAATCCCTTGCTAATACGTTTGTTATCCCGCCATCTGGAGATTGGCGGCTGTATCCTGTCATGTCGGTCTACATTGTTCCTCTAATTACAATCTTCATGGGCACACACTCAACCAGTGTGAGGGTGAGCTGTCACCTGCGAGTCTCCAAGCTAACAAACGAACACTGTGAGGTGTGCTGAGGTATGAGCCTCTTGCGGACGCGAAATCCGGCTTACAATTGGCGGTCAACTTCGATCGGTCTTAGCGGATGTGTTTGAGGGGGGAAAAGTGTGCGAATCGCGGGGCGGGTGAAAGCCGAGCGCGATACTTTTGCCTAAACCTCGCCTGGAGCCCAAGATCTTGTCCAAGCAAGACATTCCGATGTGCACGCACCTTCCAGAAAGAGAGAACTGTTCACTGCTCAAGCTGATCCGCATCTACGTTATTTACAACTTTCACCACCTTCTTCATCACCTTTGTCGGATCCGCATCTTTCCCCTACGACTCCTGATAATCTTGTCAAGATGGCCTCTTCAGTAGCACACGGCGTGAAAACGCTCGGCGTTGTCGGTGCAGGACAGATGGGTCTTGGTATTGCATACGTAGCTGCTCTCCGGGCCCAGATCCCCGCCGTTCTCCTTTGCGATGCATCGCCGGCACAACTCCAGAAAGGTGTCAGCTTCTTCGAAACTCTGCTCAAGAAAGATGTCAGCAAGGGAAAGATCCAGCAAGCCGATGCTGACTCTGCACGAGCTCGTCTTATCACCGTTGAGAAGCTCGAGGACTTTGCCAACAAAGGAGCAAAGGGTGCTGCTGATATGGTCATCGAGGCGGCTACAGAGGATCTGTCAGTGAAGCAAAAGATCTTCGGTACACTCGCTTCGACCCTGCCATTGGAGACGGTTTTGGCGACCAACACAAGTAGTATCAGTGTTAGCAAGATCGCTGCCAGCGCGGTGGGCGCGAACGTCAAACCTGGCTCGGAGGAGGCTTGGAAAAGTCCTGCCCGTGTGAGTTCCTATCCCTTTGGATCACAGAGGCCACCTATAGGCATTAGATGACTGACACTCAACGCTCTTTCCCCCTCTAACTGTGATGATGCAGGCTCTTGGAATCCACTTCTTCAACCCAGTCCCAGTCATGACTTTAGTCGAGCTTATCCCTGCCATCCAAACCAGCCCTGAAGTCGTCGACCGATCCCGAGCTTTTGCTCAAGCATGCGGTAAAGAAGTTACCACCTCAAAAGACGTTCCCGGTTTCATCTCAAACCGTCTTCTCATGCCTTTCATCAATGAAGCCGTCATGGCTCTCGAAAAGGGTATCGCCTCCAAGGAGGACATCGACAAAACTCTCCGTCTTGGTATGAACCATCCCATGGGCCCTCTCACTCTGGCTGACTTTATCGGCCTGGATACCTGTCTGAGTATCATGGAAACGTTGTACAGGGAGACGGCGGATAGCAAGTACAGACCTGCTGTGTTGTTGGGAAGAATGGTCGATGCTGGCTGGTTCGGCAAGAAGAGTGGAAAGGTATGTATGCTTGGCTCACAGTCGCATTCTGAAAGAATGGAAGATGACGTACTCACTCTACCGAACTTCTCAAACGGCGCTTTTGTTGACTATTGCAGGGATTCTACGACTATCCCTCAAAGTAAAGCTATACGCACTCATGCGAATCATGTACAAACACATTAATTCTGCAATCGGAACGAAGTTCAGGCAGACAACATCGTCACAGCTGCGGGGGAAAAAAATGGATTGCAGCGATCTACTAAGTGTGTCCATTTCGATACATCCCAATGATCTGATCAAGCAACAGCAAAACGAGAAGGAAAGGGGAAGAGAGGCAATCGAGCTGTCAGCAACTGCCTGTTCCTGCATCTACATTCCGCCGCTTCCCGCACTTTCATCGACCTTCAATCGAGGACTCGAAAGATTCAGAGTATATTAAAGTTGTATGTTGTTTGTAAAGAGTTCATTGAGACGATCGTCTTACAGGACAGGTCGATCTACCCTTTTGATGAAGTTGCATCATTCGATTGTCCTTAAGACCGAGATCGAGGTCGAGTTCGGGTCGTGATGATGGAGCGTCGCATTATGGAAGCTGAAGCGGTGTTACTTACAATTTGAGCTAGACGATGGTGGGAGGAAATAAAGCTGCGGAGGCGTGGAAAGTCGAAGAAATTGACTACACGAGTTGCAGCCTCAAAAAAATGGTCTCAAAAAAGTATCAAGCAATCACGTGACGCGGATCTTCGACCACAAACGCTTTTCGATGGGCCTCCTCACTACGAAGCAATATGGCCGCTCACACACAGATGTTGCTTGTCTAGACTTTGGGATGCCCAGGGTGATGGTACATTGTCCGTATCACAAGGTCTAAGCGAGAGATTCATCTTGCACGTCCATTCTTTGACCCTTGAACACGTATTGAAAGCCAGTCAACAGCGTCATGCACTCCCGTTCTGTTGAACAACATCGACAAAAGTTCGGGACGGTCCGGGTCAGCAGTCGGTCTCTCCATCATTCAGCAGCGGTTCTTCATCTCACTTACCCTTCAGTAGCGCTTGCAAGAAGCACATCCCACTCGTATCCTCTTTCATTCAAGGTGGATCCAGCACCTGCTCGTGGGCCGTACACCTGGTCATCCTCGTCGGCGAAGATGTTGCCGCCCGCTTTTGCATCAGTTCCTATGGAAGCTTGCTCTGGATCTTCGCCGATATGTGCGAGCTTGTTGGCGAACCAGTTCTTGATCGTACGTGCGAGATCGGTTGATATTGACTCGCATTCGTCGGCTTTGTTTGCTACAATGAGGATTGGTCGGCCGTCCAAGCTTGGATGCATCAGAAGCTCAGCTGTGTGAATTGCGGAGGAGATGTATAAGCAAGAAGATCAGAGATTACGATGTTTTTGACCCTGACACTTACACAGCAACTTCCAAGAAGATTCCCGAGCGGCATAAGCTTCGGATCCGACATCAGGATCCAATGCTTTAGCTTTGCCCTTGCCTTTGTGATCGCCATTTTGTGTATTTTGTGATTGGAGCGCAAGAAAGTGACGAGCGTCGACAACCCACATGATGGCGTCTGACTCGTCGTAGTATTTGCTCCATAATGTGCGTACGGATGATGATCCGCCGAGGTCCCAAAAGTGTAGATGCATGTTTGACAGCGTCAGTTCAAGCACTGTTGCATTGCGACATTTAGGATGGTAAGGAGGAGAAGGTGTCAGCATTACCCCCCAATAGATGGTTGCAACATTGATCCGATGGGTCTGGCCTTACCGTTCTGGCCGACTGTGGGTGTGATCTTGTTTGGCGGTAACGCTGATCGCTTCAGATATAGACTCTTGACTTTTTCCAGTAGACATGACTTTCCGACGCCTGAGAGCCCGACCATGAGAATATTGTAGCGTGGTTTCTTCGTCCATTCGGCTTCAGAAAGTACGAAGTGATCGAGCAGAAGGAAAAGACTGTCAGTCGTTGCGATACTTCAGGTTTCGATGCTCGTCGGCTAACTCACCATACAAGCCGGTGACGAGGTGGTACATCTTGGCGTAAGCCCTTTCGTCTGGCGTTTACCAGGTGGGATCCGCAAGCTGCAGCCGGATGGCAGCCTCCGGACTGTGATGCTATTCGACAGTGGTTGTCGTGAAGACAAAGTAGAGTGAAAGAGTGGAGAAGGTTAAGCACCGTTAAAAGTGCCGAAACGCGTTTCGACCCTGAGCTCCACACTGGCAGCAGCAGCGAGTGTTAGACTATTTGCTTGAAAGCCAAAATCGCATCCCGATTCTGAGATCTTGTCCCGATTTGTGTAGAATGAATTGCAGCCACGGATCAACTTGACGCACAACTCACACTTTCCCCGGCAGCAACGCTAATCCTGACCGAGATCTTGCTATCAGCTCTTCTCACCTCCATCTGTGGCCTTCTCTCATACATCGAACACCTTGTAGCCTCCTCGCAGGGCACATCGCCCTTTCAGCAGCTTGCTGCTTCTCTCGCATCAGCGCCTCCGTGTCAGGCTTGGGACTGTCTCCGCCAAGGAAAGCCGGTCGAGTCAAGCATCACATCAACACTTGCCGTCAGCCATTCATATTCAGAAACAAGATGGCGTCAATCGGATTCAACATAGCCTCGACCTCAAGAGGCGCCATGAGTCTGGCGAATGCTAGCTGTAGGCCGCTGCTATCCTCGACATCTGGAATGCATCTCCGTCCTCAGGTCCGGGGAGTGGCACCCATGCGTAGCTTTATCCGAGACAGCGCATCCTCTTGGTCCAACTCCTCATCCTCTTGGATCTCTTCTCCACCACCCCATCCCAACTCCCCCCCACAACACGGCGCAGCGCAACAGCAACAGCCACCGTCGCCTCCACACCCACTACCAGCTCGAGTATTTCCCTCGCCTTCATCCTCGTCGTCCTTCTCTTCTTCTGGCACCCAACTGCCGTACTTGAAACGCTTTTCCACCACCTCCTTCCTCTACGCTTCTCATCACTTCGACACCCAAGCATTCGCACAACGACTCGAAGCATCCGGCATCTCTCGTGAACAAGCTGATGTTCTCACTGAAGCCCTCCGAGACGTCATCGACGAAAGCATCTCCAACCTCGCCAAAGGTCTTGTCACACGCGAAGAGGGCGACCAGACCAACTACACCCAAAAAGTCGACTTCACCAGACTCAAATCCGAGCTTCAGCTGCTCGAAAGAAACGACTTTGCTTTGATGAAGAGCGAAAACGAACGCTTGATGGCGGATGTAGAGAAACTCAAGCAGAGGTTGAGGGAGGAGATTACCAGAACCACTGCGGGTGTGAGGCTTGATTTGAATCTCGAGAAAGGTAAGCTCACAACAGCAGTGGCCCAAAAGGGGCTAGTCAGAGTATGGTGACTGATTGTATTTTCGATATCTGCGTCCAATTGAACAGGTCGTATTCGAGACGAATCCGCGGTCCACGCACTCAAGATCAAGGAGGTTGACACACGTATCGAATCCGAAATCGCTGGTTTGAGAACAAGTATTCAAAGCGCCAAGTTCAACGTCTTGCAGGTAAGCAACACCCCTCAAAGCAACGTCGTGTGAAAGTGAGCAGTAGGCTGATAATGTGGCTTCTCCTCTTCTCCTCTTTCTTGCGCTTCGATCTGTCCAGTACTTGGTCGGTGTCGCAACTGGTGCGGGTGCATTGCTTTTGGCCTATCTCAGAATGTTCCGTTAGACGATTTGCACTCTTCACACAGATCAACACTTCCTGCAATGGACAATCCACAATCGCTCACGCCTTTGCGAGACATTGCAGAGCTCCGAACAACCGCAATTGAGACACATGAGCTTATTCTTCTATTACCATGGAACTGCACATCTACTTCATTTGCGAGGAAGAATCAGCGGCAGCAGCACGCAGCGACAATGTTGCTTTTGCCAACGGAACTGTGCAAGTAATGATTGACGATCCGTCCTTCTGCAATCCCAACACGGGGCTCGCGTTACCTCCTTCTCCCTTCTGATTCGCTTTCTGCCCTTGCGTCAATGGCGACTTCTGGCCCTTGCCTGCAATCCAACCGCGTTCCGAAGCAGCAATGAAGAGATTCGGCAGTGCCATAACTTGATGCTTTCCACCCCCGCCTTGTTTCTTCCCCGCACCGTCGTTCGCTTGATCAGCCTTAGGCAAGTCCTCATTCGAAGCCGGCAAAGAGAGGAAAAGAAACCTTGGTGTGACCCAAACACTGGGATCAGGACCTGGAATCTCGATCGCACTAGGGCTGATCAACTTCATTTCCGCCTTCACCTCTTCTCCACCCTTTTTGTGCTTCGATAGGAAAGCAGGATCGATCTGATAGAACTGAGCATAAGTCTTCATCGTTCCCTGAGGTTGACCGGGACCAGGGCCTAGCTCTGCCTCCGTATCGATTGAGAGCGTACCCCTCGATGGATGCCCAGACAGAATCTGCGCCAGCATCAGCGGCTCACGCTTAGCATCAGCACTAGACCCACTGGCAGGCTCGGCGTAGATGGCGAGGAAGAAATCCTCTTCCTTCTTCACCTTGGATGCGATTTGTCTTGCTTGTTGTTCCGACATCTTTTCTGCCTCTTTCTGCGCACCTTCACCCGAGCTCGAAGCCTTGTCTGAACCGAGATCGAGAGGATGCGAACGAGTCTGAATATCTCTCAATAATTGCTGGGCAGCGTTTGCGTTGTCAAGGCTGGAGATGATGTTTCCTTGCGCTGCAGTGATCTCTCGTCGTGGACCGAAAGGTTGTAGTCCCTCGAAATCGGTCTTGACGCTAGGGATGGGGAGATGGTCTGCATCACGTGCATCGTTGCTTGCTACGAGGGCTACACCAACAGCACCGTGTGTGTGGATGTTGCTGCTTGGCTGCACACCAGAAGGGCCGCCTTGTGGGAGAGAGAGGAGGAGGGTCTGGTCACGACCGGTCTCGAAGGGTGTTGGTGGCGCAAACAGACCAAGAACGGAGCTGGCGGGAAATTGAGTCGCAAGACCCTCCATGAGGCCGTGTGGAGATGTGTCGGAGAAGAAGATGAACGAGGCTGCTGAGTTTGGGTCGAGTGTCTCGAGACCTTCCGGGACCTTGCCTTCCAGGTTCTCACGACCCCAGATATCACGCCAGTCACGACTGCCGCCGGGGAGAGCGCCGTTGCCATCATCGAGTAGATCGGCTCTTCGCTCTGCGCCCTGCTGCCACGACGGCTTGCGGTCCATCCAGCGGCCCACGGCTACTTCGGCCCGGCCTGGAATCGTTGATCGGAAAGGAACCGCATTGACACCAGGAAGCAAAGACAGTGCTGCCGAGTATAGGCTAGGTGATGCAATCGGCTGAGAGCTAGGCTCAATCGCATTCGCTGGAATAAGTGAAGATGGCAAAGGCGAAGACAAGATACCGACTCTTGCGATGCTTGAACCAGCATCTTCGCCAGCTTGCAGCGCTTTCGCTGCTTCTGTCTCGGCCGCGGCGGTCTGTGCAGCAGTCATACTAGCCTTCTCCTCCTTGCTAGATGACGCATCCGGAGCAGGATCTGGTCCTCGCAAGATGGAGACAGCTTCGCTAAGGTACTGAGATGGAAGGTCTTTGCTGAGAGCGTAAAGCAGAACATGGTCATAGTGACCTTTCTTGGGAGATGCGTTTGCGTTGGGAGCAGGAACGAGACGGGAAGCAAGTGAAGTCATGCTCTGCAGCGTAGACCGTAATGCAATGAGAAGACCTTGAGGTGTTTCAGAAAAGAGTGTCAACGTCTGTGCGGTCGCCAACGGTTGCTTGCGCTGCCATTGTTGCCGCTGCTGTCCTCCACCTTGTGCTGGACGTGAGCTTGCCGGTGCGCCCAGACCGGGTCCGACATCGGCTGCTTGCGCGTAAGATCGACGCTGGACGGCGGTGCATGTGGCCTGTCGTGCCGAGGACCAGGTCGCTCTGGGGAGGACGCTCGTTCTTGCCGTTGTGGTGAGCATCGTATATGAGCCAGCCTGAGCTTGCTTGCACCTGAATATTCGAATAAGGGAGTTGATAGCGGGAAGAGAGGGTGCTCCATATGTACCCTTCAGACAGTGTGCAAGAGGGAACCTGAGGTTGATCTCAGGTAACTGTGCAGCTGTTGTACATATTGTGAATGCCCGGGTTCTTCAAAGTAGAAGAAAGTGGAGTCATGAAGCAACTAATTACATATACGCTCGTCGAACTCAGCTGTGACGCTCACAGAGCATGTTGGACCCTTGATCTCGAGTCTCTTCCAACGCTAAATTTGGGTGCCGAGCAATCTTGAATCGGTCGATGTCACCACTCCGAAGCCCGATTGAACGATCTTGCGAAGAAAGAGTTCCGCACGGACGCGGTGCAACACACTTGACACTGCACTTGCTACTGTACTTTTCCTTTCCCCACCTGTTCAGGACACAACAACCTTGATCATCCTTTTGTCCTGAGACACTGCTTCGACATGTCGTCTATCTCATCAGTCAGAGTCTCACCGCTCGCCTACAAGAAGCTCATTCTGCACACAGCCAAGTACCCCACCGCTCGAGTTCTTGGCTTGCTTCTTGCAGATACCACCTCCTCTTCAAACTTGACCATCACCGACTCGATCCCTCTCTCACATCACTGGACAGCACTCGCGCCTATGGCAGAGGCCGCTCTTTCTCTCGCTTCAGCGTTTGCCTCATCCAAGAATCTTGCTGTAGTTGGGTTATACGAGGCACCTGAACTCGTTTCCGACCGCAACGTCTCTCAACAAGCAAGCAAGCTGGCAGAGAAGATCGCCACTCTCGTTGGCAAAGAAGCACTCTTACTACACATCAACAACGCCACATTGCTGAGCCCGAACAACCATTCATTGAGCGGATTCACCGTAGCAGCCAACACATCAACAGGCGGAAAGGGAGAGGCGAAAGCAAAGCAGCTTCAAGAGTCAGCGGTTCTATTGCAAGACTCGGCCAAGGCGAAAGAGTTGGAAGGCGCTGTGAGGGAGGAGAGGACATGGGAGAAGCTTGTTGACTTTGACGGTAAGTTCAATCATACTCGGATAGAGCGTGCGGACATGTTTGGCTCACACTGTCTCCACCTTGCTTTTTCGCAATCCTGCAGACCACCTCGAGGATCCATCATTGGATTGGCTGCAGAACTCCGCCATCACTGCGTAATCGCACATCCGTATTCTGTACATTCACTCAAGCGACCACATTGCATACCATTCTAGTTCCAAAGTTGCTCGCGTGTTTCTTCGAGCGTAGATATCTACATGAGATGCGGCATCCATCAGTGACAGGTCGCGATACGGACAAGTAGCAACTTAGTTCCGTTAGGTGCGATTCTTAGCAAATGCCCCCTTAACCGACATGCCAGCCTTGATATCCTGCATACACTTGTCGTCCTCCCTGCGACCCTTTTCTGCCAGCCTGATCACATCTTCAGCCACGCTGGGCGGGACAACGACCACACCGTCGATATCAGCCAGCACCCAATCACCTGGCCTCACCGAAACGCTTGGCATTTTTGGATTCTTCACCGCATCCCCATCCTTTCCTTCCGCTGTTGGATCACTGATGATAATAGGCACCTGGAGTTCAGAAGGTCTAGTAAACGGACTTTGCCCCTGCGTCGAATGTCCTCGCGCAAACACGGCAAAGCCTGCTTCCCTGTGCTCCATCAGATCCCTACATCTTCCATCCAGCACTACACCTTTGACCTTGAGATGCTGAGCACGTGCAGTCATCAATCCACCCCAAACAGCTGAACGACTGAGCGAAGGTGCTGTGACCACCATCACATGCTCTGGGTATGCCTCTGCTGCATCGACAAAGTGTTTTGCGGGCTTGGGCGCATCCTTGTCCTGTTGAGAGACCATCTTGACGGTGTACGCGGGACCGCAAACCCTCACTTCGGGCGAGTTGAGATATGTTGGAGAATGCATTTCAATGCCGGGCAAGTACCCACCTTCCTTCACTTTAAGCTTGAGTAATGCATCCGATACCTTCAAGAGCAGAACACAGAACGGAAGAATAGACGAGTCATGTCAGCACAAACCAATCCCTCGCTCTTGAGAAAGTCATCGTGCTTGTTGTTCTTGCATATGCATATTAGAGACCATTGCGCGCGCGTGTGTTTGTGTGTATCTACATTTGTTGCAAGGTGGATGCCTCTAGGGACGAACAGTGCTCACCTCGCAAGTGGACAGCTGTGCGAGTCTTGCCAATGTAGCTGCTCCTTCGGTGGCAATGGTGCCAGTTACTCCTGTGGAAGTAGAAAGTTGAGTGCCTTTGGGAACACACATGATAGGTGCCAATGTCTCGCTTCCTGCAGGAGACTGGAAGGAGGAACCGGTAGGCTTGTTGGATTCAAACTTGTTAGCACCATCGCCTCGAGGAACAGCAGCGACGGGGACGGCCTTGTTGACAACAGTCTTGCCTTCAACGTCGGCGGTCTTACCACTGTTAGACTTCTGGTTGTCATTGCTGTGGTGGTGGTGATCGTCGTGGTTGTCCTTGCTCTTGTTGGACTTGCCGAGACCGCCAAGGACGAAACCACCGACAACGATACCGGCAAGAACGTAGGCGCCAGTGCGCTCTTCGTCGTTCAAAGGTCGGTTTGCGCTCTTAGAAGACGAAAAGGAAGAGGAGGAAGAAGAAGAAGAGGAAGACGAGCCAGAAGTGAAGGATTCACCGGCAGCCGAGGCAAAGGCACCTTTGGCCTGCTCTGCGACACTGCTAAAGGCGCTCTTGGCGACGTCGACGCTCTTATTCAGACTCGACTTGGCAGACTCAGAGGAGTTGCTGCCGGAAGAGCCAATGGAAGCCTGAAGATCAGCAAGGATATCAGAAAGAATCCCGTTAGCCTTGCGAGACTTGTTGTCTTCCGAAGTGGCGTGGTCCGCCATGTCAGAGGCGTGCGAAATGGCCGAGCTGGCAGAGACGCTGATAGCCTTGGGCATGAACGGCGATCTCTCGGTAGGCTCAGCAGCTTCTGACTGACGGATGTGAGGCGAGGCGTAAGAGGTGACGACGGGGATCTGAGCACCAGGAGCGGGAGGGTCGGGATAGTAAGGAATCTGAATGTTGAAAGTCTCCTTGGCGGGAGGTGCCTTTTGAGGAGGAAGGCCAGGTGGAGTGGTCTTTTCAGCAGGTTCTTCCTCGGATCGAGAAGGAGAAGCCTTGGCGGTAGTATCACCGGCAAGACCGTCAGCAGCAGCGTTGTGAACAGTACCAGGCTCGAGGTTGGCAGGCGTCTCGAACTCCTTCATGCTTCCAAGAGGCTTGCTGGCTTCAGCGACGGCCTTGGCGGTGGCAGCCTCGACAGTGGGACCCTGGGGCTTAGCGCCATCGGCAGTAGGAGGCTTGCCCTTAATGGTGGCGTGGCCAGACAGCGATGTGGGGGCAGGCGGGACAGGGGAATCCTTCTTCTTTGCAGCATCTCCCTCGCCACTTCGAAGCGAGGCCAGGGTAGACTTTTTACGAAGTTGAGGACGAGCACCGGGCTCGGACATGTTTGCGGTGCTGCCGTTGATGTACGAGTCATGATCAATGAGACGCTTGATCAGATCTTCCTTACGACCGGAGTAAGCCAGACCACGAGACTTGAGCTCGACCTTGAGCTCAGCCAACTTTTTGCTCTCGTAGGCATCACGAGTACTGCTTAGCAAGACGGAGGAGACAAGACCTCGTGACTGCTGAAGAATTTGATACTGGTACGAGAGGACGGCGGCAGAGGTGGCTGCAGTAGGCTGAGGACCGGGAGAGGAGGGTCGAAGGAGCGGCTCCCTCAGTGTGCGGCTGGCGATGCGTCGCAACATTGTGGTGATGGGTTAAGATGGTGGTCGGTGGTGGTGGATCGATGGGAAGCGAGTGTGGAGGCAGCGAACGGATCAAGTGATTGACAGTGTGACTGCACTCGGAAGAGGCAGGAAGACCACAAGTTCCATCTTTGGCGTTCATCACTTTTCTCCACAACAGCAGAACTGTTTTACGGCCGTGTTTATTTCCCTTCCTGTTTGTGCTGAGACAAGTTCAGGTGACACTTTTTCTCAAGTCACATCCAAATTGTATCCACCGAAATGTTCTACGATTCAAATTTGGCAGCTGACGAATACAAAATCTCACGCTCAATACAAATCCTGACTTCGCCGTAGAGACGCGTTCGTCTCTAAAGTCACACACATCCGTCAAAGCTGTCAACTGCTTTAACTGCATCAACAGGACGCTGTATCTCCACAAACACCGTCAGCCTTCATGCTGCTGTATCTCTATCTTCAGCAAGCTTATATTGCTCAATGCAGCCTCTCGTACACGCACGATGGTGTGTCAGATACAAAAGGATGTATTGCTTTGGGGCCAAAGTAAAGACAGTGACTTTGCTTGTATTCCACCACCCTTTCCTTTCTATTTTTCTTTTTCTTTTTTCTTTTTTTTGCGCAAGAACAGATCAGGAGAGGAGGAAGACTAGCGTATGAGCAACATCAGCTGAGCTGCTCGCTTACATTGCTTCCATCTAAAATAACCCTGCAAGACCTTCTTGGGATGGTGGTGTTCATTACTACCTGATACTGGCGCTTCTGTTCGTCTATGCGTTGATAACAGGAGGGCAGTTCCCACCACGACCAGCAATGTGGACATTAAAGTAAGTGCCAGTGTGGTCATCGACGTCGTAGGTGAAAGGGTTGAGAGAGCGAGTGCAGTTCTCGTTCTCCTGACCAGGACATGTTACAGCAGTGTTGGTGTTGGCAGGGTTGATCCAGATCTCTCCTGAAGGATGCTGGTACTTGATCGAAGGTGCCAGACGTGGCACCGGGTCGCGTCCGTTGTTGATGTGTACAAAGCCTGGCAAGTTGGCGTCGACAGCATTGGCGAAGGCCTGACTGCCCGTTCGAGGCTGACCGAAAACGATCGACCTGACCGTCTTGTTTGGCAGCTGCTTCTTGAGGTAGAGAGCATCGAGCAGCGAAAGAGAGGCACCAAGCGAGTGACCTACGGTAAGCACAGGAGCAGAGGGGTACTTGGCGACGGCAGCCTTGACCTGTGCTAGCACAGAGTCGGCAGTACGCAGCCAAGTGTCTTGGAATCCACCATGCACTTCGACAGTGCCCAAGTAGGAAAGACGCGAGTTGATAGGATCCAGCGCAAAGTCGGCGTCGTTCAAGATTGACGAGAAGGAAGAAGTGTTGGTTCCCTGGTGTGAAACGATGACACCCCTGCTTGGCGAGTAGGCAACAATCACATTGGGAGTCGATTGACCGTCTCCAGCCTTCCAGAGCAGTGTAGCATCCCCAACCCTGGCGCCTACAGGCTGACCACAGTAGGCTGCCTGCGAGAGCTGAGCGGGGAAAGAGTACTGCTGATAGTTGGTCAAGGGTGAAGTCGATGCAGTGTTGTCACGAGCAAATAGACGCTCTGCAGCTCTAGCCTCGACAGAGCGCTGGACACCAGCGGGATAGTGGAGTGCTTGCACTTCAAGAGGAGTGGCCGAGACGCTCGAAACCGAGAGCGCAGCAAAGGCGACAGCGGATGCGACCTGAAGCAGCTTCATCCTTGCTGGAACCTATAGAAACGGCGACCGGGATGGTGATGGTGTTAGGCTAACCAAGGTGGTGATGGTGTTAGGCTAACCAAGGTAGTGAATGAAGGTAACACAGCACGGATGGGCCCAGGGGGACGTTGGACCACCATCATCCTGCAACTAGCTTGAGACAGCAGAAGCGCCGAACTTCGAGCAAGAGAGGGGTGCACCGCAGCCGGTAGCAGCATTTCCCAAACCCACGAGGAGGGCCAAGCAAGCAGCATTGATAGATGGATGCAGGTCAAGCGGGTAACTTGAGTCTAAGCGAAGCGACACATTCCTAGTCAAAGGTCTGGGCACGGTTGAAGCAGCGCGCCATATTTGGCAGAGAAGAGGCACTCGAATTCGGCGCTAATCGACGAGACAGCTCGTGCCCTTTTTGTCTATCAGATCGAATTTAGGCGGAGGGGCAACGTGCGTTCCATACAGATTAGATCTCTATCTCAAGAAGGGTTCAAGCGCCAACGTTTCAGACACAACACACGGCGAAACAGCAAGAATGTCTCACTCGCTGGGTGCCACACCGTCGATCAACTTGAAAGCCATCTTTTCTTCGGTTCCCTCCCAGTCGGCCCGCAGTATGCGGTTGGGCTGACACGAGGTCCGTCACCATACAAGTTTCATGCTTGCCTTCCGAACTTGTCGGTCCAAGACTGACCTTCTTCCCACAGCTGACTTTCAGTCTTGCAAAAACCGGCTTGAACAAGTCCGAAGACTAGCCTTGACTAGTCAGTGGTACACAGCGGCCTCCAGCCGAGCTCAGAAGAACAAGTCTGGTCCTTGCAGACGAAGCTTCGGATTCAATCGCCCGCTGCACCTCATGTATCGTTGCCATGAATGCAAGTCCGTTCGCTTCACTGAACAGACGCCACTATGACTTCCCCTGCCCCAAACACAAAGGGTCTGAACAACAATGTGCGGGATAAAAGCCTGGAGTATGAACTCACTTATTTCGGTACCAGATGTGAGATTGATTGATGCGAGAGAGCATTATGCAGCAACCAACGAATGAGCGAACATGGTCACCTTTCTCTTGCCCTTTTTGCTTCTCCTCGCATAGATTGCCGAGGTGACTACCAAGGGCTTGTCACCGATTTCGGGAAGAATTGACCGTTGCGAGTTGCGAGACAGCCTTCCTCCCCTGCCGCTTTCCGAATCATTCTCCTTGCCCCAGTGTGAGAAAGAATAGCAGATAGTCTTATCGCTTTGTCTAGCACCGCAAATCTCGAACACGGAGCCGCGGAACAGCGAGTTGCTTTTTAGTTGGACATTTTCAAGCTGTTTGCCACTCGCATTTCTTCCTTCGGAATTTCGGTCCATGCAGACAATCTTTCCAGCTCATGAAATCCTCTGTCAAAGCATGCTTTCGTCAATGGTTCGTTCAACATTTCAACATGCACACGAGGATGATGGGAGATACAAGTACAAATGCGTATATGCGAGGGCAGCTTCGTTGATGCGATGCTTCGAAGGCGACCGTCGGATTATTGCGAGGTGCGGAGCCGGGCGATCGATGGTATGCTATCGACCGAGCAAGAGAGGAAGAGACCGGCTTCAATTTGAACCGATCCCGTCGCCAGGCCAATCGATCACATCGACACTGATCAAAATAGCCACCATCACTAACACGGCCACCAGCGCGCTGCTGAGCATCATCCATCCGCCTTCTCTCCATGTCACTGCCTCAAACCCTACCGCGCCACCATACCCGCCCATGCCAGCGTGACCTTGCAACGAATTGTACGCAAAGCTCCTATCACCTGGAGCAAAATAGCCTGGTCTCTCTTCACCGTCAGCGCCTGCATAGAGAAGCTGCTCTCGATCGTCGTCAAGAGCGCCAAGCCCTCCGCGATAGTCGTCATCCTCGTCCAGCTTTGCATCCGCACTGTAGTCTGGATTCTCCTCGTCGAGGCCTTTATGAGGGCGACAGAAGTCGAGCAAGTCATTCCTCGAGTCTGTTGCAGGTGCGATTCTGGATGCTATGGTTGGGCCCGTCGATGAGGATTCTGTTGCGTTGTTGAGATCCGGTTGTGCTAGTGTCGCCCTGGACTTTTTCCAAGGCATAGACTGTGCTCCAAGCTGCAACAGCCTACCGGCGCGGAATGAGCGATTTGTGCCTGATGCCGATGACTGTCCTGATTCTAGATCAACGTCGAACAGCGCTACTGCATCCTTGTCGCCATCTTCGACATCGCGTGCTCGACCCTTGCCTTTGCCCCTTGAAGGCGACAGAGGAGGTTGACCGTTGAGAGAGCCCTCGAAGGAGACATCGACTTTGCCGTTCGTCAGCTGTGACAGAGCAAAGGTATCCTCCTTGTTCTTGTCCACACCGAGTACACGGCTGCTGTGTGCGATACCTCTTCTTGACCCTGCCCCGGCCGACATCGATTTGCGGCCAGCCAGCGGCCCTATACCAGGGCTTCGAAGCCCATCGGTCGTACTACTCTCATCAATGGTGGCCTGCGAGCTGCTGCTCATTGCACGAGTGCGATTCAAGCTAGTTGCATTCGAGAGGGTGGACCCATTTGCAATTGACTGGCCGGTGGGTGTGGTAGCGGAGTCGGCATCTAGACTGGCATCGGGAGAGGCCGGGATGAACTGTGTGATGGTGGAACGCACGCCTGGGTTGGGTGAAGCCGAGTCAGGGCTGGGTGCTGTGGGCAGAACCTTCTGCGGCAGCACTGTCTGTAGTGTGATGGCCATGACTACGAGTGCTTCGACCAGTTGACGTCTGGAAAACCAGTGATGTAGAGCGCTGGGATCCTGGGATCCATCAAGGTCGAAAGGCACCGTTTACAATTGTGATGCGGAGAGAGACACTGAAGGCATTCTGTGTGCCTCAGACCCTACAGCCTAGGCTCGCTGCTGATCACCTGATGCTAGCTAGAGGCGCCGTTTCCCTTGCAGACGCTATGTGTGCGTTGATGAGAAGCACTCGCGCTGGTCAAAGATTGTTGATCTATGGGTTCCTTTGTGTGGTCATGGGTACAGTAGTGCAACGAATGCTAACCCCTGCATTGGCCTTGAGATGTATTTGTGCTCTCGAGCGCTGTGTGTGTGGCTTGCCAGATGGTTTGATGATGTGGGGTGTTGTGTTGATGTGAAGGTGATAAAAGTGAAAGCAACTTTTGCTGCCGTGTTATTCGGATGTCGGAACAGAACGCTTGGCGCAGTGAATGTTGGCGTGTTGCTAGCAAGCAACACAAGAGTCTTCCAATAACGAAATGTCTGTTGAACAAATCGGGCAGATCGGAGTGATGCTTGGCAGACACACACGTTCCGCCTCTGTTCAGCAGCTCGGCAGGTCGGAAATGTGGAACACCAAGGATTGGCTTCAAAAAATTCAACGTGTTAGGTTTCAATTTTCTTCCGCCTTTGATCCAGCAAAAATGATCGGAAGACTTGCCGCGGAGCTGCCCAGGTTATCCACTTTCGAGACTTCATCCGTGCGCCTTCCCACAACAAGCTCGAAAGTGAAGCTTCTGCAATGATCTAGCCTAGCTTTACTTACGCCACTTACCATCTCAAACTCACCAACATGTCCGTACCTGCACCTCAGACGTTCGCCTACAAGACGTTCGTCAATACCGACGGCAGGGGCACTTCCATTCCGGTCGATGTCTACATTCCGGAGACCAACAGCCAGACCAAGTTGACACCTGTTGTTTGGGTGCACACCGGTGGTTTCCTTCAAGGGACGCGCAAGTTCGTCCCACCACACTTCTTGCGAGCGGTCGCAAAGCACAATCTGGCTTTGATAGCACCCGACTTTCGCCTTTGCCCGCAAGTCTCAATCTTTGAAGTGCTCGAGGATGTCACCGACAGCATTCGATGGACACTGGACCCTCAAGCAAGGGCTGCTTCCGGGTTCAAGTCGGACCGTGTAGTCTCGGACAAGTACATCCTTGGTGGCTCAAGTGCTGGTGGATGGCTAGCCCTGCTACTCGGTCTCAGCCTTCATGGCCAGGCTAAGCGCATCCCGCAGCCGCCTAGTGCCATCTTTTCCGTCTACGCTATCACTACAGTCACAAAAGACCTCGCACCTTTCTTCTACGAACCCCAAAAGCCACTCTCATGGGCCGTAGACGGCAAAGCCATCGAGAAGCAGCCACTGGAACAGGAAGGACACCTCGCGAAATGCCTCGACGCGAATCACCAGCTGCTCGAGCAATCATCGGTCAAGATTCGAACAGAAGCACCGCCAGCCAGCAACCCTGTGCGTGCAGCGCTCTACAACTTTGCACGACAAGAGGGCAACTATCCCAGCCTTATCCTCCAAGATCCTTCAGAGAGCTCGCAAGTGTGCACTCCAAGCTTGATCAAGTCAAAGGCAAAAGCGGCTGGCCCATCTGTTCTGATTGCTTACGGAGACTCGGATCCGAAAGTGCCCCACTCTCAGTCACAGCATGTAATCGAAGCGCTCAAGTCGATTGGCTACGATGACAAGTCGCTGCACGTGATTGAGGAGAAAGGTGCTGATCATTTGTTCGACATGGAACCGGATAAGGAGGTCGAGGATATGTGGATTTGGCTGGCACGCCAGCTCTAAATGCTCTCGTGAAGGTAGTCAACAAACATGATATCATATATTCACTTTGAGATGCCGGTTGCCTGTCTGTGCATGTCTTTCATATGCTGGAAGCTGGAACGGTCAACTTTGGCGTCGTTCTTGCCATCTCAGCCCCTTGTGCTCGTCTACCTGATCCTCTACACCAGCCCTAAGGATGGTGCCGAGGTCGTCTCGTACCGTGGACATGAGAGCGAAGCCATCAATGCACCTGTCAAAGAAGACTCGTCGCTTCGCGGCTTCGATATGACCTTCACCATTGGTAAAGGTAACGAGATTTGCTGCCAAGCTATTGCTTCAATCGTCGAAGAGCACCTGCTTGGTCGCGAAGTGGAGCCTCTATTTGCCAACATGGGTGAGACGTGGCAGCTGATGGCCTCGGATCCACAGCTTCGTTGGATTGGTCCTGAAAAGGGTGTCATCCATCTCGCAACTGCTGCTGTGATCAATGCCATCTGGGACCTGTACGCTCGCTCGCGCAGCAAGCCTCTCTGGAAGCTGATTGTCGACATGCCACCGGAAGAGCTCGTCAAGTGCATTCCTTTCCGCTACATCACTGATGCCATCACACCTGCCGAGGCACTCAAGATCCTTCAAGGCGCTTCAAAAGGCAAAGCAGACCGCGAGGCCGAGATGGTGGCCAAGGGTTACAAGGCATACACAACATCTGCTCACTGGTCTGGTTACGACGATGCCAAGGTAGCTCGTCTGACCCGGTCTGCACTGGAACAGGGCTTTAACCACTTCAAGCTCAAGGTGGGCGCGGATGTTGATGACGACATTCGCAGACTTTCGCTGATGCGCTCAATCGTCGACAACCCCAAGTAGATGCCCGCTGGACGAAAGGAGCCCAGCCCGGGAAGCTTGGCTGGCAAGAACGCTGGACCCACGGGTTGTGTGGTAATGGTAGATGCTAAGCAGGTATGGGATGTGCAAGAGGCCATCGATTACATGGAGAAGCTTGCTCACCTCCGACCTTGGTTCATCGAAGAACCCACCGCACCTGGTGATGTTCTCGGCCACGCGGCCATTCGACGCGGTATCAAGCACCTCGGCATTGGTGTTGCGACAGGAGAGAACGTTCACAACCGTATGACGTTCAAGCAGCTGCTTCAGGCCGATTGCATTGACGTGGTTCAGATCGACTCTTGCCGTCTTGCCGACGTCAACGAGATCCTGGCGGTGATGCTGATGGCCAAGAAGTTTGGCAAGATCGTCTGCCCTCACGCTGGTGGAGTTGGTCTTTGCGAGTACGTTGTGCATTTGAGTCTGATCGACTACATTTGCATCAGCGCTGAAAACGAGCGAAATGTGCTGGAATGGGTGGACCGCCTCGATGAGCACTTTGTTTACCCTGTCAGCATCAACGGTGCTGGTTGCTACAACGTTCCTATGGACGCTCAGGATGAATACAGCATTGAGATGCTCAAGGGTTCGATCGAGGACTACAGCTTCCCACAAGGATATTACTGGAAGACGGGAAGTGCTCGGACCGCACCCCCTTCTGGACACTAGGTATCCCTTCTCTCATACTTGCCTGGATACCGGAATCATGGAATGCATCTATTCGGAACGGATCTTTTGTTGGTGTAGCCAGCGTCTGACAGCGTGTGGACAAGTATCGTGAGCGTGAGTGGGCATGTGTGAAGAAAACACGCTCACCAGGTTCGCAGAAGAGCTGCGATGCTTCGAACAAGCGATCGGGTCTCATTCCGATTGAGCTGCCAATGAGCCACCTCCATCATGCTGTTATGAATAGCGGCAGCGGGAACAAGGATCAGAGGCGGATGACGATGCGCTTGAGACGAACAAAAGGCAAATGAGAAAAGGTGGGGTAAGAGTCAAGGCGGGTCCGATCTGTGGGGACAAGTCTAGCCGAAGACAGAGTTGCAATCATGGACGAGTCTTGATCACAAGACCTCAACACATCCATACGATACCATGAATAGCTTTCGTAACCGTCTATCCCATTCGTCTTTCAGCTGTTGCATAACAAGAACTGAAGGTTTCATTGTCTCCTCGAATGAATGAAAGAAGAAGACTTGGCTGGCATACTGTAAAATCAAACGGTCACGTCGAAAGTAATTGCTTTACCTTGAGCAGCGTCATCGATCGATCGGAGCCTTTCTACAACACGCCCGATCGGCAACACTTGAGGTGTTCCATGTTTTTCTTTCCAGGCAGAGCTTACCTAAGCAGTGAGTTTTCAAAATCAAAAAAAAAAAAAAAAAAAAAAAAAAAAAAAAAAAAAAAAAAAAAAAGAAAAAGAAACCAGTGAAAACTCAGAGAAAACTGAAACCTCCTTATTCTGTTTCGTGCTGTGGATTTACAGTAATTCAGGGTCTGCCAGCTTCACCCTCTTTTGTTCGACGAGAAAGTTCAACCAAACCAGCTTCAAGACTGAGCTTGGATTACTTTGAATGTCAATCGAGGCATTGTTGGAGCGGAGAGAGTAAACTTCAGAGCTTGAGAGTGATGTCGTTCAAGTCACAACTGTAGTTTGGTGAGCGAAGGGAAGGAGGAGTAAAAGGCGACTTCGAATGCAACTGTGTCACAGGATCAATTGTCGGAATTCCTGCGGCTATTTTCCGGTTCTGCAAGCCTTGAACCCTTTTTTTTGTTTTTTGTTTTTTTGGTTTTTGGTTTTTTGTTTTTGGTTTTTTGTTTTTTGTTTTTTGTTTTTTGTTTTTTGTTTGATTCCATCACATCACTCACTGACCCATTCATCACCGCTCACAAGAACGTCACAATTCTTTTGCTCTGCTCCATCACACACTCAGTCGACATTGGCTGAGTCGTAGAAGCCATCGACGTCGAATCCCTTCCTCCTTCCGTTCGTCTTTCTTCCTTCATGACCACGAGCTGGGCCATAGGGAACGAACGTTTCAAACACAGCCACAACCACCGAGACTGCACTCTGTACATCGAGCCGGTCAAGTTGACAGGCATGATCCTACAAACATTTTCATAGCCCTGACCGAGGCCCATCGAACGACCAGACGTATCAAGATACGATATACCATCTCAGGAGATGCTTCATTCGTCGCTGAAACGTCTGTATCGAGCCGAGCCTTCAATCGCCACTTTCCACCACTGGACGCCTCCACCACAAACATCGAGTCCAGCAGAGACTTTCAGCTCATCAACTTCAACGCGGCCATGTCGCCATCAGTGCGCATAGACGATGACAAGCCTGCAGTGGCCTCGTCTGGTCCCGAAGCTGTCTCCTCACGGCGACCAGAGCTGCTCGATCTCGACCTGGACGAACTCTCCCCGCTCCCACCAGCACAAGGATTCTCCTCCAACAGCAGGCCTGCTTCCATTGAGCGCCTTTCAAGTCTCAAACGTGATGCTGCCTCTCGCCCAGAGCCGTTACAGGCTGTAGCACCCTCGCCTGCTCTGAGCGCCGCACCCTCATCCTTCCGCTTGGAGGGTTCACCTGCAAGTTCTTCACATCCCGTGGACACCTTCGACGAATTGCCCTCTCGCGCACGACCCTCCAGCAACTACCAGGAAAAGCCTACAGCTCCTCCGGCAGAAGCAAGTCCATCTCGACCAGAGCTTGACATCAACACCAACCTCGAGCCGGAGCAAGTGCAGCAGCAACACCCGTCTCTATATCCAACTTCAGCACCGTCCGCTCGCTATGTAACCGTATCCGCCATCCTATCACGCTCAGAGATGTATTATGCGCCCGAAACTTCTGATCAGTGGGATATTCTCCGCTCGCCTCATGCGTTACCAACAGATGCACGCCAGTCACACGATCCTTATACCTCCGAGCAGTTCGGGAGCTCACGAAGAAGGAGGAGCCAACGCAAGCGACCCAGCAATGGTAGTGCAATCGAAGCGCTAGGCGCGCTGCTTCTGCGTAAGGACAGCTCCGGTAGAGTTGCGAACCTCTCGTTTGTCCGTGAGAACGATGACAGTGGTGTCACGTTGAACAAAAGCAGAGATCGAAGGCAGTCGCAGTCGACCAGCAGCAAGCGTGGAACTGCATCTAAGCAAGGCCTACAGACCTGGACCAGCGCACTCGGCTCCTTCGGCAAGAAGAAACTTCGTCTTCAGCTACCGCAATCAGCATCGTCGCAAGCATCTTCGTCTAGAAGCGGCGCGACCATTGCCGAGCGCAGAGCACAAATGTGGCACCAAGTCCTCACTCGACAAGGTGCTGTCGTAGAGGGCAATCATGACGGCTTCTCAAAGGTCCGCAGCAGACGCGGTGGACTTAGCTTCGAAGTCGGCAAAGTCAACCGCAAACAAACACCATCCAGCCTGCTGCAACTCAACAACTACACACCTCACACCAGAGGCAAGCAGAGATTGGATTCGAGCGAAGAAAAAGGGCAGGATGAGCCGCAAAGCAAGAAGCACCTGGACACAAATGGCGCCAGCTCACCAGGCTTCGGCTTCGGCCGTCTACCTGACACGATCGTGCTCAAAGCAGGACGTCGGCCAAAACTCACACAGACTTCCAAGTCGGAATTTGGTATCGGTTCTGCTTACCACGACCACACCCTTCCTGAGGCGCCTCCCAGTCCTGTTGCCATGCCAGGAGCTTGGCAGGGTGGCTCTTCTTGGCGATCCAAACCAGGCGATGGCTACGAAGAGGGTGCACTGGTGCTACCACCGCCCTTGCTCGACGACCACGGCAGCGATGCTTCCAGTTTCGAAGGCCTGCTCGGCGTACGTCGCATGCGCGAGCGTGAAAAGGCAAGAAAGCAGGCCGAGAAGCTTGCCGCACGCAACCGTCCAGCCCACAAGGTGGGTCCTCTTACAGCTCTCACCAACTTCGTCAAAGCTGCACACGCTGCAGAGACATCTGCGAAATGCGCTCAAGGATACCGACGCTTTGACCAGCCTCCAGCCTTTCTCCGGAGCTACACAGAGCCTGCTCAGCTGGTGCGATCTAGATCAGGCTCAGCTGGCAGCGCCTCCCGCATCAAGATTGAAAAATCGCCCGTTGCAGGCCCGAACGGTATTCTCGACGGTGATGCATCGTCCCCCTTGACCGCGAACGGCGCAGGTGCGATACAAGCCGCTGAGACCGACACTCCCATGCAAATCAGGCTCGACGCATCTCCTGCTACTGCTGCAGTAGCGTCCGACGTCGAGGTCCGCAAAAGCCCGGCAGTCACATCAGCAAGCCCATTCTTGTCCGCAGCAGCACGTCGAGCTGTCCCTTCACGCCGTGGATCCCGCAACAACTCAGTCGATGCCGCTGGTCGGCACCTGAATACGGTCTTCGAGTCTGAACCTCTTGATCCAAGCCAGATCCCGGACGATGAGCTTGCTTCACCGGATCTGCCCCCGATCTCTTCGCCACTGCTACGTCCTTCCTCAAGAGGTTCAAGCAAATCGAATGCATTCCGCGACTTCCCAGCAGCACCACGCCTACTCCCAGTTCAGCTTTCTATGCCTTCTTCCCCCTTCACACCATTAGCACCGGACCATCGCTCAATGGGTCCACCGACTACCGCCAACGGCGACTACCTGTCTGCTCGTTACATCCACTCAGCACCTCGAACGCCGCAGCTCCCACCGACCATGCTCAGCTTGCCACCCTCACCCTGGACGCCATACGGAGAACCTTCAGGCCTGCATGCTCCGCCTATGGTTCATCTCCACCTCAATACGAGCAGCTCGTCGCTGCGTCTGCCACCAGGCACGCCGAGGCTCGTGCCGACGCATATCGAAGTCCTCCCGTCACCCTTCCCCACTTCAGCTGCTTCCCGCCGCGGTTCGCTCACATACGACAGTCCATCAGGCTTGCGCGCGATTGGTAGTGCTAGATCACCTCTGACAGGAGCCACGACAGACTTCACCGCCTTTTCTGCTTTGCGCGATGCGGAAACCGCCGACGCTGCTTCAAAGTCAGCAACGGAGGTCTCAAAAGTAGCAGATGCGAAGCGTGGAAAGAGCAACGGCTCGCTTCGATTGACACCTTCGTCAATGCTAATTGCAGCTCAATCGAGGCATGATTTCGACACGGCATCCGGTCAGAGAGATGCAGGCGATGCCGAAACACCGACAAGCTCAGGCCCAAAGGCGGCAAGAAAGATCTCTGATGGTACGATCGATCCCCAAAAGCAGCATCGCCCGAGTCAAAGCACGATCCATGTCGACTCATCTGGCCGCACACGCTCGTTCGTCCTGTGGTTCTTGATTGGCGACTTGGGCCTTCGCAACAGGAGCCCGGCCATCTCAGAAACGATTGCGACCAGCAACGGAGCAGATGCCGAAGCGGACTATGGCGGGCTGGTCGCCATCGTGTCACACACGTTCGGGTTGGTTGTCTTTATTTTGGCGCATCTGGTGGACCTCGCGTATGCAACGTACGAGCGAGTGTCCCTAGTGCTATGGTTCCTACGCTGGATGGTGTACAATCTCACCGGGCGAACTGTTCTTGCGCAATGTGTCATTGAAGCTTACGGCTTCATTCAGGCAGAGTGGGCGACCGTCGCAGTCGAGGATCACGAAGAGAAAGGACCTAAGAAGAAGGCCGACTCGCAAGGTCACAGAAAACCAAAGAGTTTGTCCCAATGGCAGGTGATGCGAGGTCTACTCGAGCTGTACTGCTTGCACAGCGTGACCCGAGAACGCTACCTCGCCGAAGGAGCTGGTCTGCAAGCGCTTGAGGGCTGGACGAGACCTTCGAGGCAAGACCACAACGACAGAGTACATAAGCCACGAGGTCCAGACCGAGTCGATATCGGCGCTCATCGTGCAGCGTCAAGAGCAGCATTGGGGGAGAAGCGACGAAGCTGGGCTCAGCAAAATGGAACGAGTGCTCTTTCAGACGACAACGACGACAACGATGTTCATGGCCATCCAAATGTTCAGGACTGGGCTGGGAACGGACATGGATGGTCGTCGCGGGTCGCCAATGGTGACAACAGGGACGACAACGGTTTCAACCCCAATGAAGATAATGAAGCGTACGGCGAAGAAGAAGAAGAAGAAGAAGAAGAAGAAGAAGAAGACGAGAGCAGCGAGGGCGAGATGGTCGTCACGAATCGCGGCGACGACATTCTCGAGTTTGCAAAGACGCCGAGACTGGATGCAGCGCGACCGGGTCAGGCGAGCACCGGCTACTTTGGACGTGTATACGACTTTATGACTTCTCCTCAAGTAGGTGCTTCTCAGCCTGGCGCTACGCACCACGACCTGCGAGCCTTCAAGGAGAGCAATCGTGATCTGGTGCGCACCATCAAGTGGTGCGGTCGTCTTGCCATCTCAGCTTACGGACTGCACGTTCACATTGTTGATCTGCCACCTACCTTCACACCGTCAGGTGACCGATTTTCCCGTCAGACCTTCGCCTATCTGTCGCGTCTCAACGCCGACGATGTGCTGCATGCCGACATCCAGACGCTTGACGCCGATGCCGACTACAGCCCGACTTTCTACGTCGTGCGAGACTACATTCGCAAGGTGGTCTGCGTCGCGGTGCGTGGAACGCAATCCTTCTCAGACATCATCGTGGATCTCGAGCTGCAGACGGAAGAAATTGAGCTTCCGCAGGTGCAGCCTACGCCCGGGGAAGAATTCCGATGCCACGCCGGTATCTGGCGTGCTGCCAAGGCGCTCGTCTCACCGCAGAGCAAGCTGTTCGCTACCCTTCGTCAGGCGCTTGCCGAGAACGAAGGCTTCGGCGTCATGTTCTGTGGCCACTCGTTAGGGGGCGCCATCGCCAGTGCCGCTGCGCTGCTGCTCGCCGAGTACTTCATTCCCGATGGCGCCGAGCCTGACTCGGGCACATGGGTGACCAATATGTCCTCAGGCCTGCCCGCTCGTAGACCTATCCGCGCTGTCAGCTTTGCGAGCCCAGTCACGATGACTGCTGATCTGGCGACGCGTGCGGCGATGGGGTCAGTGCCGCTCGTAACAACTGTAGTGCTTGGCAGCGATGTCATTCCGCGTGTAGGGCACGGACAGGTACGAGAACTTCGTCGTGTGCTCGGAGCTCTGGCACGTGTACGACGCCGTCATGCAATGGCATCGTCAGAGGGTCAAGACGATGCACACATTCACATCTTGCGAAGCTACTGGGACTGGCGATCGATCAGCATGGCCGAGGACGCAGACGACGTGATGCTGCATAGAAAGGAGCGGATCGAGGAGCAGCTATGGTCGTTGCGTCGCGAAGTGGAAAGTGATCTATACGCAGCCATCAAAGCACGACTGGATACTGATAGCACGGCAGGATCTCGCATCCCACCTTCGCCATGGGTCGGGCCTCAACAGCGAGACGAAGCACCGCTGCATGCATTAGCGACAAGAAGGCAGGAGCTAGATTCAGCCACTTTGCGCTCAGAAGCAGCACAGGGTGGACCCTTGATACCGCCGGGACGTTGCATCTGGATCAACAATAAGCAGGTCTACCACGTCGAGAGTCCTCTGGCCTTCTTCAGCTTGCCAGAGTTGCGCAGCGACATGTTTGCGGCTCACTTTCCTGCGGCGTACGAAGAGGCTATTCTGGAGTTGCGGACCTAACCAAGCACGGTCCTGTTGCCGCCAATTGTCTTGCAACACGGATTGCAAACGCCAAGTTGGACGTCTTTCAATGAAACGATAGAACCACACCGGACGATGTCTCTGCTCGACTAGTACCGCTAGTACGAACTCGGCGATGAGCGTGGATGACGAGAGAGAAGTTGCAACTTGACCGCTCTGCATACGTCGGAAGAACTAACAAATTGAAGGGCGAGACAGCAAAGAGAAGCGGTAAAGCTTAGCGAGATGCCGTCTTACAGCGAATTTCGTTCGATGCACGTTGGCATCGCTGTGCAGCTTCTACCGTAATTCTCCTTCCCGTGAAACTCCGCTCGCGACTCCAAATCCGGTCACATCGAGCATCTGTTCGGCTCTTGGACAGAGTGATGCTGTCTGAGACGGCCGATTGTTGAGCTATGACCTAGCACACGTCGTCTTGGCAGAATACGCCTGCTGATCACGGACTGGAACGATTAGAGAGAGCAGTCGAGACCGGCGTGCCGAGAAAGCGAGCGGAACTCGAAGAAGATTCACGCGCGCGATTCAAACCATCACTCTACCCTAGTTGCAGTCATACCAGGGATGGTACGAACAGAAACCCTTTCCAGTTTCAGTTTATCATTTGACGAGTTGGTGATCCGGATGCGGAGCAAGCATCTCTCACGCTCATCCTCGAGCGTAAAGAGCGAAAGGGTGACTTGACAAGCTGACGGTGGGCAACGCGGTTGAATTCCCATGGTCGGGTTTCAGATGCAATGCTGACAGCTGCAGCTGCAGCGAACAAAATCGGTGCGTGTGTGTACATTCCTGACCAAGAGCTGGACTAAATACATGTTATAAGAGGCTAAGGGCAGAGGAAAGAACCTAGGTCCGTTTCCGGGGAGGTATGAGGGTATGAGCAGCCCGTTTCTTTCCAAGTCTCCTCTGGTGCGGCGTCGTCGAAAAAGCCTTCAAATCGTACCGTAACCGCAACCGCAACCGCCTCAAAGAGTCACTCAGATTGGGCCTTAGCAAGGCCATCCCACCTCGTGCCGAGGTCTGGTTCCGCCCTCGTATCGATCGCAGTCAGTCGAGCCTTGACCTCGACTTGCAATGATTTACTCCCAGATTCTATGCCATTCTGCGCGGGTTCTCGCTGTATTTATTTGCTCGCCTAGCCCGTGAGTAGCTATCCCGTCTTGGGTCTGTTGATTGCCCGCCAATCACGGAGGTCGTTTCGTTCTCGTTGCTGTCTCTCCAGCCTCTGAGCAAGTCGTACAAGGTCCCCCCTCCCTTGGAGCTGCATGAAATGCTCGTCCCCGCTGCAACTCTCGCCCCGCGCTGTTCCTTCCACAGGCCTCTGCAGGCCGTTTGGTCTGCCTGCAACTCGATCTTCGACTTGCCTGGAAAGTGCCTCTCTAGCTTTCCACATTCCGTTCGACTGGTTTGAGGCTGAACCCTGACTCAAGAAAGAGACTAGGAATCGTCATAGAGGCCGGTTCGTGCGGCCTTCCAGCCGCAATATCTTCCGGTGACTTCCTCCGCCCATCGTGCAAACTCAAGCGAGGCCACTTACCCGAGCAAGGCCCTGACCGCTTCTTCCACGCGACCCTGACCCTGATCCTGATCCTAATCGCGAGGGACGCCTCCTTTAACTGTCCGAGATCGCAAGCCGTCCAAGTTGGCACGCCGAATTTGAAACCCATTGCCGCTCTCTTCGGTTACATCCTGCCTGTCTGATCGTGTTGCGATTGGTTGATATGTATTCTCCGATCGTCGTTCAACGCGCATTCTGTTTCACCTACGAGACCTTCTCCGATCGGTCTCAGCTCGCCGTTCTTCGGCCCTCCTTGTCATCTCCTGCTGCGAAAGGAGTAAAGATGTCGTTGTCGGTCACTCTGCCTCTTTCTGTCGCAATGAGGCTTGTCCTCGTCGATACTGTGATAGGGAGCTCGCAGAATTGGCCTTTTACGCTGATATATATAAAGTGAGCTGTCCTTCCTGCGCGTGCCCCGCTGTCTTCCCTTCCTCAGACCCTCGCCTTTCTACAACTCCTCCCTCCCAGTTCCTGGACTTTCTTCTTCACCTTTCCGACTCGCTCATTTGGACGGCCTCCTACATCTTTTTACTTCCATCTCGACCAGCAGGAAGATATCTACCATGGCCGCTGTCGACGTTCTCCAACGCAACAAGAAGCCCCTTCCCTCGCCTCGTATCGGCCCTAACGGAGGTGATACCTACCGCTTCACCCGCAAGTCTGCCGCTCCCATCTCTCGCTCTCGCAAAGCCTACCTCGATGCTGCCGACGACGACGATGATGATGCTGCTGCCGACCGAGCTGAGATCGATGAGGCCGATGCTGCTGACCCCTTCACTCTCGTCCCTCACGTAGCTGAGCAGACGCTTCACGCTGTCCACAGTGCCATCTTTGGCCAGCCATGGGCCGATCTCGAGCTTGTCGTCAGTGCAGGCGGAAAGAAAGAAGAAGTTGTCTTTGCTAACTCCAAGATTCTCAAGAAAGCTTGCCCTGCTCTGATGCACCAGATCAACATCACTGGCCATTCTGAGCTCGACACGATGGAGCAGGAGCAGATCAACGCTGCTGCTGCCAAAGCGAAGCAAAACGGCGCTGGTGCTAAGGCCGGCCCTCGTCCCCAAGCCAGCCACCGATCGACCAACAGTCTCGGTCTGGTTGATTACGGAGGACGCAACTCGCGTCTCGGTGCACTCAACGATCAACGCGATGACGATGCCGATGACGTTCGTGACCGTCACGATGCTGAAGATGGCGAGGAAGAGTACGCTGACTCGGTGGCTGAACAGCCTAAGCGCTGCGAGGATCGACACAATGATGACGGGCACGACGATGGCACTCATCAGGACATCGACAGCTTTGGAGAGGACGATCTTGATCTCACCCTTGGCAACCGAGGCAAGGTTGCTGGAAACACCCTTCCCGCACCTGCTCCTATCGAAATCGCTGCCCATCCCACATTTTTGCGCTCCTCATCGCGCTTCTCGAAGCTGATAAAGTTCATGAACAAGGACAAGGCATCCCCTACCGCCGAGACCGAGCCTGCAGGCATTCCGCCCAGTACCGCGAGCACCACTGACTACGGCAACGACACCGTCGGCCGCGGTCGTGTCCGTCGCTACAGCGCAGGCAACGATCTCTCCTCCGCCATCAACGGCTCTCGCCCCGCCACCGCATCTCGTGTTCAAGTCACAGGCTGTTCAGCTGCCACCCTCCAAGCTCTCATCTTTTACCTCTACACCGGTCACGCAACCTTCGCCTCTCGCCTCCCCGCCCGCAGCCCTGCTCGTCGCTACCGTCGTTCCCGCCGCGATTCCTCATCCTCTGCCTCGCTCAACTCTGACCGCGACCAATCCGCCGATGACCGCAGCGAGGATGACGAGAACGACGATGACAATGCCCCCCTTCCTGCACCTCGCGTCAGCAAATCACCCAGCTACCCACCCGTCTTCTCCGCCACCGCAGCCTACTGCGTCGGTCGTCAACTCGGTCTACGCGATCTCGCCGAAAAGGCCTTCGATCACATCTGTCTCGAGCTCTCACCCAAGACGGTGTTGGCCGATCTGTTAAGCCCGTTCGTTGACCGATTTGACGAGGTTCAGAGAGCTCATCTCGAGTACGTAGCGGAGAACTGGGACAGGGTTAAGCGTCGTCCTGACTTCCAAGTCACTGTAGCGAAGCTCGTTTCTGGACACTATCCCAAGGCGAACAAGGCACTGCTTAAGCTGTTCGCTAAGCTGTCCGTTTCGGGTGCCTGAAGGGGATGTGGTAGATGGACACTCTGTTTCGAAGATGCTCTGTTCCTTTTGTATTTGTTCAAGATGTATATTCCCATTTTCTTTCAATACCATATTGCTTTCTATGAAGATCTCATGAAGACTTTGGCGTGACCCATTCCGAAAGGAGGAGCCGAGTCATATCCGTATGCATGCTTCTTCGTGTCCAAGCGGTGGAGTAGTCGTATCTCCGCGGAGTGCCGTTTCCTGACAACCTTTGCCACGCGTCTCTGACCCCACTTGTTTTACATAGCCGAAGGAGAACCACACGCACGAGCCATAGCCTTCGCCTTTGCGAAGGAAGCACTCCACAACGACCACAATGACTCTGACTTCCTTCTCTACTTCATCCAACCATCAAGCATTGAACCCCTCATCATGTCAGGCTACCCACAGATCGTATTCTACGACATCCACTGTGAAACCACCAAACAGCCATGGTCTCCCTTCACCACACGTACCTACCTAGCCCTTCGCATTCTCGGCATTCCCTTCCAGCACGAGTACATCCCTATGTGCAAGATTGGCCCGACTCTCTCCGCCGTTGAGCTACCTCAACCCAAAGACAGTCGATACACTTTACCAGCTATCACACTGTCCCCACCTCGTTCCGGGTCTGGGGAGAAAGAATGGGTGACTGAAAGCGAGACCATCGCTGCTCTACTCCAACAGCTTTACCTCGAAAACGGGGGCGATCTTTCTCGCTCACTTTTTCCTGATGAAGCATCAAAACAGCTCGCTTCAGGATTGAAAGAGCAATTCACAGCAAGCTTATACACGAAAGATCATCGATGGAAGTCCATCATCCCGATGGTGTATCACATTTTGGACCCGGAAAGTCAAGGTTTCTTCCACGAAACTCGCATTAGCGATTGGGGCAAGTCACCGAAAGAAATCATAGAGACTGATGCGAAAGAGAATGCAGAGAGAGATGGTGGCGTGGATAAAGTTTATGCAAAGGCGATGGAACCGTTCGGAGAGCTGTATGAGAATAAGAAGAACAAGAAGGGCCTCTGGCTAGGTGGTGATAATCCCATCTATGCAGATATCAAGGTGTTGGGTATGATGCAATGGTTCAAATGTGCCAATGGCGAAGCGTTCGAAGGTGGTTTGAAGGCAGTGGGAGGGGCGCTTGAAAAGGCTTGGATTGCTGGTCAGGTTTACTTTACGCAGAGTTGAGCAGGAGAAGCTTTTATCGTGCACAGCACCTTGTCACTTGTCAAAACTTTCGTCTCTCTTTGTCGAGTTGGTCTTAGATCCGTGCAACCACACAATCTCACATACAACGCACAAACACAGAGGCTGAAAGTTAATCTATCTTGTCTTTCAAAGGTCGCCAAGCCCAAGCCCCTCGTCACAAACCACCGACTCCACCTGCATAGTACATTCCCGACTGAGTATTGAGAATCTCCAACCAACCACCGTTCTTGAAGGGCTCTTCGGTATATCCAATGCTCCAGCCCCTGAAGAAGTCTTGTTCGGCCTCGATCAACGCCTTTGCTCGAGGAGATTCTATGCCATATCCCTGCAAGACTTCTTGTTTGGCTGTTATGTAGTCGGGTCGTGGAGTCTCTGCACCGCCAGCACTTGTTGTCGATCGTTGCGAGGGGTTGGTGATGAGCCTTCCCTCCTCGGCCCATTCCCATTCGAGTCTTGGTCCGCCCTCAGCGGCAGACCCAGTAGCAGGGGATCCAGAACGAGGAGCAACAAAATCAGCCAAGTCAACACCTTCAGCCCCGGTCCTCTCGATAGCAGTATGAACAATCAATGGGCTGCCGAACTTCTTTACCTCCTTTGGATCGAGGTCGCTTGGCATAGGCTCGTACTTGCGATTTCTGTAATACTTGCATCGGAGAACCCATCTTTCTGGAAAGAGACCCTTGACAAGGAACCTAGCTCTTTCCCTTGGTCTGGGGTTTCTTGAGCTTGGAGCGATAAGTCGACCAGCTTCGGTCCAAACAGCACCTCGACGTTCAAGCGCGTTGAGCATGTCAGCGAGCAGCTGATTGTCGCCACCGTTAGGTGTGAACATGAATCTTTGAAACCTTTCCTCAACCGATGCGCGGTCAAATTCGGCCAAGAGTCGAGATGAGACAGAGATGTCAGCATCGGATGCCTTGTTCATCTCGAGCGGATAGGGACCGCCAGTTTCCAGAAGACGCGATGGGGGTGCGAGCAGGTCGATGGTCGCATAAACCATTGGGCTTTCGATTGAGCGGATTCCTGAAGGTACTTGATCGTATGCTGGAGCTGGAGGGTCGATAGCTGGCAAAAGCTGCTCTGCCGGGACACCAGCAGCGGCCTGCTCGTTCTCGCTTTTGCCTTTGCCTTTTGCCTTTGCCTTGAGCTTGGACAGCCACCCGCTCTTCTGCTCCCCATCATCCTCACCAGTTGTGACCTGCGTTGCATCGATAGATTTATGCGAGTACCGCAGCACAGCTTCAGCTGGGAAAATGGCCATCCTCCCATGGACTCCCACGTCTGCATACACAGATCCCAGCACTCTCTCCACTAACGGTCTGGACACGATACCAGTCAACTCCCTCGCCTGGGCCCGAAAAAGGCTGACTTTTCTGTACCTGCCCACATCTCCAGAACGGCCTACCATCTCGGCTCCATTTTTGGGCTGTGGATGTGCGAGGTATGCATATGTGTCTGTGTCTCGTCTGTTACCGAGATACGGTAGTGGAAGCTCGACACCGATTCGCTTTGCCAGTACCAAGCCTCGAGAGTAGGCTGCTGGACAACCGACTTGCTGGAAGGGTACCGGATGAGGTGTTCGTGCATCATGCACGGCGTACACAGTGCAGTGCAGCAGAAATGAAGGTAAGGGTGCAGTCTGAGGTGGCGGTGGCTGTACACGTTGGGTCGTCGCGATGAAGGGCAGTTGAAGTGTTGCCTTGGTTTGACTGTAGACGCTCGTTGGGTCATTGGCTTCTTTTTGAGTGATACCTGGAGGCAAAGGCTCTTCATCGCTGGACGCAACTGTCGATACTGGTAACGGACTCGGAGAAGCTTCAGTCGGTGCTACGTTGACGTAACTCGGAAGCCCACCGTTAGCGTTGTTGTTGTTTAATGTTGCAACGGACATCTTCGTGTGGTTTCAAATCTTGACAGCGGATGGTTGGTGGGAGAAACAAAGCAGAACGAGTTAGGAAAAGGGGTAGAGGGCCGTGGAAAGGGCGTTGGCTGTGCTAACAAACACAGCTTTGAATGATGTTGTCGAGTTGGGTGAAGTCAAGCACCTCGAGGTTGGTACTGCACACAGAATGGCAAAGACCCTGTGCTCGGTTCAATTGAGGAAAGGTCTTGATCCGATATTTTGACTTCCAAAAGCCGGGTTCCCCACATCAACGGTAAGTTATCGCCCTTTTATCGCCCTTGACCACGCGTGAAAATTGTTGGAAAAGGAGGCTGAGAAATTGAGGAAAAAAGGAATGTTAAATTGCCTAACTCGAGTGAGTCGCTTGCGAGCTCCGCGTGTAAGCAAGGCGGAATGCGCACAAGAACGATATACAAGAAAAGCGGTATAAGAAACTAACGTGCGTGAGAAGTGAAATGTATTGTATAACGGGCGGGAGGGAAGGTGAAGCTTGACGAAGCGCAGCCTGGAGGCAAGTGCGACGAAGAGAAAGTGATTGAGAAGAAGGAAGAGAGGCGAGCGAGCGAGATGGCTCAAAGCGTTGCGACGAAATGGAGTGATCGTGGCCCTTCGCTTACCATCGAAAAATGCGCATGTATCCATTCGTACGATAAGTCGCATCACATGGCACGTCGGATCTTCCATGCATACGTCCTGTGTTAAGTTACTGCCACAAGTATTGCTAGCCTCGATTAGACCAATCCCTATATCAAGTCCCGGTACAAGGCATCAAGGGTCGTGATCATTATTTTCATCTGAGCGGTGCACATCCCCACCTAGAGGCTGAAGCATTGCAACACGCTCACCTTGCAGGCAACGGGCCTTTCCTCTCGGAGCTTACACCTGAAGCGATGTACGTTTCCACCCAGGTGAAAAGCGATAGTGACCTTGGGTAGAAGTGGAACCTAAGAATGCAAGAAGGAGGGCGGTTGGAGCTTGTGGATGCGCATCTCTTTTGGCGAATCGATGGAGGCGGACCTAAGTTGCTCAGACTAATCTTACCTTCTCCCAGCTCAGCCTGATCTCGAGCAACGAGCCATTCAGCACGCTCTCATCCCAAGCAACGGTCCCATATCCTTCAATCGCAAGGGAAGTACGTTCTTTGTCTCCACCCGGGTGCTCAATACTAGTCTCTTGGGTCAGAGATGGAACCTAGCTCAGAGAGATATTGATCAGAATAACCTTCTGGTAGCGCACGATGCTCACCTCTTTTGGAAGATTGATCAAAGTGGGCCTAGATTGCTAAGGTTGAACACCTTTCCAGCTGGTGCTCAGACGGAGCAGCAGTTGGGGATGTATGAGGCTATTGAACGCGCTCGTACGCCCAGACGAGGTGGCGTATGTTTGGGTTGTTTGGGAGGCTAGCCTGATCTCAGTTCCGCTCGCTTTTCCTTTGTCACGCTTCTCACTTGTAGACATAGCACTCTACTGAGCAATGTGAGGTCATGCTGCATACCTTCTGTGTCGATGGAAGTGCTGTATTGGAGGTGACAATCTCTCTCTCTCTCTCTCTGACAGGGCTACCAGAACCAAACATTCGCGTCCTGAAATTTAGAAGGCAGCACCCTTAGCAGCGAGCTGCCTGACCTCAGTCGCAGCCAACAACTCTCCATTTTGGAGCCTTTCGACTGCCTGAGCGGTCGAGCTTCCAATGGGAACCCAAGAGATGTTGTGTCCTACGGTAGCCAAAAAAGCTGCTGTCTGTTTGCTGAACCCAACAAAGCCAGGGACCTGAGGCGCAGCGCTCTCAACCGTGGTCTGGCCGGGGCTCAACTGATCATGCCATCTCGGCTCAGCAAGAGCCTTCTGAGCATTCTCGCCCTTGAACAAAACGTCGTAGGCGACCTGAGTGACGGCAGTGATGATCCGGGAACCGCCGGCAGAGCTGAGACTGAGTTTGAGCTCGCCTGTGTGCGCATTTTCCGCGATCACGGCTGAGATGGAAGATAGAGGCCGCTTGCCAGGACGAATGTAGTTGGCTGCGCTGGGCGCAAAGCCGAAGAAGTTCGACGATCCAGGCGAAGAAAAGTCATCCATCTCGTTGTTAAGAGGGAAGCCTGATTTGGTCATCAAAGTGCTCCCCCAGAAAGTGTTGACGGTGGTGATTAAAGAAATTGCCATACCGTCGGAATCGACGACCGTGATGGCCGATGTGCCGTGATCGGTCAGCACATCCGTTTTCTTGTTCTCTGGGATGTAATAAGCTGTAGGGAAAGTACGAGTGTCGTCGATCTTGGCCTTCTTCTTCTTCGAAAAGCCTAGCTGGAGGTACTCTCCTTCGAGACGTGAGACGTCCTTAACAAAAGCTGGATCCCCATAATTGGTTCTCTCTCCGTAGGAGAACTTGTTCGCCTCGATGAAACGATGGGTGGAAAGGTTGATATCCTTCAGATTTTCCTGTCCATCAGCACGAAACTGGTCAACAGTCTGCAAGGTCGAAAGCACGACGCTTCCAGAGGAAGGAGCGACAGTACCATAGATATTGTACTCTCCTCCCCTAAGAGTGACGTTGCGAGGTGTACGGAACTCGACCTTGTAGTTGGCCAGGTCTTCCCTAGTCATGATGCCCTTGTACACTTTGTTGTTATGGATAGTGTCAACGATGTCTGCTGCAACGTCTCCGTGGTAGAAGGGATCAATACCCTGCTGAGCGAGCAACTCAAGGGTCTTTGCGAAGCGCTCCTTCTTGATGGTTTGTCCGAGCCCAGCTGGCTTGCCATGGGGACAGTATACCTCGCTCCAGAGAGGCTCTGAGCAGAGGAAGGGATACTGAGTAGTGTTGAGAGCCTTGGCCAACTCCGTGGTGACCTTGAAGCCCAGACGATTGAGTGTAATGGCAGGCTCGAACAACTTAGACCATGGAAGTTTGCCATATTTCTGATGGAGGTCCCACCAAGCCTTGGGCTCTCCTGGAACACCGACCGCAAGGCCACCGTGCAGAGAAGCATCCTTGACAGGGTTGGCGGAGAACATGTCCTCAGTGGAAGCAGCCGGAGCTGTCTCACGGAAGTCAACGTGGATGTAGTTGGCACTCTTGCTGTGAGCGTCGTTGTCGTTGCTACGCTTGTGGTTGGTGTTGGCATCCTGAGAGACAGGCGACCTGAGGAGAGCGTGGCCACCTCCACCAAAGCCAGAATGGAATGAGGCGATGGATCCGACGCACAGTGCGGTACCAATCACTGAGTCGACGGCTGAGCCACCGTCCTGCAAGAGCTGAGCGCCGATGTTGGAACAGACGTCAACCTCGGATGAGACAGCACCGTTCTTGCCAGTAACGCGGTAGGCAGGAGCGTTGCCTTGGGAGGCAGCTCCGTAGAAGGATGGCTGTTGATCATTGTTGCGGACCTCGAGGAAGGGATAGGTGACAGGAGAAGCAGCGATCTCGCTGGTGACGATTAGGAGAAGGGCTGCGAGAAGAGCAGCCCAAGTAGAGGCTAGGGGAGCGTCCCGTCCGAGCATCGTGATCGCCGGCGAGCTTCAGGTTTGAAGGATGAAGGGGAGAGATAGGGAGGCTCTCGTTTTTGCGTGCGAGCTTTGAGCTTATAAGCAGATCGCAGGGAAGGAGACCGACCGACCGAACCAGTCTTCTGGAGCGGGGACGGCTTCAATGTTCTCCAACCAGTTGATGAAATGTGGGAGGAAGAAGAGGGGAACCTTTGTTCGCTCGCGTGCTTTGGTGGTCACGAGTCGTTCTCCCTCGGTTGTCAAGTGAAACTTTTTGATTGCTCCTCTCTCACAACAGATAAGAAGCCATAAAAAGTGCGATCGCGGGGAGAAGATCGGTCTTCAGGCCAGCGGTATCTCACAGATCTTCCGACTTCGCATCGCTGTCACCGTACGAGGAGATGTCTCTGCATCCACTCTACAGCACAGTACCGTCTTGTAGTCTTAAAGCTGGACGTTCTCATACTCGATTCAAGTTCACATTTGACACATCTTCCGTCCACCTTGGGATGAAGGAATGAGTGGGACCCTGTGCTGCAGAAAGGTGGTTCCGTGTGACTTGATAAGTTCTTTTTGTTGATGAAGAACGGACAGGGTGGGGAAGGTTGAATTCGACTACAGGATTGCGTCTCAAGTGAAACTCGCTTAACGATGCAAGAGATAAATCGAGGAACGGCGAATAGATTAACGCTTTTGATGCTAGACCGAGCCCATCAGTAGCCAATCATACACATGACATGCTCGTCTTGTATTCACGTCGGTCGATTCGGTCTGAAACGGACTTCATTCGTGAAAATAGCATAGCAAGGTGAGTTGAGAAGCAAAGTGCCATGTGAGTTAGTTGCGTTAGATAGGCTATGCATTGCACAATCCGACAGGCCAAGTTGAGCTTTTGCCTTTCGCACGACAAACTTGAATTTTTTAAAGCTTCGGAACACGGAAATTATTGGCTGACGACGCTTGAGAAGGTGTTGGACCCTGAAGTGTTGGTCAAGCTTGCGCGTGGCTCGAATCTTTCCGCAACCTCTTCCGCACTTCGAAGCTCAAGGACCACACCCCTCTTTCTGCGTCCTTTCTAGTCAAAGCCATCGTCTTTGGACCTGACACCTTGGTTTGACCAGCGAGCCCCTAGCGCAGTCTTCTCCTACGGCAGACATCCTTTTACAACAGGGGCCATCTCCTCCCGCAAGCTGCCCCTTCCGACAGCTGGAGAGCACACTGCATATTAGACATGGAGTTTGACCCTGTCAACCGTGAGGTCCCAGCACCAAGGTACGAGCTCGAGTCGGGCTCTGAGGATGAGTTCGAGGCAGGTACTCAGGTCGGCGACAACAAGTGGCAAGAGCCATTCCGTATCGTTTCCGGTAGTGGAGCGAGCTCCTCGACTCTCGAATCTGGCACCCAACTTTTGGTCTTGATAGGGAACGCAGGCGCTGCGTTGCTCTCATCTCTGTCCGCACCAGCCGAGCAGTACTTGCTACGAACGGGGACAGAGCAACATGCATCAATCGCAGTGGTCGAATCCGTATCAGGGGACAAGATCACCGCGGCGCTAGTGGCACCACCACCGCAGCTTCGATCTTGCCGCTTCCATGACATGGTCCAGACTCTTGTCGAGGCAGCGAAACCATCAAGCATCGTGATTGTTGACTCTTACAGCCCGCAAGAGAAACTTTACCGCGACCAGTCTGCTGACGAGGACGACGGAGATGGTGTCGACAAGCTTGTGAGATACCTTGCAACACCAAGCTATCTGACGAAGAACAAGGTTGATGTGCGAGGGCTGACACCGCTTCGCTCCCCTGAAGCGGCAAGTGGACTTGGTGCTGGATTCCTGTCCAAGGTGAGTCAAGGTCTGCAAAAATAGACTGGACATACAAGACAACAATACTAACTGTAACTCTCTTTCTTTTCATTGCCAGGCTGTCATCGAGAGCATTCCGGCCATCCTGACGCTACTTGAAGACGTGAGCTTCCAATTACACGTCCAGCTATATGGCTCCTTAGGTGCTGCTCAATTGTCTCCAGCCACAAGCGATGTGTTGAGCACCTTGACAGGACTTGGCGGCAAGCATCAAGCAGCATCGGCGCCAAGCAAGACTATTCTCGACTTTGCCGCTTCGAGACGAATCAAGCCAGCAACCAACTTGGCAGTGCTAGGTGACGGTAACATGTACATTTAGATGAAATCAATGGATCGTTCGATTGACGCCGTGACAAGTCCGATGCGTACGATGGATCGCGACGCATCGGAAAAGGAAGAGATCATCCACTGCTTTGTGACGATCCGCAACGAACGACTTGCACGTGGATGTGGATCTTTGTGCGCGTGGGCAAAGGGGCAGGACAGGAGGAGAGTAACTGCGAAACGTTGTCATTGGCTGCTAAGTAGTTCAAGCCGAGACTGCGAAAACGCTGCTGCACCATGTATGGCCAGGCAAGGTGCGATGCAGATCTACGACAGGGACGAAGCTCGAACAGATCGAGCACGTCGACATGATCTCTAGCTCACGGCAACGCTTCGGGATGAGAGGATGAATCTGCGGGGCACCGTCATGTCGTGTTGGAAGCACTGCCGTTCGACGTCTTGATATGAACTCCGCTAGCTGAACTTGAGAGTCCCATCTGGCGGGCTTTGCTCAGACTGTTCTGTAGCCAATTCTGTAAGACCTGCCTATGAAGTGTGGCAGCGGAAGACGAGTGTACGGGCTAATCTGTTCAATTACGTCGAAGGGCAGCTAGGTAACGCTCTGCTGCTTGATTTATTTGCATCAATTTCGTCAACAATCCAGACACGGATATTTGGAGCAGCTCCCAACAGCTCTGTTTTCCTTGTTCTTTTTTCTTTTCTTTTTTTCTTTTCTTTTTTCTTTTCTTTTTTTCTTTTCTTTTTTTTTTTCTTTTCTTTTCTTTTCTTTTTTTTTCCTCTATCTCAGACGCTTTGCTTCGTCACAAGAGGACTGCAAAGGGGCCTTCGCATTCGGACTAGGAATCGGACTCGGACTCGGACTCGGAATCGGATTCGGCAACTGTTTTCGCGGCTCGCCAATCCGAAAATGCCACCCACTAAACCGATTCTGATTGACTTTGGAGCTGATAGCCAAGCACGCGACAAATAGGACACTACTGCAGGTCGCCTTGGGTTGGCCGTTGTAAGCCTCAACTCAGCTTGACGAGCTCGAGACACAGGGCAACATCAACTGTAGTCAGATCCGCCAACTTCGTTATGCAACAGTATTGCGTATCGCAAGGTGACGACTGCGTGCTGCAGCCTCTTTCAAGGTCAGCGTCTCATTTGTCTTCGAGTCTCTCCTACTGGCGATAAGGCGGGTTCATTGTTGACAGATATCTGGCGCGCACCAGATGCTTTCTTCTTACCTACAGAGATTGCTAACAGCCGTAGTCCAACAGCAAAGATGAACTGGGATCCAGTTTGCTGGAACCTTGGTTCGAAATGAGTGGACAGCTGAAGGACCAAAGCGCGCGGAGCTCGTCATTGATTGCGTTGGGCTGCGTCTCGAGTGCAGCAGCAGCGCAGGAACGCTCGTCGCTGCTAATCTCCTGGTTGGTCAAGGTTTTCGAGCTCTATCTTCTGTGAGCCTTCCCTCCTGGCCGGCAGCTGCAACTCGACGCATCATCGTCGTCATCAGCGGCATCATCGTCAGCACCAGCTAGACTGAAAGACACTCCTTCTCGCCTTCTGCAGCTCCCTCTTGGCTTTGCCGACCCTTCCATTTCCCCCCACTTCTGCCAAAGACCCCACCTTGCAGCTCCAGTTCAAGAACCCTGCCACCGAGTCAGCAGCGACTGCTTCCCCATCTCGCACCGCAACCTTCACTCCCATCTCCTTAGAAGCCTTGTCACTGCCGATTTGCCTGTTTTGCCTTTGCATACTCACTCTCCAGGCCAAACTCTGGCTCGTGGCTCTATTTTCAGAGTCGCTAGTCTGCATCTGCAGCTCCCACCTCATCTCTGCTCTCTTCCAGCCGCAGCATCATCATCAACTCGGCCTGGAATTCAAGTTTGCCAAATTTGGTTCTACGTTGTCGACAATAGAAGCTGCACATCACACAGCGAGCTACCTCATCTTACCCAACTTACAGCTTGTCAGCCAGACAACCAGAAACTGCTCTTTGCTCCGACCGCTCAAAACTCCCACTTCGCCAACTTCTCTGACGTTGATCTGCTGCAGGGCCTATTTTGGGGTTTCCTCACTGCATCCTCTCCTTCTCGTCATCTTTTCCCACTCCAGAAACAGTCATTCTACACCTCTCCAGCCTCCTCTCCCACAGACCTGTCTGTCTTTCGCCCTTCCTGCGTCTCTTCCTTGCTCTCGCCTACCGCCCTGACCTCATCCTCCTCCAACGCCCTCTCTCTTTCTGTGCCACCTTTCTGCCCTCGTGCATCATCCCCCTTGCTGACTCATTGTGCTCTGCTAAGTTGCCGTCACTGTAGTCCACTTCTCTATCGTCTTCGCATTCAAAGCCAAAAAACCAAAGCTTACAAGCACTATTGCAGCCGGCAGACGTTTACCCGCCGACGTCAATCCTCGGGATCCACACGTCCTGTTCATCATCATCATCATCATCACCACATCGCCTGCTCTCAGTTTAGACACTTGGTACAACTTTGTACAAAAGTCCCTCGTACCGGAGATCAGACTTCTGTCACCAACTTTCTTCTCTACCACAACTTATCGTCCCCTCCTCCGTCTCAGTCTTTCGTACCACCACCTTTCATCGACCTCGTGCTCGCTTGCAAAGCTGGTACTCTCGACCTTCCTTCATAACCGCCTACATCCTCTTCTGCGAGCCGAATCAAGACGTGCAACTTGCAAACGTCTCTCGACCATCACCTGAACCACACTCTTTCTCTCATTCACGCCTGTTTCAGCCGGCGATTTCTTCATCTTAACTAATCACCTCGTCGAAACGGCATCAGAATTTCGGACCTTTTTTTCCCATCATATTCGCCAACTTCTTGCCAGACACAACGTACTATATAAGAGAAATCTTTGACGTTGTTCAGCTTCTGATCATCACCACCACCACCTTCACCGTCACCACCACCATCTACGTTGATTCGTCAGGAAACGAACTAGCAGCCAAATTGAAATCGAGTCGAGTTCTATACTCGAACCAAATTTAACTGCGAAAACCGGACTGCGCATACATCTGCCGTCGTCAATCTGAGCTGTAAACCCACCATCAATAGATTCACCTGCATTCGACCGCCACCATCACCACCACCACCCAACAATGCCCGTTTTGGAGCAGTTTAAGAACTTCATCAGGCACGGAAAGGCAGCTCGGGAAGCGCCAGAAGGTTTGAGCGTAAGTATTGCATTCTTCGACATCACCGTTGCCACCAGAGTTTGTTGCATTGGTCCCGCCATCACGTCTCTCCGAAATCATTCGGCCGGAATTGCAACTCACTCCTCGTTGCTGCTCACGCCGTCAGGGTTTGGTCGAAGCAGCCCACAATCTGCTTTCATGGCCATCACACCCTCACACTTAACGTGGATCCGGAATCGCTATCCGATCCTATGCTCTTTGACTCGTGCTGCTTCGTAATAGTATGCTGATGCCACCTCCACCATCATCTTTGCCGCCATGTCTTGACTCGCACTCACAGAACGACGCCTCTGCAGGTCCGTCGATCCAAGTTCATCCCACCGACAGCTCCTCTTCTTCCAGGAATCAGTCTTCCGTCAACCAGACCGGATTCGCTCCTCAGGACAAAGCATTACCCGTTCCCGCAACAACTTCACAAGCCCACGCCGCCGCTCCCATTCCCGTCGTCGCATCGGCAACAGCCTCTTCATCTTCGCAGCAACCACAGTCAACAGCTTCTCAGTCACAGCAGGCCCGCGATATGAAGCAATCATCCAACGGCAACCACCTCAGCGTGCCCGCCGCCGGCACTTCGAAGGGCGCCACTGCAAACGAGCAGTACCAACGTGAGGCAGAGCGCATCGTTGCCGAAGAGCGCGAGGCATCCGAAAAGATGCCCTACTACGAAGGTCTTAGCGAGCGATTCCAGCTCATCAAGAAGATGGGAGACGGTGCCTTCTCCAACGTCTACAAAGCAAGAGATCGTCAGACTGGCCAGAAAGTTGCCATCAAGGTTGTCCGCAAGTATGAGATGAATAGCAACCAGGTAAGTACACAGGATAAGTCAAAGGTTCGGTTTCGCTGTTCTGCTTCTCGTTTTGTTTCTTGGTTCTTGCCCTTTGCGCCGTGATTTGCTTCCGTTCCTGTTCTCGTTTGCGTTCCGTTCTCGCCTCGTGTTCCGTCTAAGTCTTTTTGCAGAGTATTGCACAGCTAAGCATTGTGGCCCTTGCGCAGTGCTTAGCTCTACGATGCTCTGCCAGGTAGCGTACGACCTACCGATCTGGATACCTCTGGCCAAGGTTTTCTAGCTCGGCAGCGAGACGCACATACTTGCCCCTCGACGGTGCTCCTTCCTCGTGTGTTGTCGGATGCCTGGAAACTCCGGCGGGCGGCATCATATCTGACGATGTTAGCGAGTCGATCGAGGCAAAGCTTTACCCTGAGATTTGGCAGAAAGCGTAGCTCTTTCGCTGTTTTTCTCGACTCTGTGCCGATTTAGCATGTACATTGCTGCCAGAGCTGATGAAGGTTCACATGAACCTATAGCGGCTGTGGTCCTTGGAGCTCCTCAGTCTTTTCCAGCAACCACGGCGCACGCAAGAACGAACATCGGACCATAATCCATGCCACACAAAAGGCGGCGGACACTAACCACTTTCTCACTTCCCCTCACCTCCGAACTATCTCAACTACCATACCGATGGACGAACCGCTCTCCCTACTCTACACCTCTACAACGTCATACTACCGGCTTCGCAGGATCGACTTGACCCTAACTTCAGAAAGAAGAACCGCGTCACAGAGGTCCGTTTCACTTGTCCACTCCTGTTCCGCCGTCTTGCCTGTCTCCCCGGATCCGCTTCCCTTTTCCACTTCCTCGATCAAATATCTATCAAATCTCTCTTTCCTCTCTCCTCCCTCCTCCCCTCCTCCCCTCCCTCCTCCTCTCCTCTCCTACCTCTACCCCGATTCCGCTGCCCCTCGGCGTTTGTCCCAGGCAGCACTGCACTGTTCGTTGCTTTGCGGCCGCACTCATGGCCAGAGAGCGGCGCCTTTGATTCTGGGACACTGCCATATTCTTATCCACCTTCGCACTTCTCCCTTTGTTGTGTCTCGGCTTTTCATACCCTTTTCTCTGAAACACCGTACTGACATCATCTTCGTCCGTTGTCATTCTCTTGTTCTCACTAACAGCGCGCAAACATCCTCAAGGAGGTCCAGATCATGCGAAACCTCAAACACGAAGGTATTGTCGAGCTCATCTCCTTCTCCGAGTCTCGCGAGCACTACTTCTTGGTGCTTGAGCTCATGGAGGGAGGCGAACTCTTCCACCAAATTGTCAAGCTCACGTACTTCAGTGAGAGCCTCGCCCGCCATGTCATCCTGCAAGTCGCTCACGCCATCCGATACTTGCACGAGGAGCGCGGTGTCGTTCACCGTGATATCAAGCCTGAAAACTTGCTCTTCGAGTCGATCAAGATCATTCCCTCCAAGCAGCCCATCCAGCGTCCCTACGATGAAGAGAAGGAGGACGAGGGAGAGTTCATGCCTGGCATTGGCGGTGGTGGAATCGGACGAGTCAAGCTCGCCGACTTTGGTCTCAGCAAAGTCGTCTGGGAGGAGAGCACGATGACACCATGTGGTACTGTCGGTTACACAGCACCCGAGATCGTCAAGGACGAGCGATACTCGAAGTCGGTCGACATGTGGGCGCTCGGATGTGTTTTGTACACATTGCTTTGCGGTTTCCCACCTTTCTACGACGAGTCGATTTCAGTGTTGACAGAGAAGGTCGCCAAGGGATACTATACCTTCTTGAGTCCATGGTGGGATGACATTAGCTCCTCTGCCAAGGACTTGATCACACACTTGCTGTGTGTTGACCCTCGACAGCGATACACCATTGACGAGTTCCTGCGTCACCCATGGTGCAATGTCAAGGATCCCATCTCTAACCTCGATTCTGCCGATATTACCCTCGCCAAGGCATCCGAGATGCCACACGATTCGCCACTCTTGGCCGCCATGAAGACGGGCAATTCAGCTCGAAATGCGATGATGTCGCCCGGGATCAACCGTCTCAAGGAAGCTTTCGATGTCACCTACGCCGTCCATCGAATGGAAGAGGAAGGTGCAAGGAAGCGTGCTGGCGGCAACATCCCTCTCGGTGAGCTGAACGAAGAAGACGAGAGCGACGAAGCCGATGAAGCCCGCCGAAAGTACGGCGATGCAACGGGTGAAGCCATCGAGAAGCAACGAGGTGCTCGTGACCACAACGACAGCAGCTCTGCAGCTCGTTCGCAAGCCGCCGCACAATCGCGTCAACACCACCAGCAACAGCAAGCACAGTCAACACAACAGCAACAGTACCAAGGTCGGGGTGGTGCCGACCGTCGTCTTGCCGAAGCCGCACTCTACGATGGTCGTGCAGGCCCGCGAGATCGTGGTCAGAACTCGAACCGCAAGCGCGGATTTGAGCTCAACATGGGCAATGCTACGTTGTTGGGCCGTAGGAACAAGGCTCAGGGCAGTGTGACGCCGAGGTTGGATAACTTGGGTAAACCGATCATTGATGGTGCTCATGCTGCAGGTATTGTTCCTGGCAGTCCTATGCGTGTAGACTGAGACTACCACCTCTTCTGCCTTCGATTCGTCTCTATTCTCTTTTGTACGCTTTTCTCTAGTCTCTCACATCTCGTTCTTCTGTACGCAATTACACGAGCTTGCTCATCGTCCTCTTTTGCCGCGTGCTGCCTAATTCGTGATGCCCCTTGTTGGAGAGAGATGGCACGGGTTCGGGCCATGGGCACAGAACGCATATCACACCAGGCGTGAGATGCCGTGCAGAGCTTTGTTGCGCTCTGATGATCCGTATTGCATTCGGGTTAGTCGGATGAGCTGCAACCACGACACCCACAATGAACGCATTCGACCACTGTCCCTGGACGCAATTGCGCTTTTGGAACTCGACAGATACATGTCGAGCCTTGATAGTTCATGTCCTGTTGATTCACGATGCCAAAGAAAGACTGTCAGCCTTTCACTGACCCAGCCATAGACACAGACGAAGATACTTACTCTAGACTGGATACATCGAACACAGCACAGCTTTTCGTACCCCGTTCGCTTCCATTTTGCTATCAAGCTGCGATTTCGAACACAACAGTGTAATGTCAGCATCACCACTCCCTGCTCTTTCCCCGTAGATTGGTTATAGACTTACTTTGCATCCGCATACTGATACTTCAGCAACCAATCGTAGAGTTCGCGGGAGATCGCTTCCCGTTTGTAGTACAGATCATAGATGTATCTTGAGCGTGTGTGATTGATTTGAATGATGGGCCATAAAGTTTCGACTTTTCGTTTACCATCTGTGTCTTCAGTTTCAGCGTCTCGCATCTTTCGATCGTACTCTTCGAGGATGGGCTCGATTTCGTCAAAGCCTTCTGGCGGTGGGGTTGATCTTGAGGTTCGTAGACGGGGCATTGTGATCGTATCTTCCGGAGGAGTTTCTGTCTGCAGGGACTTGTCTTTACAGCGCAGATCCGTGGCTCTATTGCTTCTACGTGCGTGATGTTGTCTGGGAGAGGAGTATAGTGGTGACCGTGAATAGTGTTGTGGTGGAAGCAGAAGAAAAAGAAGAGGCTCGTTGAGCAAGATGTCGTCTTCCGACATCAATCGATGCTTTTCCGGAATTCGGAAACCCCAGAAAAAGAAGCCGCGAAAAAGGGTTCAGAAATGCACTTTACGCGACACAAAGACACGAAAGTGGAGGTATATATTCAGCTGCTGTTTCACTCACCTCAGCCATCTTCCTCCCTTCCCAACAACGCCACCCCTACCTGCAGCGAGAGGTATGAACAGCTGCCAAGATGCCGAAACTGATCCGTAAGGGTCAACACATCCTACACAAGAAGACGCAGGCTCGACAGAATGGTGCTTGCCCGCCGAGGACTACCAGGCGCAACGCTTCAAACGGAACGGAGCAGAATCCCGAAGAGGAGGAAGATGTGGTAGAAGAGGTGAGCGAAGACGAGGATGAACCCGCGCTGTTCTTAGGTCGAATATCAGCAACTCCGGCGCCAGCAGGGTCACATAGAGAAACATCGGTTAGAGCCAATACTGCAGAGGCGATTGACCCAACCGAGCTGCCATCAGAGACGAGGAGGAAAGCCGCGAGCCGAAGAATTGCCGATGCAATCGAGCAGGCTGGCATTCGAAGCTTGAATCAGAGTGTTCCCTCATATTCCAGGCAGTCGCGTCCGGTACGTACAAACGCTCGAACGTCAGCAAGAAAGGTCGCACAGGAGGCCAAGTCTGAAGACGAAGCGGACCAGGACGACCCGCTTCTTGCATCCCCCACCCTATCGCGGCGCTCACTGGGCCCCGCAGTGGCAGTGAAGGAAGAAGCCGAATTTATCCAGATCAAGTCTGAAGATGAGGACGATGATGCTGGATTCCAGATAGTCTCGCCGCCATGCAAGCCTGCGGCTCTGCCCTCGAACGGAGGATCACTAAGAAGGACACCGGCACCGGCACCAACGCCAGCGCCAGCCACCACATCGATGCCGCCTCCATCTTCCCCACCACGAGCTGCAACGACTGATCTAGCGCCCGTGCCGACTACACCACCGCCTGTTGCCCAAAGACAAAAGCGAGGGCGATATGCTCGCTCGGCCACAGCCTCCGCAAACTCAACTCGAGACGCAATCGTCGGAAGGCAACCATCAGCAACGCCCTCAGATCTGTCTCGGTCTGTCTCAGAGATTCCTGCGCTGGAGAAGCCAGTACTCGAACGCACAGATCCATGGCCAGAGCACTTTCTCGAACTCGAAAGGACCTTCCGTGCCATCAACACAGTCTACTCCTTCTGTTCAGCTCGCAAGCATATGACCACAACTTTCGATACCATCAAGAGCAGTGTTGAAGGGCTCACCAGACGGCCCTTGCAGATCTTTGATATTGCGCAGATCAAGAGCCTATGTGGTGACCTCATTCACTTTGCGTACGTCGAGCATGATATGTTGCAGGTTCACATGGACAGCAGAGCCAACGCAGAGGATCCCGCGAGCAACACGGTCAAGAAGAAGTCACGTACGCAGTTGCGAGACGAGCTATACGAGAGAGTGGCTGAAGCAATCGCAGATGGCGATCCATATATTCCGGACAGTCCGAACTCGATAGCAGCCGCTGCCATTAGAGCGGCGGCGGCAGTAGACTCTGCTGGCTTTGCGACAACAGGCGGCGGATTCCAAGATGTCGCTGATGAAGATGCTCAAGGTAGACCTCAGGGCCCGTTGTTGCCTCCTGCCGAGCTCGAAGTACAGCAGCTCCAGGCGAAAGGCAAGCAGAGGGCCAGAGACAAATACGTGCTGCTATTTGAATTCAACGATGGTACTCTCCAAGGACCTAAAGCGACCGCTCGTGGACGTCCAGGTATGCGTCGAGGACCCAAAAGGGCGCCAGGCAATCCCAACGCTAAGCCAAAACAAAACCTGAAGCTGTACTCGCTACCCTCAACAGCATCCATGATGAAGCTCATCAACAAGCGCAACTTTAAGTTCGAGCAAGCTGTACTCGAGCTACTAGCTGCATGCAAGGTGAAAGACGAGGATCCTGTCCAGCTTCTCATCGATGCAGCACATGACCATGTGCCGCTCAACCCCGAGACGGCTTCCAGGGCAGAAGGTGATACACCTCAAAAGAAGCGCATCCGACTCGAGTTCCTGATGAAGAACCCTCAGCATCGGCCAAGCATCGCTTCGGTCATCGAGGAGATGAAGATTGCTCCGTGGTGGAAGGATCAGATCGTTCCTGGTGGGCACAAAGTGTTTGATGAGCGACCGGCGAAGACTGGAGAGCTCAACTATCTGCTCTCGCAGGGTGTTGTTAACGCACTGTATGCAACGCATGGTATTGAACAGTTCTATGCGCATCAAGCTGAGGCGCTCAATGCCTTGCACGAAAGGAAGAATGTCATTGTTTCCACCTCGACGTCGTCAGGCAAGTCGCTCATCTATCAGCTGCCTGTACTTGGCGCCATCGAAGAAGACGGCGACTCGACAGCCATGTTCATCTTCCCCACCAAAGCTCTGGCCCAAGACCAAAGGCGATCGCTGCAAGGCCTCATCTCCAACTGCGAGGGAGTCGAAGGTGCCATCGTTGCCACCTACGACGGTGACACAGACAAAGACCTGCGCAAGGACATCCGCGAGCGCGCCAATGTCATCTTTACCAATCCTGACATGCTTCATCAGTCTATCCTACCGAGTGAGGATCTATGGCGACGTTTCCTCCGCAATCTCAAGTATGTCGTCGTCGACGAACTGCACATCTACAACGGCCTATTCGGAGCGCATGTCAGCTTCATCATGCGTCGGTTACGTCGTATCTGCAGTGCACTTGGCAACCGTTCTGTTCAGTTCGTCAGTTGTAGTGCTACGGTGGCAAACCCGAAGCAACACATGCAGACGCTCTTCGGAGTAGAGGAGGTCCATGTGGTGACCGAGGACGGCTCGCCTGCAGGTCGAAAAGAATGGCTCATCTGGAACCCTCCCTACATCGACGAATCTGATCCTGCCCAGGGAAGGGTAAGCTCGTACGCCGAAGTGAGCAAAGTCTTCCGTCATCTCATCCAGCGAGGTGTGCGAACTATCATTTTCACCAAAGTCAGGAGGACGTGCGAGATTGTCATGCGTCAAGTGCGAAATGACCTTTTGCTGGAGGATCGACCCGATGTAGCCAACAAAGTCATGTCCTACCGATCTGGCTACTCGCCCCAGGATAGGAGGAAGATCGAACAAGATATGTTCAAAGGTCAATTGCTTGGCATTGTCGCCACCTCTGCCCTCGAGCTTGGTATTGATATCGGAAGTCTAGACGCAGTCATCATGCTAGGGTTCCCGTACTCGATCTCGAGTCTGCGACAACAAGCGGGAAGAGCAGGTCGAAGACAGAAAGATTCGCTCTCGGTGCTCATAGGTGATCCTTGGCCCATGGATCAGCACTACATGCATTTCCCTGATGAGATCTTCCTTCAGCCTGATGCAGCACTCTCCGTCGACCTCGGCAACGACTTCATTCTCGAATCGCACCTCCAATGTGCAGCCGAAGAAATGCCAATCACCATTGAGGATGATGAGCAATATTTTGGCCCGCATCTCGCAACTCTCTGCAAGACAAGACTCGAAACCGACGGTACAGGCTTCTTCTACTGTCGCGAAGAGCTCCGACCCAACCCCGCCCGTGACGTTGCCATTCGTGGGACCCGTCAAGACAGCTATTGCTACATCGACGATACCCCCGGTCGACCGGGCGGCGCCAAAGTCATGGAAGAAGTCGAAATGGAACGTGCAATCTTTGAAGCTTTCGAAGGAGCCGTATTCATGCATCAAGGCCTCTCCTATATCTGTCAAGATATCAACCACGAAACTCGCATCGCACGGATGGTCCAAGCTGATGTCAACTACCACACCCGTCCTCGAGACCACACCAACACCGACGCGATGGAGACCTACCGCATTCGACGCTTGCGCGAGTCTCCGTATTTGGCGTACTACGGCAAAGTTACGATCGCAAGTTATGTTTGGGGTTACTTCAAAGTGGATAGACAGGCGAACATTTTAGATGCTGTAGAAGTGGATTGTCCACCGTTCATCAGGCATACAAAAGGGTTATGGATTGATGTGCCCACATGGTTGATCGATACGATGACGGAGAAGAGGATCAATGCAGCAGCTGCTATCCATGCTGCTGAACATGCGCTTCTCTCCCTCACACCCATGTTCGTCGTCTCTGTAGCAGGAGATGTAAGAACAGAGTGTAAGATCGCAGAGAAAGAATACGCGGCCAAACCTAGTTCGCGCAAACGTCCTGCTCGACTCATCTTTTACGACATGCCGGGGCAAAATGGCGGAGTTTGCTCAAAAGCTTTCGAACATCTTGACGGTCTCATCCGCATTGCGATTAGCGTTATTGAAGCATGTCCCTGTACAGAAGGCTGTCCCAGTTGTGTTACGAGTCAGACTTGCGCGCACGCTAATCTGGTGACGAGTAAGGTGGGGGCTTTGGCAGTACTAAGGGGTATAGTGGGCAGAGAGCCTTTCGATCCGGATCTAGAATTGCAGAATGAACCAGGTATCGCACCTTCACAGTTGGGCGAGAGGGAAAGCGTGCATGGTACGATCGCGGAAGCCGTGCCGGTGAGAGTGGCAAAGGAGTTGGGTGGAGCGGTGGATGTGGAGGATGTGGAAGAAGTGTTACCGCCCAGCTTGCAGAGAGCGGTGGATGAAGCGGTTAGGAGGAGAGGTGAGGGTGGAGTCGGGGGGATCATGGCGGCGGGACCGAGTGGAAGTAATGGTACTGGTCCGGGTGGTGGTTTCTTGCCTGGGAAAAGTATGCTGTTTCAAGAGTAGAGCTTACTGTCACATACACGAAACGTCTTTGTCGAACGAAATGCCATTGCTTTAAACAAGCTGATGAAAGAAAACAAAGATGGAAACATGGAAGGAGGAGTGAAGGGGAATGTTACCCGACGAATGTGACCTCCTACTCCTGTAAGCATGGCGAGTAAGTGGTGTCTGTGCGGGGTCCTGTCTCCTCTTCCCCCTCTCTCATCTCCATCCAATGAAGGACAAGGTAGAAAGAGAAAGAAAAAGAGCATGAGGTGCAACAATCTTCCCGCTACTAAAAATTGATGGCAACCACATTGGTTCGGTTGTCAACAGAGTGTTAAGCGGGATATTCTCATGGGGGCTGGACGTGATCCATATGATGAGAAGGGGAAGAAAGGGTCACAGGCAATGTCGTTGCAGTCGGATCATAGCTGTTGGAAATGCGATGGTGTTGTTCGTTGTTGGTGGAAGAAGGTGCAGTTAGAAGAAACGCCAAGTCTTTCGCTCACTTTTCTTTTCTTTTTTTTTTTTTTTTTTTTTTTTTTTTTTTTTTTTGGCTTTTCTTCTGACGGACAGGCCCAACTTCCGCGTTCCGCAGTCTGGAGTTTTTCGGCCGGTTCCTCCGTCAATCGAGTCAGGATGCAACACTTCTTCCCCACACTCATCACGTATAAAGCTTCCTCCCTCCTCCGACTTGCGCCCTCTTCGTTCCCGTCCCGATTCACATCATAGCGAAAGAGGAGCGTCTGGAAAGATGACATCTCAGAAATACCACAGAAGCGAAGATGCAACAGTCTATCGTCAGAATGCATCTTTCGTCTACTCCTCTGCCTACACAGCGCCCGTCTTACAGCTACTTGACCCTCAACCTGGCGATAAGATTCTCGATTATGGTTGTGGTAAGCACCCTACCTTCTACCCATATTAGCTCTTAGATCTCAAACTCATGCGATCCTCACTCTGTCTTGACTGCTGCCCTTCTATCTTGAAAGGAAGCGGAGAAATAACCCTGGACTTGGCCACAATCGTTGGCCCGGACGGAGAAGTCACCGGACTGGACGCCAGCGACGATATGATCATCAAAGCATGTAACCTTCATGCCTCTCATCCGACTCTACAGCCAAATGCACCGCTACAATTCATTACCCAAGACGGCCATGATAAGATCCCGTTGGAGCATCTTGGAGTATACGACAAAGTCTTCAGTAACGCAGCTCTACACTGGATGAAGCGCGATCCCTCTCTCGTACTCTCGCGTATCTATTCGGCAATCAAACCCAATGGCATCTTCGCTGCGGAGCTTGGTGGATTTCTCAACTGCGTCGGTATTCGCTCACAGCTTCACTTGGCCCTCAAGAGGCGAAGCGTCGATCCGGAGAAGTACGATCCATGGTTCTTCCCCTCCCCGGATCAATACAGCGCACTGCTAAAAGAGGCTGGGTTTGAAGTGGAGAGCTGCGAGCTGGTGCCGCGCATCACACCACTGCCGAAGGAGAGTGGTTTGAGAGGGTGGCTCAGGACTTTCGCTGGGCCTTTCTTGAACGCGATAGAAGGCGAGGAAGAGAGAGAAAAGGTGGTAGGGGAGGTAGAGGAGGCGGTTAGATGCGATTGCTTCGATGCAAACAGTGGGGTTTGGAGCGTTATGTATGTTCGGTTGCGGGTGAAGGCGCGAAAGCTTTCTCAGCCATGATCTCAAGCTATGTCAATGAGCAGCGAAAGATAGATAAAAGATCGAGAGGTGCGGTGTGGAAGAGCTCCAGTCTGAAAGAGGAAGGCCTCGTTGTGAGTTAGCCGGTGCCAGAGCGGCAAATTTATCGGAGACCTTTTTTTTTTTTTTTTTTCTTCTTTTTTCTGGAGATTGGCGGAGCGGGCTTTTGCGCCTTGCGAGATCTTCTTGCGCAAAGAGGCAAATCAAGTCTCTGCGCATGTAGCCGAGCTCTTCCTCGTGGGCATGCTTCTTTCTTGTCGTGTTCGTGTTCTTCTATCCCTACCACCATCATCTCACCACATAATAGACCCGTAGATCTCGCACAACATGACGGTCAACGGCAACCACGCGACAAATGGCGCCACTGCCTCCTCATCTTCTCACAGTCCTCTTCAAATCGAACCAGCCTCAGTCGAAGCCGCCCGTATCCTTCCACAGGCTCTCGAACTGGTCCAAAACTTCATCGCATCAGGCGAGAAACCTCTGACCTTCGTCGCACCATGGGGTAACATCCCCGACTTCCGAAAAGCCGTCTCACTCAGTCTCCCCGATACGGCCGACCCTACGGATGACACCGCTCTTCTCGAAGCAATCAAGCTCGTTTTTGACAATTCGGTCAACCCATGGACCGGCCGCTTCCTCGACAAGCTCTATGCAGCGCCTACGCCTGTCGGTATTGCAGCAGACCTGGTGCTGAGTGCGGTGAACGCCAATGCGCATGTGATGTCTGCGAGTCCAGTGCTGAGTCTGGCGGAGGAGAGATGCATCGAGGGGTTGTGCGAGGTGTTTGGGTTTACAGAGAAGAAAGCTGATGGGTTGACGATGCCAGGTGGTTCATCGGCAAATACGTTAGCTGTGCAGACAGCATTGGCGAACGTTTTCCCTAGATTTAGGACGCAAGGATTGCTAGGAGTAATGCAGGGACTGTTGGAGGAAGGCAAAGCGACAAGACCGTTACTGTTCACTTCTGAGCAATGCCACTATTCGCTTGACAAGGCTGCAATTTCGGCTGGGTTGGGACTGGACTCGGTAATCAAGGTCGCTTGTGGCTCTACCGGACGCATGAGTCCTGAAGCTCTCGACATTGCCCTCACTCAAGCAAAAGAGCAAGGCACTGGAACACCGTTCCTCATCAACGCCACATCCGGTACCACCGTGCTAGGTTCGTTCGACCCTCTTCCCGAACTCTCCACCATCGCGCGTAAACACAATTGCTGGCTGCACATCGACGCATCTTGGGGCGGACCGATCGTCTTTTCCCACCGTCGCCTCTACTCCAACCTCATGAAAGGAAGCGAACTGGCTGACTCGATCACCATCAACCCGCACAAACTGCTCAATGTACCTCTCCAATGCACCTTCCTACTTGTCCGAGATGCAGACACGCTGTCAGCAAACAGTTTGGACGCAGGCTACCTGTTCCACTCGAAAGACCGCCGTGAGAATGCAGCGATGAAGACGATGGGATGTGGACGTCGTGGCGATGCGCTCAAGTTTTGGCTCTACTGGCTAAGGTATGGCAAGGATGGGTTCGGTGAGCACGTTGATGCGGGATTGGATTTGGCGACGGAGTTGGTGGAGTATATCAGAACAAAGGAAGGAATTGAGCTGGGACCTTTGGCTGATCCGTTGTTCTTGCAGATCTGTTTCAGACCGCTTCCGTCAGGTGCGAAAGGGGAAGCGAAGGGAGAGGAAGAGGTGGAGAAGAGAAGTGAAGCAACGCAGTTCGTTTATGCCGAGTTAAAGAAGAGAAGTATGTTTGCGGTCGATTTCGCACCATTGCCAAATGCGATTGGGGACTTTGTGAGGTTGGTGGTTCATCCAAGGACCAAGATGGAAGATCTGAGGTCGTTGGTTGATCAAGTTGGCGACATTGGCGAGTTGTATTGGAAGCAGGCCTGAAGCTGAAACCATGATTTGTAGACGTCTTAGTATATAGAATACAGCAATGGTCACACCGTCACAGTTCCAAGTCACGCTATACTGTTCGGCTGAGCCGTTGGAATCAATGTGAATGCCGGATCAGCCGATTGAGCATACATTCTGGTAGGCTGATCCGATCAGCTGCTGAGAAAGGTTGTCGGAAGCTATCCGATGATAAATCTCGATTGTGAGTGGGAGCGTGGGAAAGATGCGGTTTTTTTTTGAGGATGATGGAGGAGTTTCCGAAGACTTGAATTGCCCTCCACCCAAGCGCAGCAACAGCGCGAATGCACGCGCCTTTTCTGCTCTCTGTCTTCTTGCGTGCTGTGATGTTTCTGCTGCTGACAGGCCAATTTTTCGGATGGCAGCCGATTTTAAACCATGTAAAACGTGCCCAATGCTCATCGTCACACTATCATCCTTCCTACCCGTCACCCCGTCACTATCCCTGCTCTCTCCACCATCAGCAGCACAGCAGGGAGACTACAACTAGGATTCCTACTCTGCCGAGTGACATTGGCCTATCATGTACCGCAGCACCCGATCAACAAAGCAGTCCTCCAAACTCAAAATCCTCCCCGAGGAACCGGAAGACAGTTCCACCGGCGCACCTAGTGGAGGGGCTACACCTCTCAATGCTTCCTCTCCCACCATTGGCGGCGGTGCTGCCATATTCGGATCTGTTGGCGGACAAAGCATTCTAGCCAACCCATCCAGCGGCTACCGACGCAATCCAACGCATTCTGAACCGCCTAACCCTACCGCTTCACTCGGGAATGCAAACTCGCCGCATCACTCAGTCGATGATGACGACAGCTCGTCAGACGATGCTGGCGAGGGAGAGGATGAGGAGGCTGTAGAAGTGTACAAGCAGCTGGCTCAGATTCCGGAGGGTTCGATGAGGCGGGATGCGAGGAGGTTGACGAAGCGATCAAGGGCCAAGTTGCCGCGTGTCACGGCTTATTCGACGGCTACATCGTATAGGATGCGAGAGTTGACCAAATGGTTGAATGCGAGGAGATCAAGTCATCAGACCAACGTGCTTACTTTTGACGAGTGTTTGTATACTACTTACACCTATAAACACGTTGATGAGGCAAGAGGGCTCATTCCAGCAAATGCGAATGGTGGAACTGGTTCGGGAAAGCTTTCGCTTTCGCATTTGCATTTGCATTTGCATTCGCATTCGCATTCGCATCGATCAAATAAGGACGCAAAGACGGGAGATCTGCTCGGAATCCCGGAACTGAATCAAGATTCAGAAGAACAGCAGCAACAAGACGGCAATGCAAGCCAGGCAGCCAATGCTTCAAGCGAGAACGCCGAGGCAGCAGCCAAACGCAAACGTAGTCGATTCTCCGTCGACGACGTGGTTCCTGAACTCTTCATCATGGACTACGGTACTATCGTCATCTGGGGTATGACTTTGCAAGAAGAGAAACGATTCCTCCGAGAACTCCGTCGATTCGAAGTAGAACGCCTCGCATCAGAAGACATCGAATCCGAAGACCTTCACTGGTACCTCGCCGACTATTCCCGCATTTACAACGATGTCATCACCCTCCGTCGCGGCTCCTCTTACATGACCAAACTCTCCCTCTCCCATGCACTTGCCCAATCAACCAAAATCTCCTTCTTCGAAGGTATCATCGATAACACCATCGAATCTACAAAGGACATCCCACAATCCATCGCCGAAAGCGGTAAAATTGGAATGCCACCCGCAGAAATCATGAAACAGATCGGTCACCTTTTCATTCTACGAATGAACATTCATCTGGTGGGGAGTATTGTCGACAGTCCAGAGATTTTCTGGAGACAACCGGACCTGGAGCCGTTGTACTCGGCCGCAAGGAGTTATCTAGAGATCCCACAGAGGATAGATCTGTTGAATACGAGGGTGGAAGTGTTGCAGGACATGTTGCAGTTGTTGAAGGATCAGGTGACGAGCAGTCATTCAGAGTATTTGGAGATCGTAGTGATTTTGTTGATCATGTTGGAGATCGTGTTGGGCGTGGCGACCATGTTGGTTGATCTTTACTTTGGCTAGACGCACACCGTTAACACAGGCAATCATTCTCTTTCTCGCTCCCATGTCGATGTCTCCAGGCGGTGTCATCAGCGATTTGTGCAAGTGTTCTCTATTGCAATGAGAGTGGTGTATTGCATATCGAAGCAGTTGATCTAGCTGGCACGTACACCTCTCAGCCCAAACCTCCAGAACAAAATCCCAGTGGCGATACCCCCCAAATGTCCCGCAGAATCCGTCCTTCCTCCCGGCCTATTCGCAGCATGCCACAAGTCCCAAGCAAAGATCCCCGTAACACAAGCCCAAGCGGGAGCAGGGATTACAAAGAACATCAAAAATGTCGCTTTCGGATGAACACATGCAAAAGTACTCATAATCGCATACACTGATCCACTTGCTCCATGACTGAAATCCGCTCCTTCTTTATCATCGTGAACAACCTTTTTTCCGATCATGGAAACAATACTGCTCGCCACACCCGCTCCAAAGTATAACGCCAAAAAAGTAGACGGCCCGGTAAGCGCGAGAACGGGGGGAGCCATGAAGGAGAGAGAGATCATGTTGACTAAAAAGTGACCCAATTGCGCGTGGGAGAGACAGGAAGTGATCATTGTCCACCATCGTCCCTCGGAGAGGTTTAGCCATCCGGAGAGGAAGTTTTTGCATAGGAAGATGAACGGGCGAGAGTCGGAGAATTTTCGTAATGTTTCTGAGGCGTAAAGCCAGGATATGAAGACGAGAAAGTTGAGCGCGAGGAGGGTGTAGAGGACGAAACTCTGGGGAAGGCCGGAGAAGAAGCGAGTATCGAGGGATGCCATGTAGGATAGGAGTCGGTTGGGGCCTCTGGCGCCGTTTGAGGGTGAGCTGGGAGATTGAGGTTTGTGACCGAAGAGGGGTGAGGGATGACGCCGGGAGGGGCGTCGCTTGCTTGGTGGACCGTCTTCTGATTTGAGCCGTGGCATCTTGGAGAGTAGGAGGCCTAACAAGGGCAGGGCTTGTAGGGGAGAGGTGAGGGACGAGGAGCTGAACGACCGCAGAAATGAGAAGGGCGGCGGTAATAGCTGGAACTGCGAGCTCTTTAGTTCAACACCTTGTGTCGAGGTTGAGACGATCGTATTGCTTGACGCATGTGTCATCATGGCTCTTGAGCAAGCTGATAACGGGCTCATCTGCAGTGATGTGACGGTCCTTTTCGTCCGAAGATATGATGCATCCAACGTTTCCCTAAGCGACTTTGTAGAGGCATGGTAGCTTCTTGTGCCGGTAGCACAGTTCGACGACGATGATCCGAGTAATATCATAGTCGGCATTGCGCGAGCTAGCCTGATCGAGCTCGTTGTAGACAGGGATGTAACGAGGTTGCACGACGACGCCGATAACGACCAGGGCCATAATGAGTGCTTCATGATCAGAAGCTCTGGCCGTAGTTCCTTCCAATGATCCGACTCGATTCGTGGGAGGATGATGGAAAGCAGTGAAGAGAGGAAGGGCAAAAGCAAAAAAGCTGGCAAAGTGAAACAAAGGGACTCTGGGCTTCGACTTTTGATTGCTTGCTGACCAAAGCGCCATCTGTCGAGTAAAAAGTCTTCCCGATGTGTGTTTCCCGATTTCCGGTTTGGTGTTGGTGTTAATTGCAGCGGCGCGCGCACCAACACACTCAAACGCACGCGTGCTAAGAAGAAATCTTCGAAGCTGTCTTCCCAAGTGTTGCTTTCTTCCTCTTCCTTTCTCTCCTCACCTACTCTCACCAAGCACGGAGCATATCGTCAAAATGACAGAAGCATCAACGTCAGCAACAGTAGCAACAGCAGTCGTATCAAGCAGCTCCGCAGGGCCCTCATCCACCTTCATCGAATCCTCTTCGGCGTATCAGGCTGGACGATCGCATAGCCACCGTGAAGACCAAGAAGACGATGGGGAGGATGACGACGAAGCACTCTTCGCAGAACTAGACAAGGAACTGGATATGATGGAAGACAAATCCAACTTTAACCACAACGGAGACTCAGTAGCCGACTTTGACATGGCAGAGTTTCGAGAACGTCGAATAGAGGAGTTACGGCAAGAGTAAGTCAATCCCCTTTCCCACCTCCTTACTTCCTCTCCTTACCCTTGCCCCTTGCTAACCTTTCTTTCCTACCGCTCGGCTTTTCTAGAATCGCCGCACATAAAGAATTCTCAAACCCCACCTCGGAATTCTCTCTACAACAACACGCGAGCACAGCATCAATGAAGGGCCTACTAACCGACATTACACACGAAAAAGACCTCATCCAATTCTCCTCCAACGAACGCCAGGTCGCTATCCATTTCTACCACCCCAAATTCTCCCGTTGCGCCCTCCTCGATCGCCATCTCACCGTTCTCGCACGACTACATCCCACAACGCTGTTCCTCAAAGCGAACGTTCTCAACTGCCCTTTCCTCACTGCGAAACTCAGGATTACTGTACTACCCTGCTTGATAACTTTCAAAGACGGGATGAGCAAGGATAAGATTGTTGGTTTCGAAGAGCTGGGGAACTCGGATAAGTTTTCCACGGGTGTGTTGGAATGGAGGTTAGGTCAGAGCGGGATTATTGATCCGAGAGAGAATAGGAAGCCCATCTTTGGGTTCGGTGGGGATAATAATGCGAGTGGGGAGACGGTTGGGAAGGGAGTGGTGGGAGCGAGGAAGGATGAGGAGGATAATTTTTGGGATGACGAGTGATCTTTCGGTCGCATTTGTAGCAGCAGTATCCCATACCTCACAGCATGAACAAGATCAAGGAAAGATGGTTGCCAACCCTTCAGGCTGGCTTTCAACGATCTTTAGCATTCTGTGCGTTTCAACACGAGATATCTTGATATTGTGGGATGAGTTTGCACTCGAAGCAAGCTCGTGTCTCGCTTTGGTGCTTACCAGGTCAGGTTGCATCACGCGGACATGTCATCTTGAGCTGGATTACATCTTTCATTTCGCTGTGCAACGTTCAAACTCTGTCGACTGATTGCATGATCGTAAGTCGGCCAATTCGATGTAGTCTCTTACATGGTCTTGACCTCGCTGTCCGGCTCGACGTACTCGCTGTTGTGTCGCGAAGGTGAGTTGAAACCGCCAGACACAGGTACGAAAAACGTAGAGTTTTGCGTCAGTGATCACTCTCCCTTCTGGCTACTTGTGTCCCGTACTTACATGTGCTCGTGCTTGCCTCCAGCACTAGCGGTAGTCAACTCCTGGGCAAAGTTGTCCGGAATCGTGGCAGCAAAACCACGCATGATGCTCGAGTCAAAAGTCTGCTTTACGGTACCACCGGCTTGTTGGATCTTGGACTTTTGCTCATCAATGGCCGACTGAGGGGTGCCATCTTTGAAGATGCTGTCATCAACAGCATTCGGGCATCGAGGAAATCCCTTTTGCGTCAGTAAGATGGCCTTGAGGTGATGGAAAAGTTAAAGGTGACGGTGGGGGTTGAGAACTTACACCATGTAAGGCTTGTGTTCCGCCATTTTGGATAGCAAAAGGAGGCTGGTTAGTCGAGGAAGAAAGTTGGATCGTATTTTGATGACTTTTGCGGGTCCTAGAAGGTCAAAGCTTGGGATAAGAGAGCAGTGTTTGGGATGGTGTAGTGGTGGGAAGAGAAGGAGGAGTTCTGGGCTGTGTTGATAAGCGGAGCATGATGCAGCCTTGGACTTTCTCTCCACATTTCAAGGACCCTTGTCACGCGCTCGGACCAGGCACCGTTAATTTTCCGACCGAGAGAAAAAGAAAAAGAGCTCAGTTTCAACCTTCTTTCCTGCTTCTTCTCATACCCTTCAGCTTGAGCTGCAACAATGGACGACGATGCAGCCACTTCCACTCTATCAACCCTTATAGCCCGTATAGAGGCCTATGCAGCCGATCCAACCCTGTTCAGTATTCCTGGCCCTTCAACTCGACATCCTCTCTGGCTCGAAGATGAATCGCAGCGCCTCGATTCAGCGACGCAGCTCGCAGAGGAACTGATGGCTTTGCAAAGCATCTATACTGACGAAGCGATACACTTGCTCAGTATCACCTCCCTCAGCGGAGATACGTCCAGTAGCGCAGAAGACCAGACAGGGAAGGAAGACGTAGCAGACCCGCAATCTTGGCTACCTGGGTCAAAGATCACTCTTTCCATCTCGACGGATATTGAAACATCAGGATCGGAGGATGCGATACCAACACGACTCGCCGTCACGATGCCTTCATTCTACCCGTACAGTGCACGACCGCCACAGCTACAACTTCTGTCGAAATACATTGGTGGCTTCAGCGTCGACAGTAAGCTCTTTGGTGAGATTCTGAGGGCGTTTTATCATCGAAAAGATGACGAGGTGGGAGGGGAAGTTGTTGATGCGGAAGAAGCAGCAGCGAGTGCGGCCTGGGTCGGTGGGAGTATGGATAAAGGCGTGAATTGGGGTCCCGGAGAAGTGGTGCTTTTTGAGGGCATCGAATGGGTGAAAGAGAAAGTACTGGATTGGTGGACTGAGAGGCAGGCTGAACGGGCTAAGAATGCACCTGCCACCTCAACAACAAGCCCGACGCCAACTGAATCGCACAGCAACGTCACCACCTTCGACACTGCCCCCGTGCTTTCTCAGCCAAAACCGTTCGCAGGCATCCTCTTCCAAACAGAATCCCTCATAGAACGCAAATCGGAGTTCATCGGATACGCAGCTTCCATCTCTTCGCCTGATGAAGTTCCTTCCGTTCTCACCCGCATTCTCTCCGACAAGAGAGTGGCGAGAGCAACACATCCGATCATCAACGCTTGGGTATACAAAGGGGCGGACGGAGTGGTGCATAGGGACTGCGACGATGATGGAGAGACAGCAGCTGGTGGGAGATTGGCGCATTTGTTGAGTATATTGGAATTAGAGAACGTGATTGTGGTCGTAACTAGGTGGTATGGTGGTGTGCATTTGGGCCCGGATAGATTCAAATTGATCAATAAGAGTGCTAGAGAGGCGTTGGAACTTGGTGGCTTCATCGGCGGCAAGGGTGGAGATGAGGAGGGTGGGAGGGGGAAGGGTATGGGCAAGCGCAACATTTAGGTTACACACTTGGCAGCATTGTACGATAAGAAGAAATTGCAAATGCGATACGAACAAAACGAGCGGGCCTAACGATACATCTATGACAAAACGGGGTACAAGTACAAGTCTATGAAGGGAAAGCTTATCTTTAATGAGCAAGGATTCTCGAACCCGCGATGCCACCTTGTAGGACACGAATGTTGACCATCTCACTAGCCTTTGCCAGCGTATCTTGGATCAACAGCTCCGGGGTGGTAGCTCTGCTAGTGGCAGTACTTGAAGCTTCCGAAGAGCTTGGCGAAGAATCCAAGCTGCTATTCCGACTGCTACCGGAAGGATCCAGTGTATCACGAATGCATTCCTCTACCGCGTTCTTGTCTATCCTTGCGCCCCAGATGGATCCGATAAAACCGTCGGCGATGTTGACCCGGATCGGCGGACTAGCTAGAGCGAGACTAGAGACTGTCTTCGGATCCAGTCCCGTTACCGAGCGGAGGTTCAAATTAAGAGAACGAGACTGGCTTCTGGAAGAAGAGATGTGAATAAGGGAATCCGCCAGGTCAGCTCCGCCTGTAAGTGGAAGCATTGTATTCCACAACTCCAGCGTCTCTAGCTTCCCACACCCGACCAAACCTTTTGCGAGTGAGGGAATGATTTGGTCAACAATGACGATGCTCAATCCCATTATTGCGTTTGCGTCGCATCTCGGTGGGGCCCATCGGAAGCGCTTTGATCGTTGTAAGCCCTTGACTGCGTTTTCGAATGCCAACGCTTCGGTAAGGCGGAACTCGTCTGTGGTGAGGATTTCGGAATGTCGTACGCTGAAGAACTCCAACGAGACTTCTTCGACGTTGGTGCATAGGGATAGTGCTTGTGAGGCGAGGAGAAGTCGATCGCGTGATCGAGAGGCACTGCCTTCGGGGTTGCCAAATAGGGATGTGCCGTCTCCTCCACCGGGTACGCCAGGGATGTTGATCGTGATGCTATCCAGAGTGTAGATTGGGCAGTAGCGATGCGAGCCTGAGGTGGGAGAGATGAATCGTGAGAGTTGATCAATAGAGTAAATGCAAATAGAAGAGTAGAGCTTGGGCAAGAACAGGTCGTGGAAAAGAGTGCAGGTGGTGAGTAGAGAGGTGGTGTTGTTCTCCGCAGCGGTGGCGAGGGGGAGGTCGGAGATGTAGTGCTGTGCGATGAGGTGTAGGATCTCGGGTGGTAGCGAGACCAGTTTTAGCTTGTGGGTCCGTTGCGTCATGGTGAAACGCTAGAAGCGGGGAGTGTATGGAAGGGGTCCAAAGGTGGAGCTGGACGAGCCGTTGACGGGAGCCAGCATCAGCGATCTATATAGTCAACGAACCGGTGGGCAGGCATGGTTGATGTTGGTGACGGTGGTACAGAAAGCGAAAGCCACACAGCCTGTCCTCGTTTGTGAGGGACACCAGCTCCTGCTGTCAGGTGTGTTGTTCTATCGTGACTCGTTTGCCCTCACGATTGGACCGAAGTCGCGGTCAGCTCTGATTTTGCCATCCCGAAAACGTCATTTTCTCGATCCGATTTCACACGGCATCGATATTTTCTCAAAGTGTTAGGCCTTTGCAATTTCGCGAGCTAGTTTGCTATCACGCGTGGTCAAGCATCTTGGTAGCTTGGCCCGATTCGAAGGCGGGATGCGAGTTTACTGCGCTGTGTTAGTTTCAGGCCAATAGCCAAAGCGGGTGGAGCAGCGCAGTGCCCAAGACCAACACAGCCATTTCTTGGCATGGAATTTTAGGCGTCCGCTTAGGGTTAGGGTTACATATGGGTGCCCGCTAGACGTTCAACACTTTCTCAGCTTACCTTGACACTTGACGATCATCTTTCCCTTCCTTCGTCGTTGACATCCATTGTCACAACTCCATAAGCGGCGCTTCCGAACAACGACATTAACGAGCATACGAGGCCGGTCCTGTGTGCACTCTCATCCACCTCAACCTTCGACTACAAAAACGTACACACTTGCATCGGACGGCCTCACCATCATGCCGCACCTTCTACTGCAAAGACAAGCCACATCAGGCCAATCACGCATCGACCCAACAAAGGATCAACGCACAACCATTATAGTAGCCTGCGTCTACGCCGTTGCTATCGTCATCCTCTGGAACATTCCGATCCTCAACTATCTCCTCTACCCATTCAAGCTTCTCACGGTCGGCTTCCACGAATTCTCCCATGCCGCGGTTGGCCTATGCACGGGTGCAAAGATCGAGTCGATCACACTGGAACCCAATGAAGGAGGAGCAACACGTATGCGAGGTGGTATTCCCTGGCTCACCCTTCCCGCTGGCTACCTCGGGTCATCTATCATCGGAGCAGCCCTGATCGCATGTGGTTTTGACGAGCGAGCCTCCAAAGTAGCCAGCATCGTCGTTGGTGTTTTCTTTCTCTTCACTCTCTGGTGGGCGAGAAGGGATTGGTTGACATGGGTGCTCATCCTAGCAATGTGCGGCCTGTTCGTGCTATTCTGGCTAGTAGCAGGTAGTATCGCTTTGCGCTACTTTGTGTTGTTCATTGGAGTGATGAACTGTTTGTATTCGGTATGGGATATCTGCGATGATTTGATCTTCAGGAAGGTCAACGAGTCAGATGCTAGTGCGTTTAGTAAAGTTGTTGGTGGAGCACCACAGTTTTGGGGTGTGGTATGGTTGTTGATCTCAGTAGCGTTCTTCGGAGCAGGGATCGTAGTGGGCATCCTGGCCTTCAAGACACCCATGGCGGAGCAGCAGGCGGATAACTTCTTGGATGTCAATCTTAAGAGATCGCTGCTTCTTTCTGACCATGGCTTCTAAGCTACACAATTTGGACAGTGGTTTTGATGGACGATTGCGATGTAATCTTCTATCTGTTGATGTAATGCTATGATCGTATAATGTATGCTTTCTATAAATGTACGCGTCTGGGGGTATAAAGCGGTAGCCGCTTCGTGTTGAGTCTGGGATCTACTTGACAAGTTCGTCTACATTGACGTTGCTGGACGAAGCATCGCCATTGGTGGTCTTAGCTGTGACCACCTCCTCCAGCTCTTTCAGGTGGTCGATGTTCGACCATTGAATTACTACTCCTACTGCTTTGCCATAGCCGATATCGTTCTCGACAGTCTTTCCATCCGAAGCCTTGATCGTGTCTTTTTCCAGTTGTTCCTTTCCAGCTGGATCGCGTTCGAATTGACGCTCAGTCTTGATTACCATCGCTTCGAGCTCCTTGACTGCTTCAGCGGCTTTTACGTCCGGCACATCGCCTGCCTTTGCCGTTGCCAGCAACTTCTTCTGCAGCTGGTGGTCAAGCAGAAACTGGGATCCTTGCACGCCGAGGTGGATCGGTATAATTGACCAGTCTCGTTTCCTCGAAAGGTCGCCAGCTTGCACTTCCGACGTCGAGCTAGGGATCGTAGGAACGAGAAGCTCGGTAATGGAACAGTTCCAAAACCTCGAAGGCACCACACTCGGCGGTACAATCACGTATCGTCCGGGGACCAAAACCTGATTCATTAATGCGCTAATCGCTGCTCCGTGCGACACCAGCACTACCGTCTCTGTTCTCTCCTTCCCACCATCGCCACCACTAGTGGTGGGTTGAGTGACAAGATCGTTCCAAAAGCTCCCTAACCTCTCTGCAAAAGGCTCCATTCTCTCAATCCCTTCGGTATCTTCCGGCTTCTTTGAACCTCCACCATACACTTTCCCCTCTAACACACCGAATGCACGTTCTTTCAACCGGTCATCATACTCCAACTTCAGCGACGAGGGTTGATGCCTATGGATTGCTTTTGCTGTGTCGGCTGCACGACGGAGTGGAGAGGCGATGATGCGATCGATGCGGGTGGAAGAGAGGAAGCGGCCAGTAAGCTCAGCTTGTTGTCGTCCACGATCGTTCAGGTCGGTATCGAGTTGACCCTGAATGATTCGTTCGACGTTTTCGCGCGTTTCGCCGTGACGGATGATGAGCACCCGCAGCTTGGTCGGTTGCGTTGCTGTTGCTGAGGACATTGTCGAGATACGGATCAGTCTATGTAGACCGATACAAGGCGGAATGAAGTCTTTCGGATGAACCGAAATAGTAATGCTGGCTTTTGAACTGTGAGAAAGGGTCAAAAGAGGCCATGCATGGACGTGAAGCCTTTCTTCTTGGCTCGACAAGATCGCCCGATTGCACGGTTGATCTGAAATTCATCGGTCATTTTGCAGCCACAAAAGTTTTGCAAGAACAGCATGCTCTCTTGCTCGGCTTGCAGGAGCTTTTTCCAGACACCCTAGACAAGCGGCCCTCCATTTTAAACCCGGGAAGATCAATATCTCAAGAATCATGCCGACGCTTCGGCAAACCCGAGAGACACACACGCCATTTGACACAGTTAGACATGCTTTTTATTTATTTAAATGTTGCTCTAAGGCAACACGCCGTTCTCCTTACTCGCCATGCCGCTCAAGGGTGACAGACGGGGTGGTGGTCATGGACCGTATGCGCACAATGCATGCTAGTCCGTGTGTCGCTCTTGGCAGCCGTCCGGCGGCGTGTTTTGACGCGGTTTACAAAACAAAAAAAAAAAAAAAACAAAAAAAAAAAAAAAACTTTTTCGGGTTTTAGGAGGCTTCCAGCAAACCTTGATTCGTGAGAAAGCATATCGGAAGATCCGCGTTCCCACTCAGCAATGCGGCAGTACCGACAAAGACAAACATGCGAGAAAGACCGAGTCCAAGAGAAGGCCCAGCAATGGTAACGGAAAAGCCGATCGAAGCTGATTCAAGGAAGAAAGGAGGCACAAAGGGAAGATGCAGTTGGTATCCCCGACGTGCATCTTGCAGATCATCATGCTGCTTTGAGAGCGCTGGCTGTGCTGCTGCTGCCGAAGCATTGATTGCTGCCGTTCGACTCGTTTATCACCTCTGCCTCCGAGGGAGAACTACTTTTGCCTGATCTGCGCTTCGGAAGCTTATCCGTTCCTTGCCGTGAGAGTATATATACCTAAGTGCTTGATCGCTTAGACCTCAAAGCACCCCTAGCTAGACCGAAACCATACTCACACCACACTTTGCACTCGCGACAATGCTTGGCTCGTCAAGCAAGTTCATTGCAGCGGCACTCGCCGTCGGTGCCATTTCGCTCGTCCCCACCGTATCTGCCGCCAATTGGACCCGAACCTCCTCCATCCGTGGCAACGACTTTTTCTCCAATTTCGAATGGTTCACCGATAAAGACCCAACCAACGGTCTCGTCAACTATCAGTCCCAGAGCAATGCTCAATCTCAAAACCTCTCTTTCGTCGATGGTGACGGTCACTTTGTGATGGCCGTTTCCACCACACCTGTCGCTCTCGAAGGTCGCAATAGCGTGCGCATCACCTCAAAGCAAAGCTACTCGGACGGAGTCTACATCCTGAACGTGACCCACGTACCCATCGGTTGCGCTACATGGCCAGCCTTCTGGACTGCCACCAAAAACCTCGACAGCTGGCCCATCGGAGGCGAAATCGACATCATGGAAAACGCCAACAACGAATACAAAGCCAACCTCGTCTCCGCCCACACCAGCTCCTCCTGCACCACACCCACCTCAATCTCCGACGCCACCGGCACAGTCGCTTACACCAACTGTTCCGCCTATGCCCCTTCCAACCCGGGCTGTCGAGTCGAAATGAACGGCACCTCCACTCCAACATGGGGCACCTCCCTCAACCGCGCTGGAGGAGGAATCATCGCAATGGAGCGATCCTTCGGAACCACCGGCAAAGGTGTTCGCGTTTGGTACTTCCCCAACAACTCCCCCTCCACTCTCCCCTCCGATCTCAAACGAAGCAGTTCAAGCGTAAACACGGATAACTGGCCCACACCAAACGCTTACCTCCCCATCAGCTCGTGTTATGCGGACTTTGCAGCACATAAGATCATCTTCGATATTACTCTCTGCGGCGATTGGGCAGGCAACACTTACAACCAGAGTGGATGTAACGCGCAATACCCCGCTTGCAGTTATCAGGTGGGCTATAATGGAAGTAGCTTCAATCAGAGTTATTGGGAGGTGGAATCGTTGAGGTTGTTCACAGAGGGTGGGAGCACAGCGAATGCGAAAAACTCGCCTCAGACGGCGTCTAGTCAGAAGAGCACTCAGTCGGGCGCAATGTCGTTGGTAACTTCGGGAAGCTCGAAGGTCTTAGCGTTGGTGTTAGCGGTGGTTGCCTCGGTGGCGTTTGTTGCTGCTTTGTAGAGAGAGATCTACGGCGATTAATTAGAGCTTCATTAGACCCCACAATTGCATTTGTCAAGAGGTGTCAATTCCACACACCTGGTTGTCAGACATTGGGTGGGATGTAAAGATGAACGTTTCGATTTCATGATAATGTTCATGAGCGTGAACAATTGGACCGCTTCCGTCCCCGAAGTGAACACAAATCCAGCAGGTGCATGGTCTGGACTCATGGAGTTCGAACCTGTGACACTTCCATCGCCGGACGGAACTCGGGGAGGTGACGGGTCTGAAGAGGAGTCGACGTCGTAGTTGCGTTGCTGCCCGTGCCAAGCCTATGCTTGCTGGTGCTCAGGCTGTACGGAGCCAGAAGTCGCCTGAGCATATAGTGCGATGGGCCAGGCGAGGAAGAAAAGTTGGTCAGGAAGAAGAACTATGGCTGGGAGACCAACTAAGGGAAGGAAGAGTAACTGAGCCCATTCGGGCTCCAAGTCGGTACAGCGTGAACCCAGGAATCGAGATGCCCGCAGCTCCGACCGACTGGGGATGGTTCTCTTGCCAGTGTAAGCCAGGGATCGAAGGGCTTGCACTTTCAGCTGGGACGTGATGCTCATCTTGCCAGTGAAAGTCAGCATTCGAATAGCTCGGGCCTCCAAAATCGTACTTGAGAGGCTGACAGATCGACCAGTCATCGTATCCACCTGCAGGTCTCGAAGCGACTTCGAAGGTACAGATGATGAGAAGGAAGGAAAGCAAGGCCATGACATTGCCGTGCAAGAGATTGATCATGGTAAAGAATCAAAGAAGCAGAAGGCGAGAGAGGAGCTAGGCTGGGTTGATGACATTCGAGCAGCTCTGTAAGCAGAAAATCCCGACCTCTTTATAGCCGTCATCGCCGGCCGTTAGACGGGCATGGGCTGTTGGCAAGGACCTCAGCGACTTTGTCTCATACAGAGTCGATCCTCATGCTCTCGCTAAAAAGATCGACAGGCTCTTCTTTCTTCTCAAAACTAGGTGAGAGCCTGACAGCATCCGAGCACGGCGTTGGAAAAGACCGACGCTACAGTCTCACATTGTGACAGTTGATTCTGTGGGTGTATGCAGAACTCGATCGCTTATGGAAGGCACGATCGATCGAATGGCCTCGACAAAGCCACATGGCAGAGATGAGCATTGTCTTCTGTTTTCCACGTTCAGCGACAATAGTTATAATGCTATCGATTTCTCTCACCACCTTTACCCGTTGTCCCGCTCAGGTTGCGATAACCTAGTGCGCTATATGAAGCCCACTTCGGCATCGGCTTGTCGTTCCCTTTTCCGGACATTTTGCCGTCCATTTCCACTTTAGCCGCTGAAACTTTCCAAACGTCGCCAGTTGTCGTCGCCGACCGTCGTCGACTGATGTCGCTTCCGGGTTTTCTCACTAAGGCCTTCGTTGCCCGACCATACCACATGCGAGACAGAACAATAACGAGTATGATTTCATGATAGCCTTCAATGGCAGCCTAATGGGCTGTCTTGGCCAGCTCATGGAACGAAGAGTACAGATTGGTCGGAGAATGTTGAGTAAGCCGTTCGAGGTGTTTTTGCACATCAGGTACGTAGTCGGCGTCGAGTTGCCCGATCCCGTACAGAACCACCGTATACTTTTCGCCATCGTACAGCACAGGTGACCACAGAGAAACGAGGTTCCAGTAGCCACGAAATCCTGTCAGCTTCTCCAAATTGCCTAGACTTTGCCGGCGGTATTGTTGGTGACGTGAAGCAATGAGAGCAAGTCCATGTGGAGTTCGTGGCGGCAACACGTAGCGAAGTATACGGTCGCCGTGCAGTTTGTTCAACAGACCCTGTGAAAGTTCTGCAGTGTTGATGGGAAGGAACTGCAGATGGTCTAGAAAGTATTCCGAGTTGAGAAAGTCCAGATTGATTCGGCTGTTGAGATAGACAAAAATGCGTTGGTGTGATTTACCCTTGGGTACTTGGGCAGCTGGTTCCGCTCGCAGAGACGCAGTTTTCGACAAGAAGTGATATGACTTCGACTGTTCGTCTTTCAATGGTTTGCGAGAATCTTGTCCGCTTGGCAGTGACAAGGGCGGATAGTAGCTTTTTACGGCATGCCCGTCGTGAGCTATGAAAACGCGGTCTTTTGCGACGCGGCTCGAGTCCACCGGCGCAAATTGCAACTGTTGGCTTCCTAAAGCTCTCCTCATGTTCTCCATCCAGGTTTGCATCTTGCTCACGTCATTGTGAAAGAATCGCATCAGGGCATGCAGGTCATCTGGGGACATGCCCTCACGTTCTGTAGGGGCACGGCCGGCCGGTTTTTTGGCGAGCTCCTCAAGGGGCGGAACGGCAGCCTCTTCTCGAACAGGCAGACCGGTGACATCACTTCGGACCGCAGCATCTCTCTCGAAGACAGGCGAGACTCCAAATACAGGTGCTTCCGGTGCGGCGCTGTCAGCTCCTGCTCTGCGGAGTCGTTCTTCAGCGGAAGATTCTGTCGCTTGACTGATAAGCGGGCTTTCGGCGTTGTGACTTTTTGATAAAATCGTTCGAGTATACGATCTTGGGGACAGATCAGACCCACTATTAGCAAGGAAGCCTCCAAGCACACTGATATCTGAAGGGGGGAGCCTAAGATTGCGGTTCGAGTCTATCGCTTTCCGTCGGTCAATTAAATGACTGAAGTCTTGGGGTGCTTCAGCTCCAACTGCATCATCAACTTGGCTGGCAACCCGATGCAGTGGCTGATCCGTCCAGATCATCGATTGATCATACGTATTTGTTGGATCCAGGTAGTCTTGTCTCATCTCTGAGAACCAAGGATACCCCTGACTTGGCCCAGCGGGCTCATTCAGCACGTGGTCAGGGATGAGATGTCCATGTGTAGGGCTCAGAGATATCCGATCGTTACGCCATGGAGAACGATTTTGCCAGAGAAAGGCATCGACGTTGTCGCTGGAGGGTGGCTGTCCGACCGTCCATTCCGCATTGCCGCCCACCGGTACTGATTTCCCGGAACTGACTACTAGACAGAGTAGCAGGACAAGATCGAGGTGATGATCGAAAAAGTGGGCCAACATGACTAGGTAGAAGGAGAGAACGCATGGTGGGGGGAGAACAAATCACTACCTCTCCTCGTTCAGCACTTCGTTAAATATACTCAGCGCTCACAGAAGGTTGTCTTCGATCGAGTCGACTATCATATCGAACAACACCGATCTCGGAACAGCCACTCTTTCATATGTTTGCCTCGTATGGTGCACAAATCCTAATTTGGTGGGACATTAACACAATCGTCATCATTTTTGTTCTAATACTCTCTTTGTCGATAGCTTTCGCACTTTGCACCACAGCACTTTCGTACCTTGATGTTTGGGTGTTCAAATGCACCAGATCAATCTCGTCGTTGTACCATTTCATTTTGCAGTGCTGAGTCAATTTTTTGCCAGGGCTTTGTGACCACCATCATCATGCGTCGTGCCAAGTCCAAGATGCTCTCTCTGGAGACTACTGTAACCCCCGAAATGGCCAAGGGCTGGATAAGAGAAGTCAACAGGAACCTGCTTCGGGCCATCAAGGGTGAAGCGCTAGGCCAAGAGTAGCACTACAACATGAGTGAAGGTGACGAAGACCTCTCAATGCAGCTCCCCAATGACCTTGCCAACCTGCGGGCGCTGGCTTGAACTTTGTTTTGATTGCAAGAAATGCAAAATGAAATGGTACAACGACGAGATTGATCTGGTGCATTTGAACACCCAAACATCAAGGTACGAAAGTGCTGTGGTGCAAAGTGCGAAAGCTATCGACAAAGAGAGTATTAGAGCAACAAGACACATGAACTCTTGAGACGCCGGAAGAGAAGATGCCGGCTTCCGTCTCAGCCCGTAGCTCGTTGTTACACTCTTTTGATCTCGATCATGATACGTCACTTCTGAGGAAATGAGTGTGGAAATCGCGATTCAAAGAATGTAACGACGTGGTGGATTTGAAGAGAAGGGCAATAATCTTATGAATGGAAGCGTTGGCTACGATTGAAGAGAGCGGAACAACGTAGCAAGTGTCAGTCGCCTTATTTGTCAAGACGAGGACCTTCCTCTGATAGTTTGTCGTTTTAAGAGAGAGGGAGAGAGAGCGAGAGAGAGAGAGAGAGACAGCTATCGGCCCTAAAGAGATAATTCGGTCCCGAACGACCGTTGAACGAGCATATGAAAGCTTGGATAGGAAGGATACTGCTTGAGCATTCCCGGGATATCTGCTGTTGCACTCCTAGTGAAAGCGCTTAGCAGCCTCAGTCATCGCATTTAGGTGATCGTTCACTGCTTTGAAGTCGCGGGGCTTTACATAGCCCATGCCGTAGTGATCGACGGTCTTTTGAGAGTTTGGATCGCGACCCTCAGGAATGCCCCAGAAGTGGTAGAACGTCTTAACCGACCCGTCTGCTCCCACAGAAGCTGCTTCTTGGGCCAACTTCTTCCGAACATGGTGAGCGGTCATCCGGACATTTTTAATGGTACCTGCTTTTTTCGGCAATGGTTGTGGCGTTAATTCAACGAAAGGGAGTACGCGGCTAGGCTGATGGACTGACTTCTTGTGCTCGTTCCAAATATTTTTACCAAAGACTAAGGAATTAACTTTTATTAGTTTTCCGTTGAATATTTTTTCGTTGATTTTCTCAAAGACATCGTTCTTGAGGTTACGAAAGGTAGTTCGGCGGCCTGGACCTCTTTTGGACTCAATTTCCTTTTCCAACGGAGAGGCACTGTACTTGAAGCTATTGAAAGAATTGGGTTCATCCACTTTTTTTCGCATAATCTGGGCGTACTGCTCGACTTCTTCAGGGGTTTTGAAGCGGTATGGTCCTAGTTTGTAGGTTGTGCCCGAGCTCGAAGCTCCCTTGTTGGAGACTCGGCTGTGCATTGCAGTTGCTGCACTACCGTGGAGTGGAACATCAGGTTCATTCTGTCTCTGTAAAGCTCCTTCTGCATTTTGTCTGAGCTCAACCGCGTGGTTGTAGCTCGGTCCGGGTTCGAGGAATTCACGCGCTTCGGAAGATGAAGGGTACCAACCGGCATGAGATGGTGGAAGAGGTGGAGGGATTAGCGATTCTCTCCGAGGAGGGCCTTGCAATGCAGAATTCGAGACAAAACGGTTCCATTCGTCGTCAGGAAGAATGCGAGATGTTGAACTGAATCCTGGAGGAATTTGCGCGGGTTGTGGGGCGTTCCCGTAGGACCACAAATGCTGTTGAGGCAACTGATGTTGAGGCAACTGATGTTGAGGCAACTGATGTTGAGGGACATGCGCGAGTTGTGGGGCGTTCCCGAAGCCCCACAAATGCTGTTGAGGAAACTGATGTTGAGGCAACTGATGTTGAGGGACATGCGCGAGTTGTGGGGCGTTCCCGAAGCCCCACAAATGCTGTTGAGGAAACTGATGTTGAGGGACGTTCGGACCTTGTTGAGTTACGACACTCTGGAGGCTAGACTGTGGCCACTGGCTGGGGTTTTGGCTCTGAAAGTCATAGTTCTGGAAGCTGTGGTCCTGGAAGCTGTGGTCCTGGAAGCTGTGGTCCTGGAAGCCATAGGGCGGCCATCCATTACCGCCACCGACGGGTAGTGATAGAGCAACAGGGACAAGGCTGAGGAAGAGGAGAGAACCCAAACCCGAGTGTAAGGACAGTGGATTCCGCATGATTGCAAAAGGAATGGAAGAGGCTGGATGGGAAGGAAAGGAATGTGCTGTGAGCTCTGTATGCTGCCTGGGATGCCGACGCACCCTATTTGTAGGCCAGAGCAAACATGGTCATATACCCACACATCCTCAAACACTTTGTGGCGAGTGCAAGACGAATTTGCGACCTCGTTGTCTCCTCGGCACGTTTTAGTCGCCAAGCCGTTCATCAAACTCTCCATCATTTCAGGCGTGGGCGAGTTGGGCAGCCTCCTCGTATTCGTGCTTCAGAGCCTCTAACAGAGACCAGGGAGGAGCTAGACAAACGCTCCGTGTAAGTGGGAGCCAAACGAAGGCGTTGCAAAGCTGAAATCGACAACGTTGCTTCGGTTGCACAGGCCTCCCACACCTAATTGTTGAAAAGTGAAGACATTTGGGTCCCGATACTGGCGATCAGGGAGAGTCTAAGTACGATGTCACTGCTGGTTTAGACAGAAACATGTATTCTCAATTGACTAAGTGAACATGGCGAGAACCTATTGTTCTCGAGCTAAATATATATACATCTCTGAGGCTGATACCGAGTGTGGGTGCTATCTACTATCTACTTAATGACGATGTCTGACAACGAGCAGGACCAGGTTGCATCCGATCCCTGGCGTGATCGTCTCTGTCTAATCTCCGATCAAATCTGCTTCGCCCGATCTCTCTCATATCGCCTTATGTCTCCTTACATCACCATGTTGGAATGTCTACTTTCAACACTAATACCCTATCAGCGGAATGAACTGCATCTCAATTTCACAAACATGAAAGCATCGGTGGGACGGTTATTATTGTCTAACCAAGTCGATACAGTGCAAGGTGAGGGCTCACGTCGCAACAACGAAAGATCGCCTGTCTTCAGGGGTGAACGTGGACAGCGTCGCCTATCGCCTTCTTGGAGACACTATTCATCTTTTCCAACAAAAAACTATTGACGTGGTCGAAATCTGCCTCCTCGAGATGACCGACACCATGATGTTTGACGAACGTGCTGAAGCCTTTTTCTGCTCTCTTATTCGGGAAAGCCCAAAATGTGTACCTCGCCCTTCTCGCGATCCCGTTATTCCGACCATCCCTCGGTGAAAAGCTGTCAAGGATGACCATACGCACGTCCAAAGGCTCTGAATTCACCCCATAAAACCCTGGAACTTTGATAAAAGGAAGCACTCGGCTGGGAACAGCGGATGAGCCTATAATACTCTGTCGCGGATTTTTTTCCATGGGCAGCTGTTCGGCTACCCACTTGAGCCTGCCACCAAAGATTTCATTGTTGATCATCTCTCGAATTTCGTGGTCGGTGCTGACATAATGTAACCTATCACGGGTTTTTGTAAGCCTGTCTTCCCCGGCTGTTCTGGAAGGCGGCACTGACCATGGGAGTCGTTTGAGAGCCTCAGGCTCAGCAAACCTCGGTCGGACGTAGTTGTTGACGTATCTGTCGAGGTCTTCCTTTGTCCACACCTTGTTCGGACTTCTCGCTCTTACGCCCTTCCAAGGAGACCTTGAAACGCGAAAACGTTTGAACCGGTTCGCTGTGTCGGCAGAGCTGTGAGAAGCATGATCTTCGCTCGTAGAGCCAGAGGACATAAGACCTCTTGAAAGGGGAAAATCATCTTGAGCGTGTGAGGACAGATGCGAGAGCAGGTTTCCTGAATTGCTGGATCCGCTTTGCTCGAAACCCATTCCTGGTTGACCAGCCTGCCCGAAGTAGGAATGCATCTGCTGACGCAGGGTCGGGAGGTGTGCGAAGTGATCGACATGCTGATAATCGAAGGGGTGATAGCTTTCGATACGAGCAGTGTGAGGAGCTAGCGACGAACCAAATTGTTCATGGGTGGGAATTGACGTTACGCGCTGCCTCTGCTCTACAGCTTGATGACTGGGCTCGCTGGACCCGACTGTATTCGGCTTGTCGGCTTCGTCTTCGAACCACTTTGACAGATAAGGTCCGAAGTCAAAGTCGAACAAGGAAGAGATCGTGGGTGAATCTGGGCGAGCTGCAGGCTGCAAGTGTTGCCGATGACTCCACTGCCCAGGCACTTCGTCACTTGGAGATGGTTGGTAATGCTGAGGATGTGCGACGTGAATCATCGGATCAGAGGGTCCAGCTGTGTTGTCAACATTCGTTGGCTCTAGGGTCGAGTGGATGCTTGGCGATGCTGCCTGCCAGGCACCCTGACCCCCGGTAGGCTGTGACCAGACGAAGGCGATGCGTAGCCCAATGAAAAGAGCGAGGGCTTTGAAGCGCCATCGCAGGTCACCGAACATGATAACAAATAGTCTAAAGCAGAACAATGCTCGACGATGTGAGAATGAGTGAAGATTGTGGCGTGGCTCTGGTCCCTTATGCCTCACGCCCGCTTTATACAGTTCTTGGCATCTTCTGTCGCTTCATCTTTCCGCCATGCCCGCAGAGATGATAACTCCGACGATCTCGGGAAGAACGTAGATATATTCGTATATGAAACATGCCTCGTATGTACTCGAGCGGAGAGGGTGCCATCACCTTCATTGGCATGCAAATCGAGGCAACCGTCGATATCGTCGAGCTCTGCATGCGCCATAGCGTCATTGCAACTTGACACAGGCGTAGCCGATGCATTTCTCACAGACAGAAAGTTGGGTTGAGTGGGACATTCATGTCTTCTACAAGTGTCATCGATAAAGAAAGCAGCGATAGCTTGGAATTCGGCTGAAGCCTTCCTACGCTTCAGATTCAGGAATGGAATCTATCTCACAACATGAGAGTGGGTTATGAAGGAAGGCTATGCCTGTATCGACTCGTATCAGGCTAGTCGTCGGGATAGCCAACGTTTCGTATCAGGCCGAACGCTTCAGTGCATCCGATGACCGTATCAGGCCGAAGACCTCGGGTGTCCGATGACTGTATCAAGGAGAGATAAGGGCCTGAGCTCCGTCGCTGAGGGCCCTCTTATAGTGCCTCGTTATGCTTCAGACTCATCTTTCGCCTCAGCATGTTGCCGAATCATTCACATAGATAAGACGTATAAAAGCACCACGTTCGGTTAGCTTGTTCTCAGTTAGCATCTATCTTTCGTAGATATCGCTCGTCGTCGGCATACGTAATACATACAACCGCGCCCTACCATTTCAAGTCTGCATTCATTCAACAGGTTACACGCTCGAGTACCTCCTCCGAAGCACGCAAATCGACTGCTGCTTGCTTCCTCTGCAAATGAAGTTCTACCTCATCGACGTCGCTTGCCGCCAATTGACCTACCCCATAATGAAGGGCCGTGACTTTTATTGGCGTATCTGCATTCACCGGAAGTTCCCAGAATTGATAGTAGTGTGTACCATCCAACGGATAGACCTCACGCGGCTTGTACGTCCTTTCTGTGCACTTGAACTGGTGCGCTGTCATACGAACAATTGGCTCGAGCCCGCTCTCCTTGATCCTTTCCGGCGGAGTAACGAATGGAACTTTGCGACTTGGCACGTAGAGGACACCTTTCTGGGGTCAATCGAACCTTCTCGGCGGAAGATTGTTCATGTCTAGCCATTTGAGACGACCGGTGAAGACCCTCTCTTTGTTCATGTCAAGCACTGTATTGTCCGGAGGATAGAAGAACTGTTGAAAGAAAGTCGCCTTGCGTAGCTATGGTTTGGACAAGCTGGTTTTAGGTTTCGGACAACGGAAGGTGGTGTATTGACATAACTATCTACATAAACGAGTACGACTATTTATGCTTGCTGGGCACAGGTGAGACATGCTGGTTGAGGAGTCCCGAGCCCCTCAACCCCTATCGCAATGCAGGGATGCATCACGAGGAGGTCCGTTCCCTCGACCCCTATATCGGCGACATTGCCAGACGCCGCCGATACGAGGTCAGGTCGACCTCCAACAAGAACGAGGGGTGTGCTCGATTTGGCTGGCGATGGGTGTTGACTGCGTCATAGGGGATCAGAGCCAAGGTGAGCGGCTCTTTGAAGTGGATTTTCCTGCGCCTATGGACGAAATTTCGCATCATTTCCGCTGACCAGCATCGACCAACTCTCTTTGAGTTCGTGTTTACTGCAGCATGCGCCGGGTCATGATCAGGTTCCAATCCTTGCTGAAAGGTCGGCGAGTTGTTTTCCGAAGCGATGTGGCTCGAGTGAGCATTCTGAGGATCCGATTCTCTCGTGCGCTTCCTTCCAAGGGTGAGACCTGTCTGAACATGTTGATAAGGTGCAGCATCCGTCTCGGAGAGCGCCCATGGTCGATGCCAATTTCGCTCAGCAACCTCCACGAGCAGGCCGAGAAAGGCTTGCTTGTGATGGCTGTTTTGGCTGTACTCGTGATCCCAAGTTGCGGAAAGAGGCGACCAAGAGTCCGGATACGGATCAGCAGGGACATTACAGCCCGTATGCGATGAATTAGATGGATCCGGGCTTAGTGAAGCTGACGTGGATCCCCAAACCGGTATAGGATGATCGAAGCGAAAATCATTTTCGGGGCTGACCCTCACAAGCGATTAATGTAATGACAGGACATGACCCGAATCGGGTTGCTGGATGAGGGCTGTACTGGCTGTTCATTGGGATCGCGGAAATGATGTGAAGTATGCGATGCTTCGTTGTGCGCTCCAACGGGACCATCAAAGCCAGTGAGTGCTGCGACAACTGCGTGTAGTCTCAGCTGCAACAGTAGCAGACAGTAAAACAGTTCAGATCGCAGTGTCATGATATGTCGACACCGAGGAAGAAGGGATGTTGAACAAGAGCGTAAGCGCAACAGCTGTAAGCGTTGAACAGGTAGAAAGGAAACTTCTCACACCCTGTAGACTGACAAAGCTGCTCGGCGCGTTTTGCGCAAGTTCATCCCGGTTCTGGGCAGGCCGTTCGCTCTCAAGTCCTACATGTACTCCAATGACATATCCGCAATGAACTGGCTACGAACGCGACTTGAATTGTATGGGAGCAGAGAGCGGAATCATATCCAAACAGCTGTAGCAGCCTCCCTGAGCTTCCCTTGGGCGTCATTACCGAGATTGAGCGTCGCCACCTCCTTGATGAGGACGTTGCTGGGTTGCGATGCAGCCGATACGGCGAGACGCAACATGCGAACGACGCCTACCTCGCTATCTGTTAGCACGGCGTACTGGGCACTGCCACGAGACCCTTGCAAAAATGTGGGTGCTGGCTCGATCGCATTGGCCCACCCACCCGATGTGGGTGTTTGCCACAGACACAGCGCATCGCCGAGCTCGTCCTTTTCAGCTCTACCTTGAGGCACCACCAAGCCGTCTTCGTCCAGCTGGAAGACAGCAACCCACCCCTTGGTACCCGACGCAAGACCACGGGTCGAGGCAAACATGTACAACGGATACTCGCCTTCAGGCTGACTAGACGGGCAAGACAGACGAACCTCGTCTGCCCAGTAGAGACCCTCGTCCTCGCTTTGTGGAATGATCTTAACGCCTTGCTTCCATTCTAGGCGTGTTCCCTTTGCGTCTTTGATCAGCTCGAAAACGTCGACCATGGAGCTGTGCTCCTGCAGACTGTAGATATAGCGCCCACCTGGATGCGAGACGGTGTGACGTGGACCGTCGTTCTTTCGTGGAGCGATGCTCTGCTCGCCCACACTGAGTGCACCGCTGGTGGGATCGACATTCATGGCCCAGACACAATTTCGGCCAATATCAGGGATGTAGCAGACACTGCCATCTGGAGACAGATCAATTCCGTGAGAGCCGTGACGAAGACCACCAAAGTCCATCGCATTCTTTCCACCAGAGGCATCGAGTTTGGTAGTTGCCGAGTCGGTACTGCTGTCGTCGCCTGCGCTCTTCTGAGCTTCCCTGCGTTTCAGCTCCCGGGTCTGAGCGAGCGTCTTGCCAGGTACCGAACATTCGCCTGTGACAAAGTCGATTTCCTGAATGCGAGCAGCAGAACCCACACCTGTGACTCCTTCTGTTGAAGCCCCTGACGGAATGGCTGCCTCGTGTATTGTTCCAGTCAGATCGAAAGCACCTGTATCCGTGTCGATCCCAAAGACTTCGCCAGTGGGTCCACCGCAGCTATAAAGCACAGGATGGGCAGCCTTGGCAGGAAAGCCGACGTAGACATAGCCTGATCGTGCGGCAGTCTCGGCACTGTTGAGCAGCTCGAAGCGAGCCTTATTGGGCCCATCTCGCTGAATGCGATAGGCAGCTACACTCGGCGGCTGCGTCCAGCACGTTGCATAAAGGTGAGTGGGAGATGTCGCGCTCGAGGAAGACTTGGGAATGGTTGCAGTCGACAGCCAGGAATGATTACCTTTCGCTTGTGAGATTTCGAGCAGTTCGAGAGTTTCTTTCTCGGGATCGAAAAGAACGGTGAAGAGCTCGTTGGTGTTGAACGTCCCGACAGCGAGCAGTGGCATGTTGGCGATGATTGATCTCGGAGTGGATGGTTGATATGAGAGGAAGTAATCGAGGTCGGACTGTGCTCTTATGTAAGACTTCGGCAACACATCGACGACTGAATAGCCGGCTCAGGGTCCGCGGGAAGCATCCGGCAGTGTGGAGAAGCATTGAATTTTTGGACAGCGGAAAACAAAATGCCGGTCTAACACGGCATATCTGCTGCAATTCGTGTCCCACAATAACGCAGTGTGTCGGACAGATCGTTTACCTCGCAGGTCACAAATTTGCTCAACGCCACACGCCACAAGCTACTGAACAGAGGCAAGTCAGATAAGATAGAATTCCATATACGACCCATATAAAGAAGGTGAGAAAGATTTGGGTAGAGATTCTAGTAGGTAGTGAGTCCTCTAGAAGGGGAAGTACGTGGTCAAGTCCATGACGCCTTGAGGGTCAAAGCGCTTCTTGAGCTGCGAAAGGCGATTGAGGTTAGGACCGTAGAGCTCCGACGATGGTGTGCCTGCAATCGCGTAGTTGGGATACAGGTAAAGGTTATCCAAGTTCTGGCCCTCAGCACGAGCTTGAGCGCTAATCTTGGCGGCTGACTTCTTGATGGCGTCAGTCCAGAAAGCATCCTCTGCAGGGTTGGTCCATGCAAAGTAGAGGTTGAGGGGCAGTGCGTTGGTCTTGTGGGGCCATGCTGCTTCTTGAGCGTACTGCGAGTAGGGAAGGAAAGGCTCGACATCGTAAGAGACGAGGGTACCGCTGTGGAGGAAACTCTGCGATCCGTAGTACTTGAGCTCGCTGACGATCAAGTCAAGCAAAGGCTTGCTATACTTCTCGAGAGAGACGGTGTGGAAAGCACCGCGTTGACCGCTCTGCAAGTCAGATGGTGCGCTCTTGACGAGGTCGAGGATCGAGCGTGTCTTCCAGTCGTCGGTGAAGGTGCGCGCCCTGGTCTTGTCAAATGCAGCAAAGGTGTTGGCAGCAGGAGTGGGAGCGTCGTAGAAACAAAGCACGATGACACCGGGCTGGCCAAGAATGAAGTTGAAGGTAGGAAGGACGGATGCCTTAGGGTCCTTGCTGTTCTCAGAGAAGTCGAGAGTAGCGTTGACAACAGCGTCGACCTGGTCAGCGGTGTAGGTACGGAGACCACCATAAACCTGACCCTGAGGAACAGTCTTGAGCTTGAAGTTGTGGATGATACCAAACTTGTTTCCTCCACCCTTGATTGCCCAGAACAGGTCAGAGTTCTGTGAAGGAGAAGCAGTGGTCAGGGTACCGTCGGGAAGCACAAGGTCAGCCGAGACGAGGGTGTCACCGGTGAGACCGTACTGGTTAGTCTTGTAACTGTAGCCACCACCACCGGTGATGAAGCCACCAACACCGACACCAGAGACACGGCCACCGACGACAGCAACGCCAGTGCCCTCAAGACCTTTGTAGACGTTGTCCCAAATGTTACCGGGTCCAACGTCAACGGTGCTCTTGTCGCCACTGAGGTTGACCTGCTGGAACTTCTCGAGGCTGATCTGCACACCTGGAGTCGAAGAGAAGCCCTGATTTGAAGCATGACCAGCGGCCTTGACAGCGAAGCGAATGCGCCTGCTGCCGATGACTTTGATGGCAGCAGAGATATCAGCAGGTGATGCTGGAACAGCGACACAGGTCGAGAACTGAGTGGAAGAGGACATGTAGTGTTCGAGGAGACCGAGGTAGGACAGGTCGAGAGGGTAGACGACCCTGCTACCGGAAGTGGTGAATGCGCTGCCGATTGCCTTGCAGGCATTGAGCTCGGTCGAGTTGACAGCTCGCCTCTGCAAGAAGCCAGGCACCCTCCTGTCATAAGCGGCGGTCCAGTTGACAAGGAAGGCCACAGCCACGGCGAGACCGGACAGAAAGGGAAGCGTAGCGAAAACGTTCCTCATCTTGTTCAAGACTCGATCCTCTCGCTATGTAAGAAGAAGGAGAGGATAGAGGGGGTAAAGGTGAGGAGGGAGGGGGTAAGGGTGAGGAGGGAAGGGGTAAAGGTGAGGAGGGAAGGGGTAAAGGTGAGGAGGGAGGATATTCTTGGCTGAGGAGGGTGGAACGTGGGCAATCTAGAAGGTGTCAAGGCCGGATTTCATCTTATTTATATGCGTCCTTTGCAGCATCTCCTCGCATGACGGGCAAGGTGTTGCTAGGGAGTGCCAGCTCTCAAGGCTAAGTGCGGCTCGAATGCGGACCATGTCTCCTCGCTAGCGAAGAGGGGGTCGAAGGATAGCGTATCCGAGCTTTCAGAAGAGCAGGCCAGATCCAAGGCCGGACTCACATTCTCGAATAGCAATGCCATGTGCACCATTGAGTCGCAGTGCTTGGACCGACTCTTTCAGACATCTTCAGCCATCGCGACGAGCTCGCTTAGCACCAAAGAACAGCGTTCGAGTGGCGGGCTTGGGCTTCGTCGAAGGCGTACAGGGGAAGAAGCGCATCGTCGGAAGCAGATGGAGCTGGTTTTGGCTAGAGATGCGGCAAGCTATACTTGCGAAGGAGTGGGAACAGGGCATGTTTTGAGCCGCTGGGCATTACGATATAGTACTAGTACCGTAATGTGAGCGAAATATTTTCCAACGGCATTGAATCTCAATCTCGGACCCTTCGTACCAAACATCAAGCGGATGCTGAGCTTGAAAGCTATGAAGCCGGACCGAAAGCCGGGTACGACTAAGCGAGGCTTCATGGGAGCTTTGCGAAACGCCCAGGCTCCTACGTCGATCTCGGATGTGTATTTATGTAGCCGAAGCCTCAATTCGTTTTATTTGTCTGCATGGGCGCAAACATCACGATGACTGCGCTCGAGCGCGAAGAGATATCAGCAGGGCAAACTCAAACAGTATCAAGGCCAAAGCCGGGTGTTGGAGCGAACAGTGTGCTCGCTTATCACTTGCGACACAGACTTGGATGGTAGGACGCGGTTTTATTACGTATGGCGACGTGGGACGGTATGTAGAGACAGTGGATGGATGTGGTACTAATGAAGAACGAACCAACTAAGCCTTGTGTGTTTTATGCGTCTACCCTGTGGACGGATCTGAAACACGCCGGGGCAATGCAAGGGGCCATGCAGGGGTAGGGCTCAGGCCCTCACGCCGCACAGGCCTCTTACAGGGGGTCCATTCTGTTAGAAGGCTGCGGGTATACCGGCTCGCGTCAGGCCAGCCACCCAATGAGGCGCCGGCATACCGGATATTGGATGCCCGAGGAGGAAGAGATAGTTTCCCCGTCATAGTTTCCCCGTCATGCTCCGCAGTATAGATACATAAGGGGCGAGACTTAGCCGCTTGGTCCAGTAGAAGATACAATCCATCTGTACTTATCGTTTGTAGTCGCTATCCGTCGCCATACGTTATCAAAACCGCGTCCTACCATCCAAGTCTGTCATTCATTCCAACACATTCTTAGTCTCGAGGTCTGATAGTCTGGAGGCCTGACAGTCGACCTTCATAAGTGGCTCGAGGTCATTTGAGTGAACACCTTAAGACGATGAGTTGAAGATACGCTGAAATTACCAAAGGCTTACCCGATATGCAGGCGGCCCGAGGTGCAGATAGACCGAGGATCGTGCATGCATGCTGGTCGAATCAGGAGCTCCTCATGGAAAATAGCACACAGGCTCCGCAGCATACACCTAGCTCCTAGGAGAGAGTTCGACGTCCTCATAGACGAAGCAAAGATATATACACTCATGTTTGGTAGCTTTAGTCCATGAAAATCTTAAGCATTACAGTCATCATACACCTGTGCGAAAAGAGCTAGAACGTAGCCCGGACGAAGCGGTGTCTTGCACTTCAAACTTCAACTCGATGGCATCGTTGTTTACCCAGTGCTGCAAGCAAACGGACAGGACAAACAAAGAAGGCAAGACCGATCTGTATCAGAGCCTAATTGTTTCCCGCCGATATGCAAGCTGGAGAAACTCACCGGGTCGGAGTCTGCGTGCATTTCTCGCTTAGAGCGCATACAGACTGGAACGACACTGCTGTCGCACCGGAAACGTGATCGGGGCATAGGAACATGGCTGAGTCTCAATCGACGATCCTTTCTGATGGGGCTGAAGCAGTCCTGTTCCTTCCTGCCATGTTCTGTGACGGCGAAAGAAAGCTGCCTTGGATCTTTCCCCAAGCTCCTACTGTGTACGTTGGCAATGCTGCATGAAACACGGAATTGATGAAAACGGCGGAGCGGAGAACGAGAAAAGGCGCCTTAGCGATCTTGTGAAAACTTAATCCTAGGTTCCTATCGACTTTCCCCGCGTCCTTTTGTTTCGTCTCTAGACTTGATCCTGGCTCTGGCTGGTAGCTGAGCGTGTTGCGTTGGCTTGCCTGTCGCAGGCTCCGTGTACCAGCATGGTGTACAGTCTGATTGCAACTTCGAACACGAGTTCGTGCTCACGTACTCGGCTATGCTTTTCCCCCTCTTTCAGAAGACAGGATTCTTCCAGGCGGTACTTACTGATGCGCACCGCACATCGTTGCCCTTGTTCGACTCCGCGGCATTCATGGTGGAGCGTCATTCTGCGCATCACTTCTGAACTCAGCTGGGACAGACAAAGAGCGTGAGCGACGTTTCGTTACAGGAAATCGCCAAGCCACAGCACTCGTGTTGTAAAAGTAAGAGCAATCAGAATGAAGCCTGGCGCTATCTAGACATCCGCTTCTTTGACGGTTAGTGTGAGTAGACCGGAGGTAGTATTTGCTCGAATGGGTATACCGTAGTGAAAGACGCGACAAGTACATGATGGCAAGCTCAGGTCTGATATGATTAGGTCAACGGGTGACTTCCCGTGGGGTTGGCCTCATGAAACGCAATCCGTCTTGGTGGAGGGCCCAGCTGAACGTCAGCTGGATCATGCGATGGTAGTATTGGTAGCGAAGAGCTAGACGTCGACGTTGCTGGTGCGATGGCAGAAGCGTCAGCAGATCTTGCAGGCATCTGTAACGCAATGGAAACCGGAGCAGCAGCAGTAGTGCTAGCATCATATGCATGAGTCTCCAAAGGTCGGTTCATCAAGGCTGCTGGATTGTGTGTAGCTCCAGACGACATGGTATCCGCAGTAGCAAGCGCGTTTGATGTTGTGGATGGTGTAGACAGGTGTGTCACTGAAGACATCGTGAGTGACGGGTCCAACGGAATTGCTTGATCCAGTTCCGAAGCCGACGGATTTGCCTGACCTTGGTTCGACTCGGCCTCGCGTCCGGCTTGATGCCCCGCTTCAGTTCGCTGCTGTTGATGGTTGCTCTGTTGAACAGCGTCATCACCAACCGATGTCGCCGTAGGCACTGATGAAGCGGAAGTTACACCATCTGTAGAGGCGGCCACTGGCGGCGACGCACGAATAGCTGCCCGCTTCGAGCTTTTGCCTTTGAATGGTGTCATCGGAGCAACAACGAGCTTTTCAAGCCTTGCGACATCGTGCAAGCGGGCAAACTCGTGGAAACCCGTTCTTTGCCAGAAGGATAGCAGCTCGGCGCGGCTGGCGTCGCTCTGCGTATACAGGTGTGAAAAGCCTAGCTTGGACGCTTTGATTTCAGCAGCACGAACTAGCCATCGTCCGATGCCTTTGCGCTGCCACAAGGGATGGACACGCAGACGTGCCAGATTGCAGATTTTGTCGATGCTGCGGCTAGCGTAGGCTGGACCTAGCGACTGATAGATCTGGGGTGTCCAGATTAAAGAACGCATGGCGATGGCTGCAATGATTTTGCTGCCGCCTTCCGCTTCGCTGCTTTGTACCTCACTTCTTACGATAAACAGCGCGCCGCGATTGCTATGCGAATAATGAGTATCTTCTGGCTTGAGCAAAGACTCGAGATCGGCAAAGCTGTTGAAGCTGGCTGTCGCGGTTGGAGCAGCGCTGTCGGGTGCTATCAAGAAGGATCTCGCGGCTTGCAACATCTGATCGCGCGTTTGGTGGTATGCTAAATTGGCGTCTTCGTCAGAGTCACCGTCGCTCTCGGAACCCGAGTCTTCACCTGCTGCAATTGCAGTGTCGTTGCCCTGCGCATCACCAGATGTTCCTTTGCCAGTCTCTCTCCTCTTTGAGCTGGCTGCTGTACCCTTCGCCTTTCTCTTATTCCTTGCAGCGAGGCCCTGTGCGCTCTTGTCATCGTCATCGAGAAGTAGCACCAGCTCTAGGTGGGAGAGATGAGATGGCTGTAGAGAGTCGAGCTGCTGCTTTTCCTGCTCCTTGAGCTTGTCTGCATTCGTCTTCCGCCCAGTGCTATGTCGCTGCTCGAGACTAGCTCCGGTCTTGTACATCTTCAAGTTGCGGAAAAAAGTGGCTCTTGACATAATGCCATGCTTCTCGATGGTATCGGCACTGATATCGCCGGCCTCGTAGAGCTTACAGAGCGCCTCCTTCAGGTCGGCTCCAATCTTTCGTCTCGGCATGGTTGGCAGACACCATCCGAGGCTTCGTTAGGATGGCTCTTGGCACTACCAGGTTTAGACGACGGCGACGAGGATGCAGCCCGACAGCAGTCCTGCGAGCACGGGCCTGTGAGAATGTCCTGTAATGATGTGAACGCGTCCTAACCTTGCCGTTGTTGATCTCGGCGTCAAGACTTGAGATGGTATGTCTCGTCGAGGAGGGCGGAGAAAGCGCTGCTGTCAAAGGATCGAAAGGGTCTCGTTGTCGATAAGATGGTGGCGCGCAAATAGGGCCAACGCAAAAAATTGAATGACATTTGATTGCTACTTTTCTCAGAGAGTTACACTGCTACAAGAGAAAGGGTCCAACAGTTTAACTCTTTCGGGTCCGAACTTTTTCTCGAAGAATTTCCGTCTGGACTTTTTGTGTTTTCTACATCTTCTCAAGTTAATGTAGTTCACGTACATGTCAAATTCACATAAGGGGGTATCAAAGTTTTTGCGTTTTTAAAAACCCGGGTTTTGTCAAGAGCGCGTTTTTCAAAAAAACGCAAAAGCTTACATAAGCTCCGCAAAGGGAAAAAAAAAAACCGCATTTTCAAAAATGCAGCTCAGGAGGCACATTTGCGAAAATGCGGTTTTTTTATCACTCCACATCTTCTCTCCTTTCCTCACTCTCATTGCACTTTTGCTCACTCCCTCTTCCTTGCACTCATTCAACATGACCTCCTCCACTGATGATTCTCGTGACATCTCTGCAGAGTTGTTATGCCAGTCCACTACATGATCTGACAGGCACTCTCTCTTCTGCTGTTCAATACAACTCTTCTCACCACCATATGAAACATTACATTGTGTGCATTGTGTGAAGAGGAAAGCAAGATATAAGCAAGCAATGGGTGATAGCGACGAGAGCAGGACAAGTATCATATGCTCACTGTTAGGTTATGTCTCTTATCGGCCATATAATTTATGTTTCATATGATTACTGTTAGGTTACACCTCCTTTCGGCCATATGATTCATGCTTCCTATGCTTACTTTTAGGTTACATATTTTATCGGCCATATGATTTCATCGCATTTTTGGAAACCCGCTTTTCCTTGGGGGGGTTCAAATTCCCTCCAAAAACGCGCTTTTCAAAAAACCCGTGTTTTTAAAATCGCAAAAACTTTGATACCCCCTATAGGTCTCGGATTGGAAGTGGCCAGGGGACTTGGGAGTTTCTGGACTCAAAATTGCTGAAACAGCCAAGTCCCCCTCTCAATCTTGAAATTTTGAGGCAGCAGCTCCACTATGATTCTCACACTTTTCTCATCTTGAACTTGTCTTGATCTCATCTCCATACACTCCTTTCTTGTCAGCACTGCTCAACATACACCACTTTGACATCTCTTGCAAGATGGATGCTGCAAGGGTACAGGCCACTAGTGATCCATCAGTTGTTGAAGCATACTTTGATGTCTTGGAGAAGACTATTGCCAAGTATAGGATCCTACCCAAAAACATCTTCAACATGGACAAGACTGGGTTTCTCATTGGACAAAGTCAATGCTGATACATCATTGTACCCAGGGAGAATGGGAAGAATCAGCACTTCAGGTCACAGCCAGGCAATCAGGAGACTATCACAGTGATTGAGTGCATTGGTGCATGAGGGACAAAGCCACCACCTATGGTTATCTTTTGGGGCAAGAACCACATGCAGGGCTGGTACCACAATCACACTGCAGCTAAGGACTGGGTCTTTGCAACAAGCCAGAATGGCTGGACTGACAATGAGCTTGCACTACACTGGCTCAAGGACTGCTTTGACAAGCACACCAAGCAAAGGGCTCAAGGAAAGTATTGGCTGCTTATCCTTGATGGTCATGGCTCCCACATCACAGCTGAGTTCATTCAGCAAGCATGGGACTCCCACATTGTCTGTCTCTGCCTTCCTCCCCATGCAACACACCTCCTACAGCCACTTGATGTTGTGATATTTGGACCTTTGCAGCAAGCCTTCACCAAGGAGGTTGACAAGTTTGCTGGAGCAAATCTTTCAATCAGTAGGAAGGATTTCATTGACATGTACAGCAAATCACAACAGGTCATAACAAGCACCTTAGCATCACAAGCCTTCAGAGATGTTGGGATCAACTCAAAGCTCCACCCAGAGAAGGTTCTATGGCACATGCCCAGCTACCATCAAGAATCAACACCTCCATCTTCAGCTCCTGCAGTTGAGGAGACTCCAACAACTCCTTCTACTCCAGAGGAAGCAAAGAAGATGTTAGCACAGATGTATGCCATCATGGATTGGGATCAAGAAGAACAGCAGGCACTTCTGGCAAGCAATCACTGACAAGGATGCATTTGGATGAAGAAGGTAGGTAAGTTCATGGACCTTCTCTTTGGCCAGCATGCAATTGATCAAGCTCGCATTCAAGAGCTCACAGCAGCCCACTCTAAGAAGCAACATGCACTCCCAGGTGATAGGAATCAGTTGTTGCAGGCCAGGGTACTACACCAAAGCAACTTACCAAGGCTACTTGCAGCATGAGAAGAGCAGGCTCAGAAGGATTCAGGAACAAGGGCTTGAAAGGGCAAGAAGCAAGCAAAAGGCAAAGAGTGAGCAAGCAATCAAGAGAACCTGCCAGTCCAGCCAACACCAACCTTGTCATCTGAAAGAAGCTTCTGGCCTCTGCAATTGATGTTGCCTTTTCCAGGTTATGAGTCTATGTCAATGGTACCCCTGCCTCTGCCTTTTGCTAGTTCAAGTACCTTCCCTGTCAAGCCCCCACTGCCCAGGTGGCAGCCAATGCCACCCTTCCTTCCACCCATGCTGCCCTTCATGTGATCCTATGTTGCATTACAATTCAAGTGTTGTTGTTATGCTTTGATATAGTGAAGGTCCACATCTATGGTGGACTGGCCTGCTTGTCATGTGTGTGTGTGTTGAACAAAAATTGACTGGAGCTGCTGCCTCAAAATTTCGAAATTGAGAGGGGGACTTGGCTGTTTCAGCAATTTTGAGTCCAGAAACTCCCAAGTCCCCCGGCCACTTCCAATCCGAGACCTACGTGAATTTGACATGTACGTGAACTACGTTACCTTTCCTCACTCTTGGTGATGAACCCATCTTCCTCGCAAGATCCCTACTTCTCCCCATCTTTTCTACCTCGAATCGAACAAGAAGGATCATCGCTCGACTATTCGACTGTCAGTACGTCATGGTGACATCCTTCCCATCCGTGGGGGATCCAGCCTCCATCGGACCTCTATACATTCTACACTTTGCAACGTCGAACCACGCCTTTCGTCTGCCTGACTTTCTCGCTGCCGCCGAATACCTTCGCATTCCATTCGCATTTGTACCGACACCTGCTAACCCTATCCTTGAAGAGAGCCGCAAAGCACACGATACTGCTGAAGAAGCTTCATCCTCGACGTATCGACCCGACCTTCGACGACCTTTCGCGCTCGCTCACCTCCCCAACGATGAGGCGGCTGTCAACCTCCTGCGACGTTGCGTATCACTCCGCTCCATTTGGGCCTACTGGTCTCACGGGGGCAATTACGAAGAAGTTCATGCACGCAATCAACAAGAAGCGAGCCAAAAGCTGTGGAAGCCTTACGTAGAGGAAGCAGACTGCCCCTCCTGGAAAGCCCACGTGTTCTCGTACAGCTACACGATCAGCGACAAGCGTAAAATCAACATCATCCAGAGCTTCAGCTATATGGACCTGAAAGGTCGTATCCAGCTTAAAAATCCTCACATGCGATGGGGTGTCATGGAGGAGTTTGTCGCACAAGAGCTGTGGCCAGGTCATCTGCGCGACGTGCACAACAACTTCCCTGGAGCAGGAAAAGAGACGGACAAGGTGGATGGGAGGGAAGAGTTGGGCGACAAGGATCCTCGACTGGTTCAGATCTTTCTCGGCAGACGCATTGATGTTAAGGCTGGGTTTCTGTACTCGGAGAAAGCAGCAGCTACTGCACAACGTAAGTCAAGCGATCCGACGCAGGAAGGTCAGACAGGCCTTGCGAGGAATTTGATTGAGAAGCTGAACCTGAAGAAGCGAGTTTACATCGGGAACACCTCGATGGAATCCGAAATGAGTCTGCTGATGGCGAGCATGGCGCTTGCAGGTCCAGGCAAGCTCGTCTACGATCCCTTTGCTGGTACGGGCTCGATGCTGTATGCCAGTGCAGTGTTTGGTGCCATGGCATTTGGCAGTGACATTGACGGCAGGCCGATGCGTGGAAAGGAGAACATCGGTGATTCGAACAGCCAGACGGGCATTGTCAAGAGTGCAACACAATACGGCGTGCGAGATCGCATCCTTGACACCGTAGTCTTCGACATGACGCAGAACCCGTGGCGCAAGGACCTTATGTTCTCGCTTGGCGATGAAGCAGGCAAGGCAGAGAGAGCGACGCGACCAAAGGGCATTGTTGATGGCATCGTTGCGGACCCGCCTTACGGAGTTCGAGCTGGTGCCAAGCGACTTGGCAAGCGAGACCCGGAAAAGCAACGAACAGAACCGTACTGGATGCCAAACGGTCTTGGTGCTGGTCAAGGATGTTGGTCTCACGAGCGATCGGATTACATTCCACCTAGTCGACCATACCACCTCGAAGATCTGGTCGATGATCTGCTTGATTATGCTTATAGTCTGCTTAGTGATGGTGGACGTCTTGTCTTTTGGCTTCCTTCGATGATCGACCCCGAAGAGGACGGTGAGAAGGAGGCTGAGGAAGGAGGATACACAAAGTCATCGGCAGCAATCGAAAGGTCGGTTAGAGTCGATCTGCCGCAGCATCGACGCAAAGCAGGACAGGGACGCATGCGCATGATCCACTACTCGCTGCAAGATTTTGGACGATGGGGACGATGGTTAATCACGATGGAGAAGGTGTCGCCTGAGAACGATGTGGACGACCAAGGTCTGCGCGAGTTGGAAGAGAGGATGGGAGATCTTGGCAAGAACAAGACTCTGGAAGGCAAGTACCGTGCCGATGAAGATCCACTCGAGTTCCGCAATCGATACTACCTTGCACGTGGGCCCAAGACTTGGCAGTGACAAGTTTGCTACACTATCACCTCTGCAAGTGCACCAGCAATGGAAAGTATTGCTTCATTGATCTGATGAGCCTGTGCGAAAGACGTTGTTTTGATTCGGATCTGAGGATGAGATGGATCGGCAATTTGACAAGTCGAGGTGTTTGATGGGCAGATTCGATTTGGATGAGGATGCCTGTTCGGCATGGTGTCGTCGTTTGATGGTCGACGACCGAAGATCGGCCCTGTCTCGTTGGAACATCAGGCAAGCAATATGACACGCATCGGTCAAGCAAAGACTGAGCGGAGATTGGAGATTGCTAGAGTACAGGTTTCAGTTTTTATTTTTTATTTTTTATTTTTATTTTTATTTTTATTTTTTTTCAGAAACTCAAGTATTTTTTGAGTTTTCACTTACGTCGAATATTCGTTACTTACGTAAGCTCTGCCATTTTGGAAAATACTCTACTTTTTGAAAACACTGCTTCAGCTGGACAGTTGCGGCAGAGTTTTCAGAATTGGACCTGAGTCTTCACTCACGTGATGTTGCACGTTATTTACTCGCGCAAATGCCTCCACTTTTCCTGCACAGCTTGTTTTGCATGAACCCACGGTGTCAATAATGAATGTATATACTTTGATTGTGCGACGAGAGTGTCAAAGATGGTGGAGTTACAAGGTGGTTCGGATTCCGGAACAGGTGGTTCGGATTTCGGAACTGCTTCATTTTCCGGCCGACACTATCCTAACTCTTGGTCTAAAAACACAGCTTACATTTGGGGGCATCAATTTTCTGGCCTTTTTTCACTATTCGAAAACTAGAGTTTTCGAGGGCAAAAAAAAACTGAAACCCCCTAGTCTGAAGCTGACTTTGACGAAAGCTTGTCTTGGTGTTCGAGACTCACTTTTGTGCCCGAGAGACGAGACCTCTTCCGACGAACGAAGAAAAAGGAAAGAAAAAAGGGGGAAAGAAAAAATAAGAAAAGAAAAAATAAGAAAAAGAAAAAAGAAAAAAGAAAAAAGAAAAAAGAAAAAAGAAAAAAGAAAAAAAGTTAACACGCTCACGACAAAAATTTTCGAACTTTGACTTTTAGCTTCACCGCCATCCAAAGCCGCGTTTTTTCTCTTTCTGACAGAGCACTTGGTGAGTGTTTGATAACCAACACGAAGAGCGGTGAGCGAAAACATCTCAAAACTGAGACACTGCTGAGATGAATGAAAATTCGCGCAACACAAAAAGGGTCGTGGCGGTTGTATGGCGTCCTACTGCCTTCATCTTGGAATGAAATTTTTACGGATCACGCTGTAAAGAGATGCAGCCAACAGACACCCCGTTGCCTGTAGCCAATCCAAAGCGTCCAAGAAGCAGCACACAGAGACAGCGTGTGTGTGTGTGCTTGAAGTGATCGCTATATGCATTTCCAGCGTCCTTCGTCCTGCAAGGCCGTCTTCGTCGCACATCCCTCGATCCTTGGCTGCCGACTGACTGACTCTCGATCGACTCTCGTTGGAATCCTTTCTCTTAAACGACACCCAACTGTTCATCGTTTGCTTTACCCTCCCTTACCCCCACCATCTCCATCAAACTGACCCTCCCGCTCGACGTTTTCCGACCGCAACGGCGCAACGGACACCCTTTCGTCGTCCGTACCATCTACACACACGATTCAAGACACCAATTAGTTCCAGAAAAGCACGCCTCGATTTCGGTTCGACCGTCAGATCCGCAATCTAATCTCTAATCGGTAAGTCGAGCAAGAAGAAACTGGTCCTGAACCTCCTCCCCCTTTTTGTCAGATGCGGCAAGAGCAGGACAGGAGTGCGGCCGCCTTCGTCTCTGCTTTCGATGCAGGATTTTGGACAAAAGTGGGGCACGGTCTTAGCCTCCTCATTCTCTCCAGTGTGAGGCAAGGGCGGAGAGAATCTATGGTATGACGCTCTTTGACAGCTGCCTCGTCTGCTGGCAGAGCGGCTGCATTGCATTGTTCTCCCTCTCTCTCTCGTCTATGAGCCAGCAGCGATTCATAACGTTATGCTTGCCCAAACTGCAGCGGCGAATGGTTTCTCCAGTTGGGCCGCGGCAAAATTCACGCACCGAGCAAAAAGCAAAAAAAAAATCAAAAGAAAAAAAAATCAAAAAACTCTCGACTCTCTGCTGTTTGCGTTGGAGCTTCTGCGTCTTTTACCCTGTTGGGTTGGTGGAGCGCTCGCTCGCCTTTGTCCCTTTGGCGCCAATCGTGATCCGCTGATCGGTCGGCTGTCCATGTCTTTGGTGTCACAGCGTCATTGTGCCTTGCTTGCGATGCTCCCACATGCAGGTCTCCAGTTGCAAGGAAGACTCCCAATTTCTTCTGGTTGCTCATGATCGACTTGAGCTTTTCATCAAGACCCCGCTTTTGTTTACACGGTCTATAATTCCGTCTTCCGGATCATCCCAACCTGTGCTTCTTCCATTGATCCCCTTTCCATTAAATCCCCTTCATTCCCGCAATCGTACTTGTTGTGCTCTCCCTCACCTTACCCCACATTCTCCCTCTCCCAACTGGACCCTGCTTCCCACCTTCCTTCTGGACGTCCCCGCGACGCTTCCCATGCCCTCCAAAACTCCATATCGCTAACCTCCTATCCATGCTTTCCTCTTTTCCCCTCCCTACCTCCCTCGCCGTCAAGTAGCCTCAAGTGAAGTTCAACACCGACCCGTATCTTCACCATGCCATCCTCGCTGTCTTCCAAGTCCTCGGGTGAGGCCAAGGCCGAGAAGGTCCCAGTCAATGATGTCAACGAGAATGGCGCTCGCGTTAGCCATCAGCCCGCCGAGCTCATTGTCGACGATGATGATGCCATGCTCGCCGCTCGTGTGGGCCACAAGTCCGAGTTTGCACGAGAGTTCAAGAGCTTCTCCACCATCTCGTACGCATTCGCCATCATGGGTCTTGTCTCTTCGGTCGCAACCACTTTCAACAGTCCATTCACCCTTGGTGGTCCCGCCGCAACCGTCTGGACCTGGTTCATCGGTTCTTGCTTCAACATGACCCTCGGTCTCTCGATTGCTGAGCTCGTCTCGGCTTACCCTTCTGCTGGTGGTCTCTACTCGGCTTCGGGTCTTCTTGTCCCCCGCAACCAGCGTGCCTTCGTCGCATGGCTCACTGGATGGCTCAACTTCACTGGTCAGATTGCTGGTATTGCCGGTACTGAGTACGGTCTCTCCCAGATGATCTTTGCCTGGGCCTACGTTATCACCAATGGCCGCTTTGTCGCCACTACTGGTGCCACCGTTGGTCTTTACATTGGTCTCCTCGCTCTTCACGGGGTCATCAACTGTCTCGGTATCAAGACGCTTGCCCGCCTCACCTCGTCGTACGTGATTGTCAATCTCGGCATCACCTTCATCATCATCATTGTCGTGCTCGCCAAGACACCTTTGGATCAGATGCATTCGGCTTCGTACACTTTTACCGAGATCAACAACGCCAGTGGTTGGAGCAGCAACGGCCTTGCTTTCCTCTTCGGTCTCTACTGTGTTCAGTTTGTCATGACCGATTACGACGCCACTGCCCACATCTCGGAGGAGGTTTCGCGTGCTGCTATCGCTGCTCCCGTTGCCATCGTTGTTGCTGTTGCCGGTACCGGTGCCGTCGGTTGGGTTCTCAACATTGTCATGGTCCTTGTCAGTGGTGACGTTGCAGAGCAGGACATCTCCACTTGGCCAGGAGGACTTGCCTTTGCTCAGATCCTCTACTCGCGTGCAGGCAAGGTGGGTTTCCTCGTCATTTGGCCATTCGTCTGCTCGGTGGCCTTCTTTGTCGTCACCACCGCTCTCCAGGCCAACGCACGCTCGTTCTACGCCTTCTCGCGTGACAACGCTCTTCCAGACAAGGGCTTCTTTGCTCGCGTCAACAAGCGCACTGGTACAACTGTAAACGCCGTCTGGCTCGTCGTCATCCCTTGCATGGCTCTCGGATGCCTCGCCTTTGCTTCGTACACCGCCGTCACTGCCATCTTCGCTCTCGCCGCTCTTGGTATGGACAGCAGTTACCTCGTACCCATCGTCGCTCGTTGGATCTACTGGGACCACCCCGATGTTCAGTTCCAGCCGGGACCGTTCTTCCTTGGACGTGGCCTGCTTGGCAAGTCGATCAACTTGATCGCTGTCTGCTGGACCATGTTCGAGTGCATCATCCTTGCTATTCCCACTGTTCAGCCCATTACACAGTTCAACTTTAACTACTCGTGGGTGATCATGGTAGGTGTGCTCGTCATTGCCACTGTCTGGTTCGTTGCGTACGCTCACAGGCACTACCAGGGCCCTCGCAGCACTCTTTCGCCCGAGCAGCAGGAGAAGCTCGGCGTCATTTCGCGCGACGAGGAGGCTGTTCACCATCACTGAGAAGGCGACGTCGCTCATTCTTGTTTCACTGTTCATATTTTAGGATCAGCGAGTTTGGTTATGCTCAGCTGATTGCCTTGGTTGCAAGCTCTGACCCTGGATTTGCTGGCCTTTCGCTCTGTCTATATATACCACATTTGGCTTTCTCCTAGGTTTTTGGTACAGTCTCTCAACACTATATATGTTTTCACAGCTGAAAAAAGAGGTTAACCTCAATGGCAATCTCATTCTGTACCAAAGTGATCACCGTTTCGCCTGCTCTGAAGATTCTTGCGCTTGATGGTTGTGACAATGAGTTGTCGTGGTCATCGATGCTGCCAAGATTGTGCCCAGGAAGTGGACGTGTCCGTCTCTAAGCTGAGGAAGAAGACGATGGACGTCGCAAAAAAAAAGTTGGTAAATTTGTGAAAAAAGAGGCGTCAAAATTGGCCCCAAAATCAGGGTTGGCTTGTGCGCGGCTGTCGAAATGCACCTTGAGGTCATTTTTCTGCAACGTGCGCAGGAGGCAGAATTGCTTTGCTTTGCTGCTGGCTGCTGCTGCTTCTTTTTCGCATTCAGCACAGGGACTTGACGACCTTCTTCCGGCAGCATCGGAGAGACCCTTGCGCCAAGCACATGTAACTTTCCCACGATGCCTTCAAAGTGATGACGAGGGGTTCGGAATGAGCCGACAGACCAGAATGGATAGCAGAGCAACTTTGAGCTAGATCATGATAAAAAAAAAAAAAAAAAAAAAAAAAAAAAAAAAAAAAAAAAAAAAAAAAAAAGATTCGTGAGACACTCGCTTGGAGCAAGAGCAGACCAAGGGCAAACTCTGAATCTGAACAGCTCAAGTGCGCGCTTGTGAAAAGGGTCTGTGGAATGTGAACATCGTATCGATCCTCTTCTGCCAAAGCTTGATCAGCTATCGGAGAGTTTCTCCGCTTTCCTTTTCTTGGCTGTGCTTCTTTTGCTCAGTTGATTTCACGCACAGAGCTTTCTGCTCTCGGCTGTTCCGCAATTGCACTTGTAACCTTCCCAGGCAACTCACTTACAGAGCTTTCCTCAGCTCCACCATCTCCATCACCCGCTGCCAGGCTGGACTCTTACAAACATAGCACCCCTCCGCTCTGCACAATATGGCAGCCACTATCCTTGGCAACTATGGCCCCTCGGCTATCGTCAGCTACATCTACCAATGGATCCAGATCATCATCGCCTACCTCTTTGCACCCAAGCTGCCTGAACAGCAGGTCAAGCAAAAACCACTCGGTCATGTCGCAGTCATTGGAGCTGGAATCACCGGTATCAGCACCGCTTCGCATCTTATCGGGCATGGCTTTGAGGTGACTATCTTCGATCAGGCTGAAGAGGTTGGTGGTATTTGGTCCCGAGTCAACTCGACTTCGGGTCTTCAAATCAGCTCTATCATGTACCGTTTCCATCCAGCTGTCAAGTGGACAAGAAGCTACCCGCATCGAGATGAGATCCTGAAGAACACGCAAAAGATCTGGAAGATGTACGAGCTCGACAAGCGCACTCGCCTTGGATTCAAGGTCGAAAAGGTGACCCGACACTCCTCTTCCACCGACCCAAAGGAGCAGGGACATGCACGATGGCTTATTAACGGCAACGAAGAGCAAGTCTTTGACGGTCTAGTTGTTACCACTGGTACTTGCGGTAAGCCGAAGAAGATGGATCTTCCTGGTGAAGAAAAGTTCAAGGGAAAGATTGTTCACTCTTCTCAACTCGACGGACTGGATTGCAAGGGCAAGAAAGTGCTTATCGTCGGTGGAGGAGCGAGTGGTATTGAGGCCCTCGAGCTTGCTGTTGCACAGGGAGCCGACCGACCGACCATCCTTGCTAGGAGCGACAAATGGATCATTCCACGCAACACGATCGTCAACTGCGCACTTGCCCTCCAGCCTCTCGGTAGAGAGACTTGGCTCTCAGTAATCCCAAAGTTCATGCTCAAGAAGCTGCACTACCGCGATCTGGAAGAAAAGATGGCTCCCACACAAGGCTTCTACACCGGCACACCCATCGTCAACACCTCTGCCCTCCGTCATATCCGTCAAGGCGAAGCCGACTACCAACGTGGCGATGTTCTCCATCTCGACGAAGACGGTGTCCAATTCAACATCCGCAAGCGTGGTCAAAAGAAGGGTACCGAAGGCAAGAAAGTCCATTACGACGCAGACATCATCGTTGTCGCCACCGGCTTTGAAGTTCCTTCCATCGACTTCCTCCCACAAGACCTTTTCCCCGAAGACTACGTGCGACCCAACATGTACCTCCAAGTGTTCCCCATTCAGGACTGCTCGGTTCTTTGCACCAACGCTACCTTCCGCAATGCAGTCGGCACCGTCGGACACATTCATATCGGTATTATGGCCCGAACACTCATGTTGTTCTTGATGGATAAATCAACTCGACCCAAACCGCGAGACATGCGTCTTTGGGTCGATCTGATTCGATTCATCAAGGAACGAGCTCCAGGTGGCCAGCTCGACTTCTTCACCTACATGGAACTTTGCATCTGGCTCGTCTCGTTCTTGTTCTTCCGCATCAATAGGTTGTATTACTTTTTCTTTGTTACTTTCGGTTGGGGGTTCTGGAGTAGGGAGGGGAAAGTGGACAAGTCGGGCAGATTGGTAGGTGAGCCCAAATTCCACCTGAGCATAAGTAAGCTTATTGGTAAAGGGCCCTCCGCGCAATTCCTCAAGAATAACTAAAGATGGGATCCTCCATACTCAAGACATCTTCTTTTCTGGATCTGATTTGCTTTGTAGTGTTCGGTCGGATGCATAGATTGCGCTTGGTGCTTTTGTCTTTTGTTGAACAGGGTTCGCATGCGAATTGCGCAGTGGCTCCGCAGATTTACGAAGCTAGCGGTCTGGAAGTTGGAAGGGAATCTCCTTCCTGCGATAAGGGCGCCCATTTGCCGATCGATGGCCGGTTCACGCTGCTTCTCAGAATGGCGGCGGCCATCTGTTGAACTAGATGCACTTTTTCGTAGCCATAGCTCTACATGTCTTCTCTGTCAATCGCAACCTGTCCTCATGCATTCGCAGCGATCGCATCGGTCTCTGAAATCTGCACGATCTTCTCTCTCGTGATTCAGGAAGAGTCCGTCTAATGCTGAGTTACGATGACAAAATGAATCCGATTTCCGGAGATGATAATTGAACAAGCTCGCATGAGAAGACATCACTGCTTAGCCTCACCCTGACTAATCTGAACCTTGATCGCCGTCTTTCCATCCTCGCCTACACCCTTTGTTGTAACATCAAAGGCCTTGATAGCGTCCTTGAACAAGAAACGGTGGGTGACCATCTTTGTGACATCAATCAGCCCAGTGCTGACGAGGTTGATGGAAGTCTTGTAAGTACCAGGACCATACCTGAAGGAACCAGTAACGTTGATCTCCTTGACGCAAACACGGGTGATGGGGAATTCGACTTGGGATCTTCCCATTCCGACCTGAACGAAGCGACCTTTGGGCCGAAGAGCTTGAATGCCCATCTGAATGCATGGTTCTGCACCGGTGCATTCCAGCACCAAATCGAATCCATCGCGCGCGGCAACATCGTCACCAAGAGACTTGATCAGGTCCTGTGCATTTCGAGTAGCCGAATCGATCTTAGTCTCGCCGTCGTTGGGAAGGGAGGGTTTGAAAGTGGAAGTGGCACAAAACTCTTGTGCGAATTGAAGCTTGCTATCCACCACATCGACCACCACAACACGCTTAGCGGAGTAAGCTTTGCAGACAGCAGCGTTAAGCAAACCGATAGGACCCGCACCGAAGACGAGAACATTTTCCATCGCTTTCACCTGACCACGCATAGCAGCCGAATAAACAGCAACCGAAAGGGGTTCCATCAAAGAAGCTTGCTCCAACGACATCGAATCTGGCACATGGTGTGCAAACGCAGACTGAATGTTATAGTAGGTGCACAACGTTCCATCGTGAGGAGGAGTAGCAGCGAATTCGAGATCCGCACACTGGTTGTAGTCACCGTTCAAACAAACATGGCATGAACGGCATGGGACACCAGGTTCGAGCGCAACACGGTCGCCCACTTTGTGGGTGGTAACCGCTTCTCCGACGGCGGTGACGATTCCACTGGATTCGTGACCGAGGACCATGGGTTTGCGAACGACGAAATCGCCAATGCGGCCATGATGAACATAGTGACAGTCCGAAGCGCAAAGGCCGGTTTGGCGAATATTGACTTGGACTTGGCCGGGTTTGGGAGGCACAATCGGTCGGTCTTCGAAAGAAACGTTTTCGATCTCTTGGAGAACGAAGGAGAGGTTTGCTTGTGCAGGCTCGGTGGCGAGCGAGTTGTTGGGTGCTACTTGGCCTGGCATCTTGGGGCGGATGTTGAAGAGAGAGTTGATACTTGCGGAGGGGGGTTGAGGGTGGTAGGGAGGAAGAGAGATCAAGAGAAAGCGTCTTCTGTTTATGAAGAGGGGAGAGCAGCAGTGTTGCTGTATAACAACCGTGCCTGCGTACGACACAGGCCTCGCGCAGAAGAGGGAGAAAAAGGAAAAGCAAGCAGTCTAGTTTTCCGAGAGACACCGGCAAACTCATCATCAGCTTCGCCCCGCACCGGTAAACGAAAGCAATCGAGCAATTTGATCTGTTGGTCTTGGTTTTGCTTCTCACCACTAGATCTCACTCAGCAGCTTTTGGTACCACTCGAGGAGCTCAGTTGCATCCCAAAGGTGCCTCTTTGTGCCCATCGATTTCTGTTTGCAGGCCTTCCCCCGGAGAAGGCAAGGATGGAGGAAGAAGCCTTGCTTTCTTTCCGGCAGCAACTCTTTGCCCAACTTGCAGACCCGGCCTCCCTCCGTGGCACCTGCCATCGAGCTCAATAGAGGCTTTCGCTGCCTCCAGACCTTCTTCTCCACCCTTCTGCAACTTCCAGCACCTCGACTGGGGGCCAGTGGGGGGCTCGCTGCGAGAATTAATTTCTCCCTCAATCAGCAACGGTGCGCTCAGCCAGCGAGATGTGCTGAACCGGTCGCAGCTGCCAAAGCCCTCATCTTGGATTCCCTTCAGCCTACGAAATCCTGCGAGTGCGTCTGCTGGCGCCTGGAGTGAACCTTGAACAGACCGCCGCTCTCTGTTCTCCGCGCCGACAGGGCAGGCATGGTACAGCGGCATCTCCTAACCTGAACGGTGGACTCCTTCGACCGCTCCGACTCTGTTCATCTTCCTTGTCCCGGCAAACGATGAGGTGTAGTCGTAGCACGACCATGTAGGGTAACCGCAGGATGTAGCTTTGCAATAGCTTGCCTACTTTACCTTACGACACGATAGCCGCTCACATGAAAAAGGATGCCTCGGCGAAGGAGGGGAGGGGCGATAACACCGCGCGTCCAGTCGCACAGATCTTTATGGCAGCAAGCAATTGGTTGTATAACTTTGCGATTACACAGGCTACACCGCATATGTTTGACAAGATGCATTATGGCGTTTACTTGTTCTTTGCGAGTTGTATGGTTTGTAGTGTTGGATGGATTTACTTTTCCATGCCAGAGACCAAGGGCGGTGCCGGTTGAGGAGATGGATGAGCTGCATAGCAAGAGGCCGAGGAGATGGGCGCATAGGTTCCTGATGCAAGAGTTGAGGGTGAAGGCGGCGGAGAGGAGGGGGGAAGCCGTCTCGGGGGAATCATGACTTAGTCTGTTGGTGGGAGAATAGTGTTGACAAGTTCCGCCTTCGGAAAAAGGCTATCTAACCAGCATTTCTCGGTGGCATCATGGGCAAAACGGATGAGAGTATGGGACAGGTAGAGGCATAAATGCATCATGCTCAAGCCCTAGCCAGCCGAAACAAGCCCCTTTGCAGGATCCAGCTTTCTTGTCACATGGTCAATACTTCTCCAACCAAAGATCAATAAAACGATCGCAAACCTCGACAGTATCATTGCTATGGCCTGATTGAAATAACTTCTTTCCGCCATTTGCCACAGCTCCGCTCAACTTCCAAGCCCAGCTCCTATCATTAAATATGGCCCAGGTTAGAAAATAACAGTTGCCACTATCGCTGGGCATGTACAACAACCCTAAGCCTGTTTCTAAATGAGCGACATAAAAAGGAATAGTAATGTCGGTGATGGTGAAGTCGGTCAAGAAACCGTCTTTGACGATAAAGGATGTATAAACGTCTGGCGTAGGATCCTTATCGCTCGACTTTGGAAAGACGCTGGCCGAGTGAAGCGGGCCAGAGACGTGATGGAAGCAAGGAGACTTGGAGGCGGAATTGGCAGAACAAGCTTTGTTGAAGACCGAGTTGTGAGGGACAAGTGGGGCGAACTTCGGCGGACAGTTTTGGGCAAAGGCCGCAGAAAGGGAGCTGAGAGTGCTGAGGAGGAGAATGAGCCCAAGTGAGTTCATTTTGGAAACAATTGGAAGGTAGCGCTTGTTATCATTGAACAAAGAGGGGGCTTAAAACTGTTGAGATGGCGAGCCTTAAAAGGCTTCTGGCCTGGCCATGTCAGAAACTGGCTTCGATTCGGTTGGTCAGCGGCAATGTCGTGCTGTGGTTGAGAACGGTGGCAAGTGAGCGGAAGGTGAAGACTTCATTGAGGAGGTCGACCCAATTCTTCAATCGATGTCGCGTTGCGAGCCTAGGTAACAGCTTCAAGTCCAGTCCCACTGTGAGCCTTTAACCACCTTTCATCTGACCCATCAGTCTGCTGAATCTCTACTGTATCAAATTGATGCAACGAGGTATGGCGACTGTTTCACAGCCACCAATGGCAAACCACCTGACTTCATCGCCAGATCCGAGGGTCAAAGAGGTGCACGCATCAAGAGTCACAAGAGGTTCGAGCGCATCGCCAAACGCGTTCGACTCAGCCTTGTGGCGAATGACACTCTGTTATGCACAGGACCTCGGCGCAGAGAGTTACATTCGGATTGCTGTCATCCTCATGGACGAGCCTCAGATCCACCAGAAGTCGATGACCGACAAGTTGCACTGGACTTTCCCTTTCCCAATCTTGAACGGCTGACCGTCGATGGCAAAGGGGTGGATAAACAGCAGTTGCCCTGGGCGCTCATCGTCCGAGATCAATTGCGAGCGAGCGAGCATGAATCTCTCGACCGCCAACAAGGAACGAATCAGAGGTCTACAGGAGACTTACGCCGGATCAAACGTTGACCCTCTCAGCAAGACGCGAGACGAGTCAAACATCAGAGCACCAGGGTGGACTGCGTCTCGCTAAAGAAGAGGCGGAGCGATGTTGCAAACTACAGAAACTGCAGCTGCGCAACATCCCGGCAACTTCCGCCACTCGAATCAATTGGTGTCGACTTGGCGTGTTCTTAGGATCCTAATCGATGTTGGAGATCTCGTTCCGTATTCCGAAGCAAAAGTGTTGCTCTTCAGGAAAGCGCGAATTGGTGTTGGAGTCGAGGCGTGTCCGCATGCCCAGCTCTTCCCCACAACCATCATTCTGCATCATCACATCAACCTCTCGACTTCTTCCACTACGCCACGCTTGCATGATCACCATCACACGCTCGTAAAGAGGCTCAGTCGCTTGGCTAGTCGCTACACCAGAACATACAGGTAGAGCTCTCATTCGACACTCTTATCGACACTCTGAGCTCACCTGCAAGTTCCTGAAAGATGCCCGAATCATCATTGGAGGCCGCTTCTGGCCCAGAGGTAGGCGAGTCCAGCTCAGCGTCCACTGCCCTCGAGGCACAGCTTGCCTTTGCAGAGAAAAATGTCTCGATGGTAATGAACGCCTTCAAGTACGATGAACTCATTACGATCGCCTCCGAGGCTCTAGCGATACCAGTCAAATTGACAACGCCGAGCAAGGCAGTGATCAAGTCACGCAAGAACTTGCTCTGGGCTCGCTCACACAGCTATCACCACAAAGGTCTCCATGCACTCGCGCTCAAAGACGCTAGAGCCGCTCTTAAGCTTGACCCGGATGACCCCTCCTCCTACCTTCGAACAGCAGGGATGCTTCATGATGCCGGTCACAAAGCACAGGCTTTGGCATGTCTCGATCGAGCCTCTTCGCTCGCAGAGAGCTTCAAACCTTCGACGAAAGGAATCTGCCAACGCAAAATTGAGAAGCAACGACACAAATTTTCGAAACCGTCGGCGTTCCACATTGATCGTCTCCCCAACGAGGTATTGATCGCCATTGCGCGACACCTTCCACATCGCGACCGGCTCACCATGAGCCACATCTGTCATCACTGGCGACAACTCACCATCTCCGATCCGTCCCTGTGGCAGGAGCTAATTGTAGCTATCAAGGCCAAGAAATTTCCTGAAGCAAAGGCAGCTCGATGGCTGCAACACATCCGCAACTTCTCAAGCAGAGCCAACAATGCGCTCAAGAGTGCCGTCTTCTTGGGATTCTTTCCGGGCAGACTGCTTCGCACCATTCTAGGCATTCTACGGACTTCTGCTCACAGCCTTGAGCGCATCTCCATCCCCGCGTACCATCATGATGAGTGTTACAAGCTCCTATACCGCTATTGTCCCAACTTAAAATACTTGGATGCTATGAACATTGAAGCAATTAACAATGATCACGACGGTTTGCGGGCCCTTCAAAGACGCGGCGAAACTTCGCTACCGGAACTACAGGTGCAATCTTTTCAACTAGAAGGCTTCCGATCCGATCCCAACGTACCACATCCGCATCTAACCGCACATCTTCACCGCGCCCGGTATCTTTTCAATTACAGGCCTGACGGATGGGACAGCGAAACCGGCGAGGTCCACAAAGAAGCCAGACAAGAGCAGCTCGAACTTTTGCTCTCCCTTGCGAACAATCTTGAAGAGTGCAGACTCGTCGACGATTGGCCGTCGCACGAATTCTTCAATCCACGCATACCTGACAGACGCTTTCCACCGGTCACTGCTACTTTTTCCAAGCTGACGAAACTTGACGGTTTCCTGCTGAATGCCAACTTCAGATTTGATTTCCCCGAGCTTCAAGTGCTCGAAGAACTCCATGTTCTTGACGAGGACCCTCGAGCGGAGGCAAGAGGATTTCGACGTCACGATGAGCTAGTGCGTATGCTCAACACATGCCCGAACTTGCGCATCTTGAAGGCCGACTTCTGGCAGCTCGACGGCGAAGAGAGCAATCTCTTTGCGGCTTTACGAGGCTTGCATGAGATTCAGGAGCTTTCGTTGGCCGCAGACGGTCGAAGGAACTTCGTCTCGAAGCTTCTAATGCCTTACACATCCGAAGACGATGCCGGTCATCGTCAAGTCAATGCTCCTTGTCCAAACTTGCGTCGGCTTACCATTGACGCGACCAGGTTGGACGTCACCAAATTAGCCTTCGTGCTTCTGCAGCGTGACTTGCTGCGGCAAGGCCAAGGATTCGACGAGGCAAGAAGCAAGGTTCGAGAAACTTTGCGAGCAGCGACAAACACTTCTTCAGCGCCAGCCATTTCGCCCTTCCAACGTGCGTCGAGGACCAACCTCGTACCTCAAGTCTCACCGCCTGTTGTCGGGCCGCGTTTGGCGGATACGACAACGATGTGCGCCTTGGAGTTTCTTCGCCTCTACTCCCTTGAAAGCGTTTCGACTGAGGTTGAGCAGGCGCTTCGCCGTCTTGTGCCCGATCTCGTCCTCGAATACGAGCAGCTCTAGCAGTCCAGATTCTCCAGCTGCTAGCGTGCCAAACAGCAGGTCACCAAGAACTCGCGCAATGTCAAACCGGCCGTGCTTTCTCCGATCCCTCAAAGCTTTCAACCTTTCTTCGACTCAAGGTGCGCCACAGCGCAGAGCGAACAACCTCGTTTCAGCGATTTCGACGCATGCAGGCGCGTTCGAACTACCTTCCGCATCGAGGACCGCCGTCGTGCGCCATTTGGATGTTCGCTGCAAGCTCGGTTGCACAATGCAGGCCCCACAAAAAGTCTGGTTCATTTTTGGCGCTATGACGATAGGTCAGGTGCAAGTGCTTCCTGGAAAACAAAGCGTTCGTAGCGGTTGTGCAAGGTGTTCCGCAGGTCGCGGGTACCTCGAGCACTTATAAAGGCTCGCATGGAGGTGTTGTGAGCGCACTTACACGTTCATCATCGCAAAGGTCTCCATCAGAAGTGACCATACACTCAAAACTCCAGGCATGGCTCTCAAGCTCGATCCGGACGACATTGCTTCCCACTTCCGCACCGCGGTTGTGCTTATAGAGGAAGGCCGCTTCTCACAGGCCGAAACCTGTCTCGATGCTGCCAACCGACTCGTAGCCAAGCTCGATTGGGCTGTCAAACAGACCTGGCTCGACAAAATTAGTGCGCAGCAATCTAAAATGTTACGCCTCAAGGCCATGCTACATCAACAACCTTCCCAACGAAATACTGGCCAGGATCGCTAAGTGCCTTGAAGGTGCTGATCGGCTGGCCATGAGTCAAATCTGCAACCCATGTCGCGATATAATCTTGACTCCATCGCTTCGCTTTGGACTGAACTCGCCATTGACATCAAGAACGGTGCGAACACTTCTCTCTTCCTGACGCCGAAGCGAGCGACAAAGTGGTTCGAGCACATCAAGATTTGCGCCTCAAAATCCAACAACGCTCTCAAAACTGTTCGACGACAGCAGAACGGGCTGGTAGACACACGCGGTGGTGGTCGGTCCCTACGCTCACAAGCTCAAGCAAGGTCATTGTGAAAAATCAAACAGATTCGAGAAGCTCTCTAAGGTGGGTATCAATTTTCGAGTGTTTTTAGAAACACGTGTTTTTTCGATTTTTACGAGTTTTTATTTCGCACAAAAACCTTACGTAAGCTCACCCAAATTTGAAAAAACACGTGTTTCCAAAAACACGTTCCGCGCAAAGGTGACATTTGGTTCGATTTAACACGTATGTTATCAAATTCATTGTCGGTAATGAAGGAGGGAAGCAAGCGGTTGCGCATCCGCGCATCCGCACTTCATTTGACACACAGTAATGAAGGACATGACGCACCAGTGTGATGAAGTGAAGCAAGCGGATGCGCATCCGCGCATCCGCACTTCATTTTGGAGAGTGACGAAAAAGTGAGTCCATTTTACCGGGTCCGGAGGCGTGTTTTTAGAAACACGTGTTTTTTCAAATTTGGGTGAGCTTACGTAAGGTTTTTGTGCGAAACAAAAACTCGTAAAAATCGAAAAAAACACGTGTTTCTAAAAACACTCGAAAATTGATGCCCCCTTCTGTGAAATGCAACACTATTCTCGGTCAACTAACAGAAGGATGTGTGAAGTTGTGATGTCCGAAACCCGAGCACCAAACTTAAACAGCATCAAGACGCTTCATCACCGAGTGGGTATACTGATCCATACCACCCTCCAGCTTGTCCAGCGTTCCATCCTGCAGCAAATACACCCTTCCCGACTCCTTTGCTGCCTTTCTCACATCCATCTCCCCATCCTCCTCTACCTCTTCCTCCGCCACTTCATCATCATCAGCTGCAGGGTCGGGAGCAAGCTCAATAATCCTCTTAACCGCATACCTGTCGTGACTGACGAGCAGCACTGCGCCTGCATAATGCTGTAATGCGTCGATCAGCGCATCGATCGTATCGCTATCCAAGTGCGTCGTTACCTCGTCCAGAATCACCAGATCAGGACTGGTCCACATGACTTCTGCCAATCCTAATCTTACTAGTTGCCCACCGCTCAGACCGGTAAGGGGGATTGTGTCTGCTGTTCGACCCTTGAGGCCGAGCTGCCCGAGGAAAGAGCGTGCGTTGGAGTCACCTGCGTCTGGGAACTTCTCCATGAAGTGTGATAATGCGGTCGTCTGCTGGGTGGAGAGAAGTTCAAGCGTGTGCTGCATGTAGATGCCAATACTTGCTCTTGGATGTCGTTCTACCGTACCCTTGGTCGGGGTAAGTTTACCAACAATAGCATTCATCAGCGTAGTTTTGCCATGTCCATTAGGCCCAACAATCCCCACCCTTTCACCCGGTCCAATCGTTAACCGCGCTCCCCTGATCACATCCTCCCTCTGCCCTTCATACCTCACCCGCACCTCGTCTAAATGAACCAAATTCCCCGGAAACCTCAACTCTTCCGGATCAGCAAAACTAAAGCTAACCCTCTCTTCCCCCTCCTCCACCTCCACCCCTCCTCTACTCGTTAAATGATACCCAGCTAAATCTCTATTCAACTTAAACCTATGCCCTTTACTGTTCACCTCCAGACCCCACCTCTCGTCGAGTTTCTTCTGTCTTGATTTCGCCATCCGCATTTTATTATCGTCTCCCGATTTCTTGGCGGATTTGGCTGCGTCGGCGATGGATTTCTGAACCGCAGCTTTCTTTTTCGCCAGCACTTCTTGTTGTCGTAGCTTGTGAAGGCGAGTTTGACGAGATTCGCGTTCGTAAGTGGTAAGGTTTCCGTCGAAGTACGTCAGTTTTTCGTTACGGAGGATGATGAGAGAGGATGAGACGGAGTCGAGAAATTCTCGATCGTGGGAGACAGTTACAACAGTATGCGGGATGGAAGAGACGAATCGCTGAACAAAAAGGACGGCTGGTAGATCGAGGTAGTTCACCGGTTCATCCAAAAGCAGAATATGTGCCGGTTGGAGTAAAGCAGATGCTAGGGAAGCTCTACTTCTCCAGCCTCCCGAGAGCGAAGAGTACGGCGCTTTGATCCTCTCATTAGAGAATCCTAAACCATGAAGTATCTTCTGAGCTCTTGCTTCGGTTGATACCGCATCAACTTCGTCCAGCAGTGCTTGCGATTCAAGTAAAAGCTTGCCTGCTTGACAAGACCACCCTTCCCCTCCATCTGAGATAGAAGGTGGGTGTGAAGCTTGGTATTGAGCTAATTCGAATTCCTTCTCCGTAACAAGTAGATCTTTCCTCGCCCCTAATCCTCTAGCACCAGACCATTTCACCGCTAACTTTCTCGCCTCTCTTAACCTCTCCCTCGCTCTTTCCAACTTCAATCCCAAGACCGCATCTCGAATCTTTTCCTCTTCTCCATCATCCAACGCCCGACTAAGCAACTTGGTCTCGTCTACAGCTCTACTCCTCTCGGCATCAGATCGAATCACAACACTTAACACCGACGCATGCAGATCGTCTTCTGCCGCTCTCGCATTCGTCAATTGGCTCACATATAAGATCTTCAACGTCCGTGGCAACCCGGGGATGAGCTTTTCCCCAATCGCAGTGAGTAGAGTCGATTTTCCAGTTCCGTTCCGTCCAACGAGACCATAGTGCGTGGAAGCTTTAAGTCGTAAATGCGCATCAGAGAGGAGATCGCGACCAGCGAGGGTTAGGGTGACGGATTTTAGATCGATTTCGAGCGATCCTGTGTCGGTACAGTCCAAGTGGAAACGCGATTCTTGAGATAAAGCAGAGATGAGACGGACTTTGGGGTCTGCGTTGTCCATGTGGAGGTTGGAGGAAACTGCCAAGGAGAGGTCGTCGGCGGAGGAGGAGGAGGTGGTGGTGGTGGTTGAGTTTTTGGTGGAGGGTTTGGTTGGACGATCGGTTTTCTTTGGTTTCTTGGGTGTACTGTCCGCATTGCCGTTGGATGTTGCCGAGGTCGAAGCAGCAGCGGAAGATGTGGTGTCGGTCTTGCGTGAAGATGAAGCCGAAGATCGCATTTCGTTATATGACTTCCCTTCCACTGCATCAGCAGTAGAAGACAGAGGAGTAACTCGAACAGCCAAACAAGCATCAGCAATCTCCAATACACCCTTCTTTCCCACCCCTGCATCCGTCAATATCGGTCTCAACCTTTTCTCCAGCTCAGTCCTCGCTGCTTCGCTCCTATCTCCACCGAAAGAGGTAGCATGTTCTTCTAGAGCTTTCTCGAGCTTAGGGTAGGTCTTGAGTGCTTTAGCCGTATCGATGACTGTTTTGGGGATTGTGGCTAGGTACGGTTGGATTTCGCGTGTCATCTTTGTCTGGAGGAGTTAGCGTGACGAGTAGAGATGGAAAGGGAGGAACATGCTGCTTGCTGTCTTTATAGACGGGATCGCTGGGTGAGGAAGAGGGTAGGGGAAGGGGATGAGGAGCTAGGGAGAAAGGACGGAGGTGGAAAAGGCAGTTCAGAGTCCTCCGCCTCCACAAAACGAGAGGCAAAAGCAAAACCTTGATAAATAGCCGAACTCCGGAATCCGAAGAAATTTCTCTTTTTCGAGTCATGCTGTTGGACCCTGTGCAGCCCTCTTCACCGTGGCGATTTAGGATCGCTTTCGAGTCATTGGGTCGCTCCGGTTTCCGAGTATCCTCACTTCTCACACTTTGCTTTGCCGAGAAGTGGAGTCACTCGCATTCTCCGCTGTCATACCGAACACGGCCAATGGCTGCAGTCAAGTCAAACCATGTGTTCCCAAGATATGCAAATGCTAAGTGTAGAACTCAGGTAGGATCAGAGTAAATCCTAGCCAACATATCCTTCATCTCCAGCCTACTTTCCCTCCTTTTCGCAGCAACTTCGGCAAACTTTTCCAACGCCGACCCCACCGGCATCTCCACCTGCCTCAACAACCTAGCCCTATTCCCATCCCTCACAGACGCCAGCATCGAAGTTGATATATCCCCCTCATCCAGCGGAAAAGCCAAGGTGAAAAGCGCATCATTCGTAATCCTCCTCGTCCCGTTCCTCGCCTCCGCGATCGCAAGCACATACACCTCGCACGACTGAACAAACGTCCGCACTACCACAGAGATAAACGTCATAGATTCGCCTACCGCCACTGCCTGTTCGAACTCCAACCCGTCCAAAGACACCGTTCCCCACCTTCTCCCCCTCCCCACATGCCTCACGGAAAGCAGAGCTGCTTCTTCCATCCAATCCATCAGTTGACCTCCAAATAGCACGCCTACAGAGTTGGTGTGTTCGGGGAAGACGAGGTGGAGGGTTCGAGCCATAGTTTTGGCGACTTTGATGGGTTTCGTGAGCTTAGAGCCAAGTCGGGCACGAGTGAGGTCAGAAGACGTGTGTTGTTTGATGGGTGTGTTGGTGGAGGATTGGTCGAGGTCGGTGTCTCCTTCTCGTTCCTGTGCTGGTTTGAGGGGGGAGAAGATGGATCGGCGCCGGGTGGAGGGCGGTTTGGGTGGTGAGATTGATTCAGTTTCCAACAAGGCTGCTTTGATGTTGGGACGTGCGGTACGCGGTGCGCTTGGTGATGGGAGTGGGATTGAACCCGATTCTGGGATTTTACTCGCAAAGAGCGAACTTGAGGGGAAAGAAGCAGGCTCTGCAGGCTGTCTTTCCTCGATTTGCTTCGCTAGCCTCTTCACCACCTTGAGCGGGTGTCGAATAGGAATGTCGCCCGAGAGATTGATCTCGACGATCCCCCTTTCGTCATCCACTGTCACCGCAGGATCTCGAGAGACATACGCCTGAACCACAAACTCCAATTCCAACGCCTCCAATTGACACTCTTGCTCCGTCTTCTTGCCAGGAACAGCCGAAACATGATCCCCCACACCAGTAGAGAGCAGCAAGTCAGCCGCTTCGATCTTGAGCCTGCCCGGTGTCCAACCTCCAGTCTCTGCTTCTGCTGGACATGGCCATTTGCCACCAGTCCTTGAGATCTCTTGTACTTCCTCTTTGAGCCGTTTCTTGACTTCTGTGGAGACGCCATCGCGCGCTTCACCCCTCTGAGCGTTTGCAATGCGCTTTGCTCTTCTACGGCCTGCGAGAATGTGTCGTCTTGCTTCCAACGGTGTTCTTGGTAGCAGCGGCAGAAGTTGAGATTTGGACGCTTTAACAGGCTGACTCGGACCAGAGAGGAGAGAAGTTATGCGCTGCCAGAGCGAGGTTGGTGCGAAACTCTGTCGTGATGCAAGGCGAACTCTTGCTGGTGGTTGCGATACTGTGCTGGACGATGCGGTGGGTTGGCCGGAGATGGCGACAAAAGTCATGTATGCGTGACTGACGTATTCGCGTGCACCTGTGCGAGGATCTTCTTTTACGACGCGAACACCTACTTCGAGACTGCTTCCCCATGCTCGGTTGACCGAGGCAGAGAGATGGACCAAGCCGCCGAGATATATCGGGGCGAGTAGGAGAACCGAGTCGACACTGACAGTGACACAGCTCAGCTCGGCATGCTTGCGCGCCGAAACTCCAGCAACTACGTCGATTAGCTTGAACAGTGCACCGGCACGGATCTTGGGCAGAGCGTCGGATGTGTCGTCGGAATGGTGGGAGAAGCGATTGACCATAGAGCTTCCAGCGTGGAAGGCGTTGTCGCACATTTCGAGTGTTATGGGGTAGGTCACTTGAACTGTGCTTTCTTGGGTTGTTTTGCCTACTCGCTGGCGTGGTTCGCCGGTGGAGGCTTGATTTGAGGTGCTTGCGCGTCGTCCTTGTGGTTGCTTGTTGGGTTGAGAAGAGTTGCTGCGCTCTGAAGGGCCGCTTTGGATAGCGTGTCGAAGATAGGCATTGGCGACATTGGCTCCTGAGAGCAAGAGGAAGAAGGCACCGAAGCCAATGATGCCTGTTGTGTAAAGTTGTGATGCGTTGGCATCTCTCCATGTTGGTGTGGCCGTCATGACAGCGAGCTTGATGGGTTGTCGCAGTGTTTTCGCGTAGAGGAGGAAGGATGGAGGACGCTTTAACGTCCCACCTTGGCTTTCATATCGGCTTGGACGTCGATGAACGAGTTGAAGATGTGGTGTCGAGAAACAAAAAGCGGCTTGGACTCTTGGCAGGTCAAAGCGTCAAAGCGTCGAAGCGTCGAAGGCAGGGTCTTTTAAATGCCGCAAGCGGTCATTTTGCAGTTGTTGCTTTTTTTGCGGAATAGGGGCAAGGATTTGTCGCCATGCTCACTTTTGTTCAAGAAGGAGGCCTAACAAATATACGATAAATAATCGAACGCCAAGCCTCTTCTAAGCGCCTCGTCGTGTGTTCTGATTCTGATTGGCCAAAATGCACTGAATCAAATCCAACATGATAATCAGTGTGCAGCTCTGCGCAAAGCTTTGGGGTCGCACGGGCAATTCTTATCTGCAACACCGCAACACCACAACATCGCAACATCGCAACATGGCTTAATCTCACTGCCTCATAGCAGTACGGCCGACTAGAGAGCGATGAAAGCATTCTCGGGGGTCGACTCGCTTGTGCCGTCAAGATGAACTTTCAAGCCATCATTTTGCCCTGATGTTGTCAAGCCCCACGTCCCCTGCCTGATCCTGATTGGCAGTCTCGGCTTCTTCTTTTGATTGATCACCTGACCTTGGCTCTCACTCACAGTAGTCGAGGCTCGATTGCGTCTCTTGTATCTTTCGCCGGCAATGCCCATTAACTTTAACTGGACACTTGTCATGCACATGGCGCATGTCTGGCTGATAAGCGCAACAACAGCCGTTTGATGATGATGCACGCTGATTGTGAGTCGCTCGAGCCAGCACACGATAGAGCTCAGCTCTCTCTTCCCGCTGCACCCTTGTGTCTCGACGTCGAGTAGATGAGGCTTGACCCTGAGTCCACGCTTCCCCTCTATCTTGCTTTCTCTACCTTGCTTCGTCTTTATCTTTTTATCCTCGCTTCCTCCCCTTCCTTTGGGTCACGTCCCTCGCTTGGTTCTTCCCCTCGCTATCGCGTCTTCACCTTCTCGGATCTCTTTCCACTCTTCCGTCCGCACACCCTACACATACATCCAAGATCTGTAGACGAAGCGACCAACTCGCACCTCAACCACACAATCCTCATCACCCACTCCCTCGATACCTTCATCCAAGATGTCCGACATCAAACAAACAACGAGTGTCCACTCGGCACTATTCTCCGGCGCCGGTGCCGACGCTCGCCTAGCCTCTATGGGCTACGATCCAGAACTCAAACGAAACCTCAGCATGTTCACCATCCTCGGTCTCAGCTTCTCCATCATCGCAGCACCTTTCGGTCTCAGTACCGCCTTCTCCATCGCCCTCGCCTGTGGTGGACCCGTTACCATCCTCTACGGCTGGCTCTTTGTTTCACTCATCTCTCTCTGCATGGCTGCATCTCTCGCAGAGCTGTGTTCCATGTATCCCACCTCTGGCGGTGTTTATGTTTGGTCTGCCTTTGTTGCAACCAAAAAGTGGGCACCTTTGACGTCCTGGATCGTAGGCTGGGTCAGTTTGGTTGCCAACTGGACATTGTGTTTGTCGATCAACTTTGGAGGCGCTCAGCTGATCATGGCTGCCATCTCGCAGTTTAGGAATAACCAGTGGACTCCCCAGGCTTGGCAGACGATTTTGACCTTTTGGGCTTGCATGCTGATCGCTGCGATTGTCAATGCTTATGGTGTCAAGTTCGACTATTTGGATCGGCTCAACACGCTCTCCTTCTACTGGACCGCGGCGGGGACGCTGATTATTGCGATTACCATTTTGGTTAGGGCAAAGGATGGAAGGAAAGATGCCGAGTTCGTGTTTGCTGGATGGGAGAACACTTCTGGATGGCCTGACGGTTGGGCTTTCTTTGTCGGTCTTCTTCAAGCTGCCTACACTCTTACGGGTTATGGTACGGTAGCTGCGCTATGTGAAGAAGTAGCAGAACCGGAGAAGCAAGTTCCCAAAGCCATCGTCTGGTCCGTCGTTGCAGCTAGCATCACTGGATTTGTCTATCTCATCCCCGTCCTCTTCGTTCTCACCCCCGACACAGCCGATCTCTTGACCACAGCAGCAGGACAACCCATCCCAGTCCTCTTCTCCCTCGCCACCGGTTCAGCAGGCGGTGGATTCGGTCTCCTATTCATCATCCTCGGCGTTTTCACTTTTGCCGGAATCGGATCTCTCACCGTCGCACTCCGTTGCACCTGGGCTTTCGCCCGAGACGGAGCCATCCCCGGAAGCAAATACTGGTCCAAAGTCAACAAATCCCTCGACCTACCCCTCAACGCTCTCATCCTGTCCACCATCGTAGTCTCCCTCCTCGGCTTGATCTACCTTGGCAACACCGCCGCCTTCTCCGCTTTCACCGGCGTCGCAACCATCTGTCTCGGCATCAGCTACGGTATCCCCATCGCCGTTGCTATGTTCCGCAAGCGGATTATGCTCAAAGATGCTCCCTGGAATCTGGGCAAATTCGGATATGTGATTAATATGATCACCTTTGTATGGATCGTGTTGGCAACGGTACTGTTCTGTATGCCGACAACCAAGCAAGTGGAGGCGAGTACGATGAATTATGCTTCGGTGGTGTTTACCTTCTTCTTTGTGCTCAGTGCAGGCTGGTGGTTTGTTTGGGGGAATAAGCATTATGTGGGTCCGTTGGGAGCGGCACCGGAAGAAGCGGTGGCTCAAATTAAACCGCATACGCATACTCCTGTTCATGCGCAAGCGTTGACCGCGGGTGAGAAGGCAACGGTGGAGGTTGCTAGTCATAATTCCGAGGAGAAAGAGACTTCGCATCATGTGTAAAAGTAGCCCCGTTGATTGGTTGATCTTTGGATCATATCTGTTATTGTACTCCAAGAAAGCAAAGATTGTGATGCGAGAGATTGAGATTGCGGATGCTGAAACTATCCAGGTGACTGTTCTAGTCGCTAGGAGCGAATAAGATCTGACCACGATGTGTGAGCGTTGCGAAACTTGAGCGCGAGTCGACTTCGTCTACCGATCTGTCGTCACAACGGAACAGAAGAAAGCAAGTGTCAGCAGCTCGCATGAAATGAGGTTCGTGGATAACGAGTTCGTAGATAACGAGTTCGTGAATAACGAGTTTGTGGATAACGAGTGTGATACGTACTTTGTGCGCATCTCGCTTGCCCAAGTGACATTCTTCAGAGGCGCTGCTGTCAAGGCCACGCCGAGAAGAATAACAATGAATGATACCAGGGTCTCAAGTGTGATCTGCGAGACAAGAAGACGGGGTAGCGATAGGCTTGTGAGTTTGATGGCCGAATCAGAGGCATGTCTGGTGGAGGGAGCAGAGCTCGAACTTACGTCGACTGGCATTGCCTTAGCTTCTGCTCCTACAAGTCCGAGTGATTTCCTCAATGAGAGGTCTGCGAGGTAGCGAGCGAAAAGAGAGATGGTCGTAAGGTGTCAGTACGGTTGATGCGCTGGGCCTGATTACGAAGCTTGCGTTGGGAAAAACTTACGCTCATATGTCGAGTATGCAGCGTGGAAGAAGACGACTGCGAGGTAGGAGGGGGCAATGCGGTGTGTTAAATCAAGCTCTGTCGTTCTCGGTCCGCTCGTCTGAAAGACGAGGAAGGAGAGGTTTTCCGGGATGAGATGAGGACGTACGTGTGCCAACAGTGAGTAGTAATCTCCCCGCGAACGTCATGATGGCCTTGAAGATCTGCTGGTATTGATGGTGTTGAGCGATCTCGATACTTTGGCCGTTACGATGCGTGTGGATGGTAATGTGATCAAGGTAGCTGCCCTGGGTAGCGTGTGATGTTCAAGAAGAAGGTACGACTCTATCAGTGCAAACCCTAATGTCAAAGTGTTGGTCCCAGCACAGACGCGAGCGAGAACAAGGTTCAATCTTCGCCATCGGGTCCATCCAAGTTCCAAGTTCCTTTCCGAACCCGATGGCCCCGATTTCATTCTCCACCCTGAAACTTAGCCAACACAACGAAAGCGGAAGTTTAACAGTGTTGATGTTTTGTGTTTGTATACCTAGAAAGCTACAATAGAATCTGCCTGTAAAAGATGCTGATCGTGAGGACGAGAGTTGTGAAAGGGGATGGAGAGGGAGGGGAATGTGACGCCCGTATCTGTGCACACCACTCTGAAAGCTGTTCGTGGTAGCTCAATCGAAGGCGACTTGGTTGGGATTGACAGTCCGTAGACCGTGTTCGTGTGGGGTTTGATCTAGGTCGTGGAGTTTAAGTTGAAGTCGCGCAGCCTTTCACAGCTTCATCCTACGCCGTAAAAGTATCGAGTTGACAGCGGCAAAAGACAGCTGCGAAAAGCTTTGTGATGCACGAGGCTCCTTATGGACCATCTGAGGCTTCAATCGCTCAGTCGCACAGAGCGCACTAGCACAGTCTTAAGGATGAACGTGTCTTGCTATTAGGGTATACTTGGGCTTTGCGTTGCGTTTGCTCTGTTCACTTACCAGCTACTACCGGGGCTGCATTCGTTGTTCCTCTCGGTGTTCCAGCTGCTGTCTTCGAACTTCCAAAAACAATCTTTTCGATCTTTGCATCAAACGCAGCACTCTTAATCTGACGACAGTTGACCGGCACATTCATCCCTTGCCTCTGCTCCAACTCTTTTTGCTCTCTCCCCGGCCCCGTCTCTCCCTCCTCTTCCTTGCCTGCAAAGTTACTTGGCGGTAGGGAATGGAAAGGATCAGCCGACCACCGCAAATAAACCGTATGGACCGCTCTGAACAACGTCAACATATCGATATCCCTCACTGCATGATCGCTTAATTGCAGCATCAACAAAAAGCGCAACCGTGTGCATGTCTGGAATCCGTATACGGCAAGGTCTTCGAGCGTGTAAAGGAGTCCGAGGTATTGTTCGGTTGTACGGGTTTGAGAGGATGTGCGTTCGTCCATTACGTCGAGGGCGGAGTGTGCGAAGTAGTGGTATCGGAGGTCGGCGGCTGTGGGGTCTGAAGGGGACTTGCCGAATTGTCGGACGTAGATGGGACCGCTGCGCGGTGAGATGATTGCTAGGGCTTGCTGTTGGTCGGAGAAGCGAAGAATGTGCAGATGTGTTAGTAATTACGGAGCTTGTCATATTTTACGATGGATGTACTTACTATTCTTGGTGCTGATGCTGACATGTTGGGTACCTTGCTACGCCAGCGGAGACTCTTGGTCGAAGCCTGAGGATGTAGCCAAGTTGCTTTCCTCGCTGCTGATGGCGAGATAGTTGATGGATGTGATCAAGGTTCTGAGAGATGGCTTGAGCGCGTGTTGTGTGAGATGGTGGAGGAAGAAGCTCAGGAAAAAGCACAGTTGCAGACACGCTCAAAAAGCACAGACGAACTTTCGTCTGATTGTTGCGCATCTTGAAACACTCCTTGCCACCAACAAGGAGAGCGTGTATTGTGGTACGAGCATTGCCGGAAGGATATTCTCGTAGGCTGTCGAGCGTCAAGGTCTGCCTCAACGCTAGCGATCGACCCAATCATATCTTCGAAAGTCTTGGTGTTGGTCTCGTATCTTTTCTGACCGGTAAAAGCGATAAGAACGGGAAAACGAGAGAAGCGGCAGGAACAAAATAATTTTTGGACCGTGCAGAGGCGAGCGGGAACCTTATCTTTGCCCGAAGAAGGCTGCTGTGGCAAGCGATCATGGATAGTACAAGTGTCGTTTGACCTCGTTGTCCTGACTTGTACTCTTACGACCTTCAAGCCACCCACACATACGCAAACATGGCTACCGCAGAGCAGAAAACGTTCATCTCGCAGATCGACGCCAACAAGGCTGGTCTGATCAACCGTCTCGCCGAGGCCGTCTCTATCCCTTCGGTCTCTGGCGATGCTGCTTACCGCAAGCACTGTTTTGAGATGGCCGATTGGCTACTTGCCGAGCTTAAAAAGCTTGGTGCCACCGCTGAGCTCAAGCCTCTCGGCAAACAGACCCTGGATGGTCAAGAGATCGAACTGCCACCCGTTATCCTCGGCGACCTTGGAAAGGACGCGAAGAAGAAGACCATCCTCGTTTACGGCCACTTTGATGTTCAGCCAGCACTCAAGTCTGACGGGTGGGACACCGAACCTTTTAGGCTCATCACCGATGAAAAGACTGGTCGCATGTACGGCCGTGGCTCGACGGATGACAAGGGACCCATTCTTGGCTGGCTCAACGTTATCGAGGCTCACCAGCAGTCTGGTATCGAGATGCCCGTCAACTTGAAGTTCTGCTTCGAAGGTATGGAGGAGAGTGGAAGTGTTGGTCTTGACGAGCTGATTGCTGCTGAGAAGGATTCTTTCTTCCAGGGCGTCGACGCTGTTTGCATCTCGGACAACTACTGGCTTGGAACTAAGAAGCCTTGTTTGACACACGGTCTTCGTGGTATTGCCTACTTCAAGCTGGCCATCTCGGGTCCTGCTCGCGACCTGCACTCTGGTGTCTTCGGCGGTACTGTGCACGAGCCCATGACTGACTTGTTCACGATCATGTCGAAGCTCGTCACTGCCAAGGGTAAGATCTTGATCCCTGGTATCAAGGAGCTTGTTGCACCCTTGACCGACGAAGAGCGCAAGCGATACGACGTGATGGACTTTTCCCTGGACGACATTGAAGGTGCCACTGGTAGCAAAACAACCGTCAGCGACGACAAAGCTACTGTCCTCATGGGACGTATGCGATACCCCTCTCTCTCTTTGCACGGTATCGAAGGAGCCTTCTCCGAACCCGGCACCAAGACCGTTATCCCCGCCAAAGTCGTCGGCAAGTTCTCCCTGCGTCTGGTCCCCGATATGACCCCCGACAAAGTCAACGAGCTGGTCACCAAATACGTCAACGACGAGTTCGGCAAGATCGGAAGCAAAAACAGCATCAGCATCACCAGCGAACACGGTGGCAAACCCTGGTTGGCTGACCCTAACCACTGGAACTACGAGGCAGCGATCAAGGCTACTGAAACCATCTACGGTGTTAAGCCTGACTTGACTCGTGAAGGTGGTTCGATTCCGGTTACGCTCACTTTTGCAGACACGCTGCAGAAGAACGTGCTACTGCTGCCAATGGGTAGGAGCGACGACGGTGCTCATTCGATCAACGAAAAGCTGGACATCTCGAACTATATCGAGGGTACCAAGTTGCTCGGTGTCTATCTGCACGAGATTGCTGCTGTCAACTGAAGGCAATGTCACTTTATATCGAGGTTTGGTCGTGAGCAATGAATTCAAGAGATCGTTTTGGAAGCTTTGCTGTGTGTGCAACGGATGTGACTATGAAGATAGCTCGACCGCTAAGATGAGGCACTGTCTCGCCTCAGTCGCGTTCCGGAAGGGTGAGCAGCAACGTAGCCGCCTCAAGGTGGACGGCGACGTTCACAGAGTGGAAAGCAGGCGGCCGAGAAAGTGGCACCGCGGGCGCCGGATATCCGTCCAGGAGCCGGTCAGTTTGAGAGAAACACACGACCACATGGGACAGCCGAAGACAACACAGGGTCGTGTGAGTCGCCGTCGTCTAGAAACTTGGCGTAGCAGCAACACAGAAGGGCACATTGCGCAGAAAGGCCTTCCTTCCAAAATGCAGGCAGCATCGGCAACGAAATTTCATAAAAGAAAAAAGAAAAAAGAAAAAAAAAAAAAAGCGGGCAAAAAGAAGCGACAGAAGGTGGTGATTGTTTCTTTGCTACCGTCACCACATTGAAACGTCATCAACGCGAGAACACGGCACATCCGATTTGCCCTCTTCAATCTCTGGGAAATCGACTTTCCCACGCCTCATCGAGCGTGACACGGATCTGCGGAACGACCGACACATCCATCTATAACTCGGCCATTACGCACGACGGCAACAGCGGAAAGGCAAGCTCAATATCGCTATAGAATGCAGTCCAGACCATAACTTAAACTCGCTTTCACACCGCGTTCATCCAGCATGCCGCCTCGAACGAACAACAAAAGCATTCCCGTCCCTCGCGACCAAGCGCGTGGATCAGCACGAGGAGGCGAAAACCAACAACAAGCTGCATGGCGAAGCAGCTTGGATCTCGTCTGGTCCTATTCCCGCTCCCAAGCTTTCTACGGCAACAACATTGCAACTTCTCCCTCCTTCGTCGAGAGTCGTTGGGCAGGGCAAGACCTAGAAGAAGGATCCGAAAGCATCGACCAAGATGATCAGGAGTATATCTCGGGCGATGAGAGTGAAAATTACTATGCCAGCACGAGTCATTCTCGTTCGGGGACGGATGCGGATGCGGATACGGATACGGATGCGGATGCGGATACGGATACGGATACGGATACGGCCTCGATGGCGAGTGATGCGAGGTTTGGGCCGTCGGATGGGTTTGAGTGGGAGGGGGAAGCGTTGCCGCCGAATGCTACGCAGAGGACACGGAGAAGGTCAAAGGCGAGAGATAGGAGGTTGGAGCGATTGGAGAGTGCGGATGATGAGCATGAGAGAAGTAGAAGTAGGAGTACAAGTCCAAAGCGGCTCGCGGGGCCGCGGGAGAGAGCGTCGAATAGCAAGCTCAATCCAAATCGCCTCTCGTCGACAGCATCTGCTACCTCTGCTACTGGCCGGGGTGGCGACGTGCTTCGTGATCCTTTTGCAGTAGATGGCGACGGCGATGCACCACAGCTCGGCAAAGATTCCGAAGCTACACCGTTGCTCGGTCGCAATCGCAGCTCAGATGCCAACTTGGCGTCTAGACGCAAGTCCAGCAATTACGCTGCACTCCACCGCCCCTCCGAATCAGGCGCCATCTCCAATCGATCTGAATCCAGCTACCAAGGGCATGAGCTTGGCAACAGCACCTTACTCCAATCCTGGTTCAACACAGTCAACGCCCTTGTCGGTGTCGGCATTCTCGCTCTCCCCCTCGCTTTCTCCTACGCAGGCTGGATTGGCGGCGCAGTCCTCTTCCTCGTCTGCGGCCTACTCACCAACTACACCGGCAAAGTACTCGCCAAGATCATGGCCAAAGAACCTTCCCTCCGCACCTACGCAGATATTGGAAGCTACGCATTCGGCCCTTCCGCACGAATCCTCATCAGTCTTTTCTTCTGTCTCGAACTCTGGGCAGTTTCCGTCGCCCTTATCATCCTTTTTGGGGATTCAATGTCGGCTATCTTTCCGCATATTGCACCTACAGCATTCAAGTTGCTCGGCTACTGCATCGTCCTCCCCTCCGTTTTCCTGCCGCTCAAGTTCCTCTCGCCGATCTCAGTGATCGGGATCGTGTCCACCTTCACGCTCGTCGTCGTTGTCGTTTCGGATGGGTTGATCAAGAAAGAAGCTCCTGGCAGTCTATCGGATATCGGCCCCACAACCCTTGGACCGCGCTGGGAACGGTTACCCCTAAGCTTCGGCTTGATCATGTCTGGCTTCTCTTCCCACCCTATCATCCCTTCGTTGGTGAGGGATATGAAAGATCCGACCAAGTTCCCGCGCATGCTCAACCTCGCCTATGTCGCTGCCACGGTGCTGTATCTCGGAATGGGAATGGTAGGATATGCGATGTTCGGTACAACAGTATCAGATGAGATCACAAAGGATCTAGCAAGAACACCAGGTTTCCCCGTATGGTTGAACAGTATTGCGATCTGGTTGATCGTGATTAATCCACTGTCCAAGTTTGCCTTGGCGACAAGACCGATCCAGACGACATTTGAGATTTTGTTGGGGATAGATGATATGACCGCAGCAAGAATGCAAAGTCGAAATAGAGGGAGGAGCAGAAGTAGTGCTAGGTCTTTGAACAAGGCCAATTGTACGCAGAGTGATGCGGAGCAGGTGGAAGTGACGACGGAAGCAACGAACAATACTCTTTCTGTTTCGCCCACGCAGAGGGATTCGTTCGTCGCCCCCCAACCTCATCATCATCACCAACATCAGGCTGCGGAGGATGGTAACATCACTCCAGACCCTTCAGCAGGAGCAGGCGGGGAAGAAAATCCACTAGCAGGCTCCGCAGTCTCTCTACGCGCCGCCGAGTTCGCACAGAAACTATCTACTCGTACACGTCGAAACCTTCAAATCGCACTCAAAATCACCCTCACAGCTCTCATTGCCTCCACCGCGGTCGTCCTACCTGGGTTCGAGAAAGTGATGGCTTTCCTGGGCGCATTTCTAGCATTCGCAACATGCGTGTTCGGACCACTACTGGCGAACCTAAAGCTATTCGGTGGAGAGATGAGATGGTGGAGGATCGCGATGGATGTGGTGATTTTGGCGATGTCGGCACTTATCGCTGCTACGGGGACCGTTTGGGCTTTTCTCTAGACCTATACTACTCAATGGGACGTAATACACTGCATTTATGCAATTTGGGAGCTAGTGTGAAGTATTGCATTGAAATGAGATTAGAGCTTCGTATGTTCCAAACCAGCCCATCTCCTCAACAATGGTGGAGAGAGCGCCGACAATGTTCCTCCCAACCCCACCGAAGGTCCAGCAAGACCACTGACCTGAGAAGGTCCTGCTTCGTTTCCTCCCACACCACCCCCCGCTGCTGCTGCTGCTGCTGCTGCAACACTTGCAACCCCACCCATTTGTGGAGAAGAGAAAAGTGCACGACGCTGTTGAGTCATCAATATCTGATGGATTTGCATTCTCACGGCGTGCAGACCATGTCTTAAACTCGCCACCTCTTCTTGTACCCTCCCCGCGTCAAAACCTGCTTTTACCGCTGCGATGTGACCTTCTTCCGTGCGCTTGTCTAAGCTGCTTAGACCGGAGCTCAACCCAGCCATGGATGCGGTGAGGGAGGAGATGGCAGAGTCGAGGTTGGATCGGTCTAGATCTCCGTCCATGTCGAGACGGAGATGAGTACTGGAGGGTGGGAAGCCGTAACTGCCAGAAGAGGTGGCAGAGGTGGTGGCGTTGGAGGTGGTAGGGTCGAGAGTGGTTGATGCTGAGCGGCGGGTGGAAGAAGGGGTGGAATCGAGGTAAGGTGGTCGTTCGCGTGAAGGAGAGGGAGCAGCAACGCCAAGTGGGGATGTTGTTGGCATGGACCGAGCGGTAGGAGGTGCTAGATAGCGAGATGATGTCGGGGCTACGTTGATGTCGTCCACCATAACTGCTGGATTGGGGCGAATAGGTGAAGCCAACGCCCCGGTGGGGCTGATCACCTCCCACTCCCCGCTGGCAGCGGAGAAATCATACGGTCTCCTAGCCCAGCCCGCCAAATCCACACTATGCACCGCCGAAGCACTATACGCTCTCGCCCCCTGTCTCGCAGGGAAACTCTGTTGACTCCAACTTCTTTCCCAGTTTTGTACATCTAACGGGAACTCATCCCATTCTCCATCCACCCCTTCTTGCGATCGCCTCACTCCCCTCTGCTCCATTTCATTCGATCTCAGCTGGCCAGCTGATCTATACCAAGATCCCAAACTATGCACACAATCATCCAACCTGCGCGCTTGACCGCGTTGTCTCGCCTCCACCTCTTCCAGCCTTGTTGTGAGTGCAATGTTTTGGTCTTTGAGCTGGTTAACATGTTGGCTGAAAAGGGAAAAGAACCCTTTGATAGGCTCAAATCTGCATTCGTCCTCCAAGTGCGTCCTCTCCCTGCTCTTCCCGTTGCTATCTTCTCTGCGTTGAAGCGCGCGTCGGGGTCCGATCCACCGGCACCCAAAGGCAGAATGAGAACACAGCACGGGCGCATCCTCACATTCGTCCGCCACGTGCGACGTGAGTCTACTCTTGATCGTCTCTAGCCCACAAAACTCGCATTGAGCCGGTTCGGGCATACATGCCTCACAATGCTCCTCCAGTTCATCCGCACACAACACCACATCGCAAGTCGGACAACGCGTTTTCCGCTTCGGGCAGACTTGACCGTGAGAAGCCCAATCCTTACGCATGACTTTGGCCGAACATCCACACCTTTTCCCTTCGGTCAAGTTCTGATCGACATACTCGTACGCGCATTGGGTAGAAACGTGGCTGTGGAGCAAGTGTCGTTCGCATTCGTATTCGCACCCTTTGGATTTGTTGGGACATCGGACGCGAAGGGTATCGACCATGTTTTTAATGAGGAGTGCGGTTGGGTGGAAATCGGATAGTTCGACTGGTGTGCGGCATGTAGGGCAGCGTTTGGGCGCGGCAGCGAGCAAAGGATCATCTTGGGTGGGTTGAGCGAGGTGATCGGTGAGAGCGGTGGTTATGCATTGTTTGCAGAATGTATGGGAGCAGAGGGCGGATGCATAGGGGTCGAGGAAGGGTTCGAGGCAGATGGGACAATGGAGAAAAGCGCTGATTCGGGCATCGTCATCGACGTAATCGAAACAATCGCCGGTGGTCCAGGAGAGTTGTTGCAAGCCGCTGCTGAGAATACTGGCATCGGAATGTTGGCTGATGGAGGAGGTGGCTCGGGGTCGGATTGGGCGGGAACGGTTGGTGCGGGTACTGGAGGATCGACGGCGTGAGATGGGGGTGGATGAGGTTGGTCGGCCCGAGCTGGGGCCTGGTTCGGGTTGGCTCGACATCCTTACACCTGACCGTTGTGGTGGAGTAGCAAATGTGATGATGGCTGTCGAATGGATGGGATGAAGAGGCCAAGATGGATGGATGGTTGAAACGAGGGAGGGCAACGCCCTCTTGCCGCTCAGATGCGGGGATCGACTGGACCCTGAAAGCCATTCCAGCTTAAGTGTGCAAATTGTATCGGCGTAACACTGTGGTGAAAATCCACCTCCACTCTTGTGAGAATACTTTTTTCTCTTTGTCGCCGTGTCTGCACGCTGACGTTGGAATTGGCATGTCTTGCAGCGCAATTTTGGAAATGTGGTTCGTGCCCATGCCCGTGCCCGTGAGCACAGCCAAGCGAGTCGCAAGGTTGCAGCGGAGCTCAAGGAAAGGATTGCTTTCCGAATGGCCATGCTCGTCATTATCGAAGCAAATGAGTCTTTGATTGCTTGGAACAATCGCAAAGCCTTGCCCCGTCACGTGAAGAATGACCAAGTGGCTCGAGCTCCACTTTTTGCTGTGAGGAATTTCAGTTGCTGATCGAAATTGCTGAGTGAGAGTGGGTTGCCAAGCCCAAGATCGCGCGGGCTTAAGGTGACTGTATGTGACCGGCTCCTTGTTACTGCACCGCATGCTTCCCACGCTCATACGGCCATTCCAACTGCTTGCCGAGAAGCCGAGACAGAAGAACCGTTTTCGGTAGCTCCGATCTGGCTATCTTGTAGCGCAGTCATTCCAGCTGTCATGTTTGGGCGGAGCAGCTTCCGATGAGCGCTTTTTCTCATCAATAGACAAGGCTGGGCTTGACTTGCTCCTTTCCCCTCCCCCTCCACCGTCTAAGCTTCCTCCCTCCCTCCCTCCATACCTACCTCCAGCATCGCTTTCCTACCCACTTCACCCCCTTGAACCCCGTATACGGAGACACACTGGCGGTTAACACTCACCTCTTTGAAGAGAGAGAGAGAGAGAGAGAGAGAAGAAAGCCTCAGCCATGTCTCATCATACCGGCGAAGGTTGGTCTGAACGCAACCCCATCCCTACTGTTCAACAGTATCGACAGCAACAGGAAGAACTTCGTGCAGCCAATGCTCACGACAACACTTCTCGTCTTGCCAAATCGGAATCTGATGAAGCCGCTCCTGCTTTCACTCTCAGTGTTCCTGCCACTGACGGCACTGGAGCTTCCACCACCACTGGAGCTGCACCCGCTATCCAAGGCTCTCTCGACGGTCTAAGGCAGCGAAAGGGCACCTCTACCACCACTGACCAAGCCTCCTCTGCCGACGCTCCCCGTCCCAAGAAAGAGGACGGTGTAGACTCGGCCCCCGGCGGGGGCGCCGAAGAAAAAGAACGAATCAAAAAAGCTTACGCCCCTAAAGGCAAAGCCAACGAATTCGAAGAACAAGGCGAACGAATCGTTACCGACCCAACCACCGGTGGAGAAGTTGAAATCCGTGATGCTTCCGAGAACGCAAAGATCGACTCTGACAAACTCGACTCTCGTTACGGATCCGGTTTCTCCTCCAACATCCCCAAAGACTACTCTAAACTCCACCCCCTCAACACGTCCCCTGACCCTGCCGAGCCGAGTAACATCTTGCTCCACCGCTTTCCTGAACCCGTTAGCAGCGATGCGGTGCAGCGTATGCACGCTGCGTTCAACCAGCTTGCGATGGGTCTCGGCGGCTGTCTTGCGCTGATTTGGTTCTTCTTTGCGTTTGGCAATGGTTGGTGGAAATTTTTGGTGCGGACCTCGATTTTGGCTGGGGTTGGGTTTGCCGGTTGGACGGGGTTGCATCTGCAATCGAGGAAGATCGAGAAGGAGCATGATGCAATTCGGGCCGAAATGCACAAACAGCGCGGTCAACAGCTTTCGCCTCCCATGCCCGAAAGTGTGGAATGGTTGAACGCTGCGATTGCTTGCGTGTGGAAGCAGATCAATCCGGACATGTTCATCTCTGTAGCGGATATGGTAGAGGATATCATGCAACAGTCTTTGCCTGGCTTTGTCGATGCGGTTAAGATCGACGATATCGGCATCGGTGAAAATCCTTTCCGCTTAGTAGCTATGCGTGGATTGGCGGATATGATGTCCGACAAAGAATATCCGCGCGAGGAATGGATCACTCAAGGAAAACAAGTTCCTGATACCGAAGCCGAGAAAAAGCAAACTGAAGAGAAGAAGAAAAACAAGTCTGAAGCCGAAAAAGCTCTCGAGGTGGCCGAAGACGCCGACGGCAACGGTGTAGCCGACGAAGACGAGAGTGGCGATTTCCTCAACTTTGAAGTTTCCTTCTCCTACTCTGCTCGTCCTGGCCAATCGAACAAGGATCGAGCGAAGAACATCCATCTCATGGTCGAGTTTTTCATTGGAGCCTACGATCTGTTCCAGATCCCGCTACCGATTTGGATTCAGATCGAACATATTTCAGGAACGGTAAGGTTGAGGTGTCAGATGGTTCAACAGGCTCCTTACATCCGTAACCTTACCTTCAGTCTTATGGGTGTACCCAAGGTGGAGATCTCGGCTATCCCTATGCTGAAAGCTTTGCCTAATGTGTTGGATCTGCCTCTGATCTCTGGCTTTGTACAATCGTCGATTGCGGCGGCGGCGAACATGTATGTCGCGCCGAAGAGTATGACCTTGAACATGGCCCAGATGTTGTCGGGTGATGGGATCAAGAAGGATACGGATGCAGTGGGTGTGTTGGTGGTGGATATCGAGTATGGTGAAGGGCTTAGTGCGCAAGATACCAACGGGAAGAGCGATCCGTATGTTGTGCTGTCGTTTGCCAAGTTCGGTCGTCCTCTCTACTCCTCTCGTATCATCTTCGAAGATCTCAACCCCGTTTGGCAAGAGACTGCTTTCTTGCTGGTCACCAAGGACGACATTCGAGCCAATGAATCCCTTTCGATCCAGCTCTGGGATTCCGATGCCCGTACAGCGGATGACATTGTCGGACGAGTCAACAAACCCATCAAAGAGTTCGTTCGCAACGCCAATACGCCTCAAGATCGCAAGGACAAACTTATGGGATTCGAAGATGCCGACGACATGCCCGGCACGCTCAAGTGGAAAGTCGCATTCTACGAAAAAGCCGACTTCAATAAGGCTTTGGTACCGAAGAAGAAGGAGGAGAAGATGACAAAGGTGGAGAAAGAAACTCAGAGGGAAGCTTCTGCGATCGATAGCGAGGATGAAAAGACCGCTTTGCACTGTCCACCTGATCCGCAGTATCCTTCTGGTATCCTCAGCATCATCGTCCATCACATCTCCGGCCTCGAAACTCGCGATGTCGAAAAAGGAGTTATGGGCAAAGAACGCGAAGGAACCTACGGTCAAGATGTCTATGCCAAAGCAGGAGAAGGAAAAGCTCTTCCCTCTGGATACGTCGAATTCATCGTAAACGACGACATTATTTACAAAACCCGCGTTAAACAGTATACTAATATGCCGTTTTACGAAGCTGGAACCGAAACTTTCATTCGCGATTGGACACGTACCGAAGTGCGTTTGGCCGTTCGAGACGCTCGTCTTCGCGAACACGATCCTATCATGGGCATTGTTTCCATCGACCTCACCGAGGTATTCAGCGAATCGTCTCAAATGACGCAGTCGTTCTCGTTGCAAGACGGTGTAGGGTTTGGTAAAGTTCACGCTAGTTTGATGTTTAGGAGTATCAAGGCTCAACTTCCCAAGCCGCTTTTGGGATGGGATACTGCAACGGTAGAGCTCCTCAGCGAGATTCAGATTGAGGGAGATGAAAAGCTCAAGTCGGAAAAGATCAAAGTTTCGACCGGGGATGATACGCAAAAGATCTACCCTGGACAGCGTATTCCTGATGACGCCGAAACTCTCGTTCGACTTCCTGTCTACGATCGATACAGTTCGTTGCTCACTTTCGACCTCGGTGGTGGAGGACTTGCCATCGGCCCGCTTGGAGGCAAACCAGATGCAGTCGCCGTTGCCGGCCTGCGCGATTACGCCGATGGCGAAATCTACGATCTCGAACTGGACATCATGTCAGGCGACAACCTCGGCACGCTCAAACGCAACTACATTAACGAACAAGCACATAAAACTCATCCTTTCGAAGTCGTCGGTAAGCTTCGTGTCAAGATTCGTATCGATGCCGGTCTCGATGACGACCATCTTCGCTCTGTAGAGCAGTCAACGGGAAGGAAGGACAGGCATGAGTTTGATGTGTATAACAGGTTGGAAGGGATGCCGAACAGGGCGGTTGAGAATGCACATGCCAACGATGATGGAGTTATTGATAGGGAGGAGAAGAAACAGATGGAGAGGTCGAAGAAGGAAGCGTTGCATTCGAGACATAGGGGTGCAATGGGGTATGGGGGAGCTAGGACGGCGGCTTGGGCCAAAGATGGAGTTAGGGATAGGATTAGGAGGACAAAGGATAAGGTGCTGGGTAAGAAGGGCAGAGATCAGACGATTAAGTCTGAGGCCTAAGATCTCCTTGCTGTCTGAGGATCAGAGTTTCGTATCTCGTGTCTTCTCGTTTGTGTGTCTTTGGACCGCAAACTCTGTTTCGTGTTTCGTTTGTTCCTGTGTTTCGCAATTCGATTATGTTTCCGTGGAGATCGAAGCTTGATGTGTTTGCTTGCGTTGCCGATCCGGTGGCATGTTAGAATTGCTGAACAAGCTCTACTGTTGCCCAGTACGAAGAGAGCGAGGTGACTCAAATTGCCAAACAAAGCATTCTTCATTACATTATTGATGCTTGTTGGATTGAAAGAGATCCGAAGAATCGACGGTTCTAACGGTCATCGTCCTGGTTGACGTGACTCGACGAGAGGCGTGCGTAGTTGAAGATACGTCGGAATTTCCAGGGTTTATCCGGGATGCCGACAGTGCGAAGCTGGTGAAAGCATACGCCGCTTACTCAGACACGTGAGATGCATGAAGGTTGACATGGCAACGGCTCAAGGCAGCTCGAGGTCCTCAGAGATGGTGTCAAGATATATATTTATATATATATATATATTTATACTCATGTTTGTAGCCTCAGTTCCTTCGAACAAGATAAGCATTGCAGTTGCTACACACCTGTGTGACGGGAGCCTGATCATGGCCTCAACAAAGTGGTGTCTCTATCTACAACTGGGGTTAAGTGCAGATGGACTCTGACTTGGCACAAATTTAAAGCTCACCTACTCAGCCCGTGCTGCCTTTGCCGAACGGTGTGGTTGTGTGCGGAAGAGCCACTTCCAACCGAACCTCAGTCTCACCACTCTCGGCCTACACTGTATGCAGACAGCGCAAATCACTGAACCCTGGCGTTTAGTACCGGCGGAAAGCACTGTGACTGTAACGGCTGCCGTTGGCAACCCAGCCATCCCTTCCTTACCCCTCGGGTATAAAGTGTTTTCTTGTCTTCCATCTTCTCTGTTTCTTCCCTTTCATCCTATCTCATTTAGATTAAGAGCAGCGAGCAAGAATGTCGCATCCAACATTCGACCCGGAAACATTCACCATAACTACCTCAGACGGGACCCTCCTCCTTCGACCAGTCCGTCTCTCCGATGCACCGAATTTACGAAACCGGGTCGCAAACCCACACAACGTGCGCTATCTCCCCCATTTGCAGGGTAAAGAATCCCAAACGGTAGCCCAAGTCGAGGACTGGATCCGAACCGTTCAATCCGCCTTCAATCGCGATTCTCTCTTCCTAGTCATAGTCGACACTATCACTCAAAAAGTGATCGGAGAAGGTCCATTAGGATTCATCAACTGGACCGAGCGTTGGGCTGAGTCCGGAGTGATGTTGGACTACGAAGAATGCGGCAAGGGAGTTGCGAGCAAGGTGCTCAACACAACGATGGACTTTGCGTTTAAAGATTTAGAGTTGAGTGAAGCGAAGTACGGGACGCTACAAGATAACGTGGCGATGGTCAAGGTGTTGAGTGAAAAGTTAAGAGTGAAAGGGAAGGGGGAGGAGAAGGTTAGGAAAGATGGCCTGGTTGAGTTGAATTTCGTTTTTAAGAAAGACGACTGGCTTAAAGCGATGGAACAGAAGTCTTGGGCAGAAAAATAAGAGCTGCGAAGCGCAAGCTTCGGATCTCCTCCTGGTAGCCTGGACGAGGGCTGAACAGCGGAGATGACGCTTCTCTGTGATCGAGCCACGACTCCGGGTCGAAAGCCGGTCACTAGGCATAGATTGCATCAACACATACTATGGCACTGGAAACAATTGTGCAGACCAGTTCGATCGCAATGAAACATCAAAAAGAAACCAACACCGAGAGAGAAAGACAAAGCCGTTGCACTACGCATGAACTCAGCTAGGCACTCGCTGCTTGCCCTTCTGAGTCGTCTTGCGTACGCGTCGAGGGTGGCTTTCCTCTGCCAAAGGAATACAGGCCGAGTTGCCGCTTGTACCGCCGCCGTCTTCTTCCAACAAGGTGAGCTTTATTAGATGGAACAGAGTGTCGCGTGCCCTGTCATGCACAACATAGCTTCCTTCGGTATCGCATTTCGCAGTCGGTGAGGAAGTTGCATCCACCAACGTACAGTATTGATGAATCTTCTTGCCCAGCTTCTTCATGCCTCCTTTGAAGGCCTTCAGAAGTGGACCGAACTCGTCGATCTCTTCGAAAGGTGAATAGTTGGGTGGCTCATCCGCTGGTGTTCCTTCGATGAGAGCCTTACGTCCGCGAACATGCGTTGCGAGCTTATCCCAGCACTTCTTGTTGTTTTGCATTCTCGTCACCCCCAGATCATCACAAGGTGAATGGTCATCTTTTTGCTGTTCGATGAAGCGATCCAAGAGCCGATTGCAGCAGGTCATGACAGTGTTGAGCTCGTCCGGTGCGGGATTGAGAATCTCTCGACTGATCAGACTCACATGCGAGAGCGCTAGCATCAGGTGGGTAGTACCAGCGCCAAGATAGGCCGCATCACCGTCGCGTAGCATGTTGATGTAAGGCTGCTCGAGAACGTCGAGATAAGCGGACTGGCTATCGTCGTCGTTGCAACTGAGGCGGTGCCAGGTGTCAAAGTTGCGTTCCGAGTAAGGCCAGGAGATCAGGAGCAGCGAGCCCTGGACCACCATGTAGAGCAACCCTGAGGATGGTCCCACAAATGTGAGGGATCGTCTGGTTCCCGCCAGAGCGCAATGCACCACGTTGACAGGGAATTCCTCGGCCAGGATCGACAGACCTAGTTGACCGGCGGTGCGCATACCCATTTGTACCTGAGTACATTTTGCAACAATCTCTGATCTAGGAGCTCGTGCCGCATACCAAAAGAGGTTGCGGGGTACACTGAAGTGCGTTTCCCACAGTGTTTCGGTGAAAGAGATGATGTCTGCGTTGGGCTGAAACATTTCTCGATGCTCGAAGGAGTCGGACAGTTGGTCGTCGCCTATGGTGTACAGATCTTTGAGCACGTGTCGGAAGGTGGGTCGCGTGAGAAAGCATCGATCAATGCCATTGGGCAAGACAATCAATGAGCGCTGGAAGGATGCTTTTCCGGTGGAGTTGCGCAGGACGAGCTCTTTGATCTTGACCAAGCTCGGCAAGGATGTGATGGCGGATGGCAATCGAGCCCATTCGGCCTCGAACTCGGTAGAGCCAGGAGTCCACTTCCAGGTATTGTTGACCTGGCTTGAGCTGGCTTCTCCAGCTGCTTTCGACTCTTGGATGACGGGGGAAACGTGTTGATGATGCGTTTCGCAGGAGTGTACCTCCTCCTGGCGAATGTGCTTGAGCTCAGCTGAAAAGTTGTCAGCCAGCTCTTCGAGGATGCGCTTCATTTGTGTATGCGACTGGCGCGTGTTGTTGCCTCCTTCAGAGAAGACGTCGAAAGACATGGTGGTGTCTGAGCTTGCCAAGGTGACAGCTCACTTCCATGGTTGAAGGCAGGAAGGAACAAGCTTCACAGGATCGACTCAGCCAAGAGTAGCGAGTGTTGCTGGACCGTGGCCAGCGGCTGAGCCAATAAGGGCAAGGCGAAATCGCAGAGGCTGAGAAGATGCGTGGCGACCGTGACAGAATGCTTGCTTTAAGCCAGCGGGCGGAATCTCCTGGCTTTCTGCCAGGCATCCTCTCTCTTGGTTCTGGAAACAGGCAGGGACGGGCGTAGCAAGACCATCGGCTTGCTCCCGAACACTCAGTCAAGTAGCATCCAACGAGAGTCGGATGATCCGACAAGGCTGAGACAGTTGGAAAGGGGACCGTGTGTCGATCCTGTCTTCTCTTTTCTCTCGTCACTTGGCAGTCAGCCTCGGTAGAGGAACGCTTGCGTGTGTGTATGAGGCATCCAAGGCGTCGATTCAGGCTAATGTCTCGACCGCAAAGAGCAAACATTCATCAATCCTTAGGAAAGGGTCTGGCTGCTAACAATCTCTCGAGATCAGTGCTTTATTCAAGTGTGGCATAGAATAGGAGAGAAAGCGATGTATGTATGCAAATCGTGAGCTTTTTGATGTATGACCAAGGCGCCAGGATAGGAGTACAGGTGAAGGAGCAGATAAAGAGAGAAGAGCAAGACTGTAAGGGACGATGAATGCCGGTCATCCGATGCTGTGAGGTACGTGAGACAGCCATTGCGCCCGATCTGTGATTTCGAGCAGGTCCATATCGCAACCAAGGAAAACAGCTGCTAAGTTGTCTACTCTCGCGAAACATCACGGCCGAAAAGGAAGACCTTAAACCAGTCGGCAGCCACCAAGGAACGGTTTCGCAGCGAAAAGAGCATCGATACATATGCTGATCGCCAGAACATAAAAGTAACCACACCACCCGAAGCGATCTGATTGTTTCCGAGCAAAGGAATATCCGCAATCGCCTTTTCAGATCCAATGTAAGCGAGCGAACCCTGGTGAGTGTACTTGAAGGGACGGACCTTAGCTGCCTTTTCGATTTGTCGTTCGAGACCGTTCAATTCGGAAGCGTCGGCGTTGTTCTTCTTGGCTGCCTCGAGTCTGTGCTCGAGTAGGTGGAGACGAGCGAGCTGGTTGAAGACGCGGGCGAGGTAGGCACCCTGTTGGGAAGCAGCTTGGGCAGTGGGTGCGAATTGGGTAGCAGTCGCATCTCCAAGGGCAAAGATCGAGTCTTCTGCGCCCTTGAGACGCATGTGGTCGTCTACTTCGAGACCGCGACGATTCTTCTGGGCTTCAGGAAGAGCCGACATGAGCTGACGGGTGAGCGGTCGAGCGGTGTTACCAGCAGCCCACACGAGCAAGCCGTAAGGGATCTTCTTCTCTTGGCCCGAGGGAGTCTTGACGAGCACATCTCGGTCATCCACGTCCTTGACCATGTGTTTGGTGAGAATGTCGATTGAGTTCTCCTTGAACGTCGACTCGGTGTACTTGATCAGCGTCTGCGAGAACATGGGAAGAATGTTGGGCAAGGCCTCGATGAGCGTCACTCGCAGCTTGTTGGCTACTTCGGGGTACCATCGGATCAGATCTGACTCGACAAAGTCACGCAACTCGGCAGCATACTCGATACCGGTGGGTCCGCCACCCACAACCACCATGTGCAGCAAACGGTCGATCTCCTCGTCGGACTGACCCTTGATCGCTGCACTCTCGACGCAGTCGATCAGACGAGCGCGGATCTTTTCAGCATCGTTGAGCTCCTTGAGGAAGCAAGCGTGCTTCTGGACACCTTGGATACCGAACGTCTGGTTCTCAGTACCGACCGAGTAGACGAGGTAGTCGTAAGGGATGGTGACCTTGGAAACGGAACCCTTGACCTCACTCCTGTCTTGGAAAGTAACCGTCTTGTTGATAGGATCGACATACTCGCAGTCGGCTTCGTACACCTTGACCTCGCGAGTCTTGAATCGGGTGGTATGACGTGTTGGCTGCACAATACTGCGTCCGTCGAGCGTACCGACAGTCACTGAGGGAAGAAGAGGTGTGAAGAGGAAGTAGTTGTGAGGCGAGATGACAACCACGTTGTACTCCTCGGTATCGATGTTTTTGAGCAGCGATGTGGCACCCCAACCACTACCCAAAACGACGATGGTCTTCTTGGTAGGATCTTGAGGCAGCTGATCAGGTGGGTGTCGTCCCTGGTAAACAAAGTATGCATAGGTGACCAAAGTTCCAAGCCCGACAAGGTAGAAGGTGCGCTTGAGACTGCGGAAAAAGCCGCCGCGCTTCTTTCCGTTAGCGTTGTTGCCGTTGGCATGCTCTGGTGGTGGCAGTTGGGTCTGCACGTCGGATTGAGCAGCTTGCAAGATAGCCGCTGTCTTGTCGTTTCTCCAAGAACGTGTTTGGAAGATGCCGCGGATCTGCTGTTGCCGTTGCCGTTGCCGTTGCAGTTGCAGTTGCAGTTGCAGTTGCATTTGCATTTGCTGTGCAGCTGAACTTGTGGATGGCATGCCGAGTCTTGTTGAAGCTCGAAATGCCATCGCTCGGACCGAGCCAGCACGAATGGCTGGAGACATCATCGCGCCGCGTGGATGCGACCAAAATATGGTGTTGGGGGAAAAAGAGGAGGAGTGGTGGTGGATTAGGTTTGGTGAGAAGAAGAAGAGGAGGAGGAGTTCACTGCCTGTGTCTGCCCCTTGTGCGAGGCTTGGATCGTGTCGACAATGAATCACACACAGAGTCACGCTCTCTGCTCAAAAAAATGCGCGAGTCTCCCTTCTTCCCGTCTCGCCTTCCTATTTCTTCTTCTGGCTGTCCAAAAGTTACACACTCGGTGCGGTCTCCGGGAAAGTTGAGAAGGTCCCCGATTACAAGCTGCAACGCACTGATTCGCCTTGCTTCCTATCCTGCCGCAATCATTGGAAGATGACGAACTTCAAGGGGAAAAAAAAAAATCAAAAAATCAAAAAATCAAAAATCAAAATCAAAATTTTGAGAGCGAACCCTGACCAAGACTCGGCAATCTGCCCCCTTTTTCCTTGTCTTGTGCCACGGGCTCTATCGTAAGAATCAAAGTGAATCGTCTAGTGCCTTTAGATTTTCCATCTCCGGAAACAGACAGACATGGGCGAGTGGTGAAGGGAAGCGGTGTGTTGGAACTACACAACATCGTTGAGTGTCAGCGCGAGTTCAGGATAAGGATACATACAACCGCTTGCCAAGTTTTTTGTTTTTTTTTTGTTTTTCTGCGACCTGATTATCGATGCATAAAGGTTCCTCTGCAGATCTTCCTACAAGTTTTTCTGTGACAATTCCATCTGCGACAACCAAAACCGACCCACCGCGTCAGATACAATTCGAGCTCGACCTAATTGACCGACCGACGCCGATCCACAGCCTTGCCTCGTGGAACATCGCCATTCAACACACACAACGGCGACTTGTTTGCAATGTTCATTCAGTCTTGACTTGCTTCTCAAAGCTCACGCTGCAAACGCAAGTGGTTGCCCCTCGGTCGTCACAGACAGGTGAGAGATTTCCGTTGTGCAGCCTCGCACAAATTTCTCCCTTTCACCCTCACGAAATTCATAGATCTCACGTGGTGAAGCCTTGACATGGATGCAGGAAAGCAATGATACTACTCCTACAAATGTTGAATACTTCAGAAGCTAATGTTAGGCCGTTCGCTTTTCAACGGTGAGTTATCTCACGCGCCTGAAGTCTGTGTCAGAATGTTAAATTGCCTAACTCAGGTGAGTCGCTTGCGGGCTCCCAGCCGTGGCCGTAAGAGGCACGGCCGGTCGAGCGCCGCGTGAGAGCGAGGCGGAATGCACAGGAGAACGAAGTACAAAAAGAGATATGTGAGAAGCAAGAACCAGTGTGAGAAGAGAAAGGAGGGAAGGGAGGGTGAACTTGACGAAGCGCAGCCAGGAGGCTTGCGCAAAGGAGAGATGATGGAGAAGAAGCAACGAGAGTGACCGGAGTTTGATGAGCAATATCAAGTGACACGACTCAGGTCACGTGCCTTCGCCCACCATTGAAACGAGCGCACGTTCCATTCGCACGACTCGACTAAAAGAGTTGAAGATGCATCGGCATCTCAAGAGGAATGCATGAGCTATAGCCAAGACAATGAGGGACCAAATGCATGCATAAGCAATGAACACAATAAAGCACATGAAGGTTGCCTGGCAACAGCTCAGGGGCATCACAGAAAGCAGCAACACAGGGGGTTATGGAAGAGGTGACTCATCTGGCTCAGACATGATCAAGGATAGCAATAGAGTATATATATGTGCTTGTCATTAAGATTCAGACTACAGAAATATTAAGCATTTCAAGAAGTTACTACTGAAAGGAACGATCCAATGAAATGATACAAGGTGACATAAGCAAGCACAAGATGAATTGGGTGAGGGAGCTTGAGGCTCCCGCCACACTCCTTTCTCTTCAGTCAATTGAGTATATTTGTTTCTGTCTATAAACTAGCAGTAACATTGTGCTTAGACTATCCCCAATCACCAGTATCAGGACCTAAAACTTCTCAGGTTATGAGCCCAACTCAAAGCCCTACCTCATCCTTGAACTCACCTTCAATGATGTCTGATGTAAACTACTCTCTCTACAATGACTTTGTGGCTCTGATGGAAGATCTCCTCCCACAGCTGCCAAAGATCCTTCAAAATTGGTTCAATCGAATGATGACTGACAAAGTTTACAGTATGCCAAATGCCCCAAAGGAGGGAAACCTATTAGAATTTGCAGTCACTGGCAATAACAAGCAAGTCATCTCACCTCTCTCCATCATGATTGAGTGTGTCAGTGAACTCTACTATGGAATGCACAATCTCAGTCCATTCACAAACCAAACCAAACTCGGCAGACAAATGCAAATCAGAGTCAACCAATTTGTCACCAACAAAGAATGGAATGCAGCCAAGTGTCAGGGGTCTCGCGCCTGAAACCCAGGTCGGACTGTCGAGATACTCGGTGACTATCAAACTGTGCAACAGCTATTGTCTCAGTATCGGTCTCGATGAGCTAGTTGCTCAGCGACTATCAAGTTGCATGATGGGTGGCATTCGGGTATATACTATTGTAGGTTTCGGCTGACCTCTGTGGACACTCCGTTCAGGGGTAGCTCAGCATGATCAATATCAATGCATAGGTTATGATGACACCAAGGTCTGGTGTGAGTGTTGATGATGATGAGGTTGATGGTGTTGGTGATGAGGTTGGTGGCATCAACATGAGTGTCCAGTGTGTTGACTGATGCTTGAGGTGATCCCCAGACCGCAGTGGACTACTGCCTTCAGTTCTATCTTGATCTGGACTGCTAACCTGCTATGGGGCACCTTCAGACATCAGGTAGTGGTGATACAACACACACACTATGATGAGGAGCAACCTTGCTAGATTGCTGCTATGCTGACTGAAACTAATATATACTTATGCTGAAGTGATAACTAGTTATGATGGTTGTGTGTAGAGTGGATGAGGATCCACTCGACCTTTGATGATGAGAAAGCATGGTTATATACCTCTTCACAGCATCACCAGCAACACTGCTCCTGCTCTCTCTCCAGAGAGTACCTTCTTCATTGAGTACTGTTCAGGGGGCCTCTCCTGCTTTCTTGGCACCCCTGTGCCTCTTGAGCTGTGTCGACTCCTTCAACACTGCTCCTCCTCCTTGCTATCCTGCTTGTTTGGCACCCTTGTGCCTCCTGAGTGGTGTCAACTCCTTCAACACTGCTCCTCCTCCTCAGGACCTGCTTGCCAGTTCCCTATACACTGCTCCTTCTCCTTTGACCAGTGATGGTTCCTTTGACTCTTGTCTCTCAAGCCCCTGAGTGGTAACCATCTGCATGCTCCTTGAGCTTGGTCCTCTTTGTGGCTGTGCCTGCTCCTTGGGCTTGGTCCTCCTCGTGGCTGTGCCTGGCCCTCCTCGCATATGGCTCAGTCCTCCTTTGCATGTGAGTCCATAGGAGTCCATGGTCTCCATGGAGACTGCACTATGACCATGCTCTCTAATAGTATCAACTAGATCTTCGATACTTGTGCTCCTTCCATATGAACCAGTGACCCTCCTGCTTCTTGAGCATTCAGGCCCATGACAATGCCAATCTAGGTGAGATCTGTAATAGAGCCATCTCTACTACCGATCTCAGTGAATTCTGCTGCAAATCCTATGATCTGCCTGATTCCTTGATTCCTGCGCTCCCTTCATATGAGTTGATGGATCTTCCTGCTTCCTGCGCATCCAGGCCCATGACAAACTGGAACAGCCCATCAAAAAAACAGCCGGGATACACGTAAGTGCTGGGACTTCTACACTTCATTCCTGTGACAGCAAACTTCTCTATGATCAGAATGTGCTGATCCTATACAGTGATTCCTCTGGAGCCTGTGTGATCACAAGTGATCCACAACACTTCAAGAGGACAAAACATATCAATATTGCTCACTTCTTTTTATGAGACAAGATTGCAAGCTGGCAACTTGCAATCACTCCAGTCCAAAGTAGTGAGAACTTGGCCAACCTGCTCACTAAGCCACTTGCAGCACTGATGCTCACACACCTTTGCCAAATGTTAGGGCTGTTGGCATCAGACATGCATGTTGGATTGAGGAGGGGTACTGAAAGGAACAATCCAATGAAATGAAATGAGGTGACATAAGCAAGCACAAGATGAATCAGGTGAGGGATGATGTGATTGGATCTCAAAGATTGGGTACAACCTACACCCACTCATTGCCATACCTTGTCATTAAGTAGGATGTACCCACACCTGGCATATGCCACCCAGTTTGTATATATATCATGCAGGGAGCTTGAGGCTCCCGCCACACTCCTTTCTCTTCAGTCAATTGAGTATATTTGTTTCTGTCTATAAACTAGCAGTAACATCGTGCTTAGACTATCCCCGATCACCAGTATCGGGACCTAAAACTTCTCAGTTACACGCTTGTGGTAAGAGAGCCTGATAGTGGCCCCTGGAACAGCGTATGCTCATTGTCATCTTCAATTAAAAGGCAGGACGTCTCCCTCGCGGGAAAATGACATTGTCTTGCTGGAGATAACGATCCAGCAGAGCGCGATCTGATGACGGAGCGGGGAGAGTCGATCTGATCGGAGATCGGGCGGGCCAATATGATGGAGATCGAGGACCGTTGGGGTCCCGTCCGTTGTCATACTTCCTTATTGGTGGGATGCTCCCACAGTCAGCCACAAACCACAAATGTATATAGATAATGAGCGGAGAGCTTGAGGCTTCCGCTACGTTCTTCCCTTATGTCAATATAGTGTTTTAGCTCAAAAGCTTGAACATCGTACTTGAACTCATATCTCCCAATAAGTGTCAATCAGAGTCAAAACCTTCCAACATGTCTACCTCCTCCACCTCGGCCAGAATAATCGTCGACATATGGCTAGCCCAGATATTCACCGGATGGTGCCGAACGCCACGACGAATACGTTTCTGCTTTGGCGCAAGTAGAAGCATAGGTTGAGTGTGTACCATGCGGAATCCTTCCTTACCCTGTGCCAGAGCGCCTTCGTTGTTCCGTCCCCACCCCCACACCTGCTTCTCGCCCTTCTCCGCTTTTACTTCGGATGACTCCCAGTGCCATTTACCCAAGATGAGTGTATGTAAATTCCCTGACACCAACTTTTCCACCTCTGAGAAAGCTGTAGTTAAGTAAAAGTCGCCTCCGTTCGTGGCCGCAGGCACCAGCGCTTTCCCGTTCGAAGTCGATTGCCTCGAGGCATTGCCGATCTGACCCTGATCATTTCTACCGCAACTGAGGATCAGTGGGCGTGTGCGAGCGTCTCCTTTCTGCCTCGACACGAGAAAGTGCGTTGTGGACAAGTTGCAAGTGATATCGGCGATGTGGTCGGGTGTGACTCCATACTCGAGCAACGCGGCGGAAGCGTCGTCGCCGGTGCCAGCACATTGCCCATCCAAGTTCAATCCAATACAGCGTAAGATTGACGTCTTGCCGTCGACGTCTCCTTGAACGAGCACCACAGTATGGTGTTGACCGGCGCGCACCTTGCATCGGATCGAGGCAGGATCTGGTGTCTTCCAATCCCAGATGAGCCGAGGTTCCAAAATCACCTGTCTTTTGGGTTCCCAAAGTGATGGATCCACTTCTGGCACTTTGATAATCTGACCATGGTCTGTAGAGCCCCACCCAGCGATGATCACTCGTCCTTCCGTGCCGGTTCTGACGAGAAGCCCCACCACGACATGATTATCCGCCGCTGCAATGTCCAAGATCTCGACTTGTGCGTTGGCATCTAGCCCTGCTTCGGTTAAGACACCAGCGAAGGAGATCAGATGCTTGCATAGTTTAGCCCTATCTTTCGGTTCTGTACTGACCCCTTCGGGCGGTGGGCATCCCAGCACCCCAGAAGTGTTGTCTCGATGGAAGCCAAGCGAGACGAGTACATCATTCGCCGGCAGCTCTGACGGATCGTTTTCGTCCTTCTCCGTAAAAACAATGTAGCTGCAATTCCTACCACAGGCGACCTTTTTGTACGTGGCATGTTCCTCTTTAAATGGCAGTCTGGCGGGGTCAGGGACAGGTTTGTCGAGAACTTTAAATTCAGTTGGCACGACCCGAGACCGAGAACAATAGCTGGGGCCGAGCTGGCCTTCAAGTCCGCTTCCAGCAGCATAGATCAGCTTGCAGCACACAGGGTCTATTCCATCCCTGACACTGAGATGCTTGTTGCTGAGCTCGACCAGGACAAGCGTATGATCCTCGCCGCAGGCAACATCGATAATCGTGTAGTACTCTGGCGGAAATTCTTGTCCCTCGAAGATACTAGCGACCTTTACTAAGCTCTTCAGGGTGGTTTCGTGATAACCTAGCTTCTTGTGCGTGTTGTCGCCGGCGACCAGCAATTCGAGCGGCATTATGGCAACAGTCTTGATGTTTCTCCCTTGCGAAAGCTGAGCTCCTGGACCTTCCGATGCGTTGGAGAGTGATCCGAGTGATGCGAGAGTGGGTTCATGTGGAAGGAAGGGAAGAAAGGGGGTATCAAACTTTTCGCGTTTTTAAAAACGCGGGTTTTTCGAAGGGGGCGTTTTTCAAAAAACGCAAAAGCTTACATAAGCTGCGCCAAACGAAAAACAAAACCGCTTTTTTGAAAACACGGCTTTTTCGTGCGTTTTCAAAAACGCAAAACGAGTTCACTCCACAACAGTGAAAGTATGTGAGCACTAGTTCGATCTCACACCTTTGTCGCCTTTTCACACTCGGATCCGTAGCAAGTTGTCGAGGCCAGTCCCGCGCATCGGCATGCGCCATGGCCCGATCATCCCGATCGGCATCGGCACACCGGCTATCTGAATTCCGGGGTGGAGAAGATAGGTGTCACGTCATGTTTCATATGCTTATTATTAAGTTACGTCAGATAACCTATCCCCACCTCGGTGGAGTTGGCCTCATTTACCAGAACTTCGATAATAGCACCGGATGCAAGGACATCATTGTCAAAACGGGTAAGAGTCACTGGAGGATCTGGGTCTCGGACGAGGATGGCGATGACAGGAACATTGATACTCAGCATTATATATTCACATCCAATAGACTCTGCTCCAAGTGGATCCACATTCACATCAGCCACTCTATCTGGTACACTTGAAGTTTGAAGTGCAAGACACCGCTTCGTCCGGGCTATGTTCTAGCTCCTTTCGCACAGGTGTATGATGACAACAATGCTTATCTTATTACTTTGTGGATGCGTAGCTACATGTGTGTATATATGTCCTGTGATCACTCCTAGCGACGTTGAGCTGTATCATACAAATCGAGTGTCCCCTGTCGAACCCCTGTGTTGTCTTCCATGCAGGGCTCCTGAGTCGTTACTATACCAACCAACATGCATTCCACATGCATGTTGCTTATTCACGACCCTCGCTTCATCGGTAAACCACATTGGAATTCCGACGTATCTTCAACTGATTGTTATGGGATGTAATCTTCTTCTGTACTTCACAGTATTGATAATAGAGTTGATGGAAGATGTAATTGCCTGCGCTGTATAGTGTACAAAGTGGTATATTGAGTTGATCGAGATTGGTCAAGCGTCGTTGTTGTTCCCTGTAGCTGTTACTGGGGAGGGTGTGCCATGGATCAAATCTACACCACCAGACATCAATCGTTCAGCTTCTTATTTCCCATCTTCTTTGCATTCAATTACCCCCTTTAAGCTCATCGTCTATCTTCCCGCTTCGCTTGTGGATATCTTCGGCTTTGCACGATCGGTGCAATGAACCTCCTGATTGGCTGAGCTGGCAAGAAGTCCATTTGCAATGCTGTTGGGATAGAACGACGACGCGGAAGCCGTCGCGTGACCAGCACAACTTGACGTCTGACGAGAGATCGAGTGTTCTGCTCAAAGCTTGGCACGTCGCGTGAACGACTCGAGGTGAGCATCGGCTTTGCACCTTGTCTGGATCGGCGATCTCATCGGTTAGGAGGAATAAAGCTGCCTCAATTTCATTCTCGAATTTGGCCTTACTGTGTACCAAAAGTCACATAGTGTGATTAACGTATACAAATACATGTGAGATTTGGGAGAGACAGAAACAAAGGGCGACGTAGTGTAACTAGATTAGAATATGTTGACGCTGTTCACAGAACGAGATCATGCTTGCCAAACTCGATGTTGCGAGCGACGAGTCGAAGCCAATCCAGCGAACCTCGGCGAGGCATGAGCGGATGCGTTGTAGGAGGTCTTGGACTTGGACGAGCTGCACCAAGCATCGCCTCGACATCCCACTCTTCCTGCGCAGCCACCAATTGGCCCTGGTCTGGCAGAACGTCAGCGGGAGGATTGACGAGCACTTCCCAAGCTGCTCTGCCATCGACGTTATAGTTTGGGAAGGGAAGGCAACGGTAGCCGCCTTTGAATTTTATGGGGACGATTTTGGACGAGTTGGGTAAGACGAGAAACGGCTCTTGCCAGCCATGACCAGTGGTGCTTCGCCGCGAGAGATCATCTTCTTCTTTGGTGTAGGGATATTCCTCGCCTTGTGTTTCCGGGTCGATGGCCGATCCTTGCTCGCTGGGGAAGAGATCGTACGCGCCGCCGTTGTCGAATCCAGGTGCGTCCCCCACCTCATTCGAACAGACATGGTAGACCGCCACAGCAAAGGGCAAAGGCCCAATGGCAAGAAGCTGTCGGATGCTATCATCCCAGAATGCACGAGGATACAGACAGGGTAGCCCTGTGCGGCTCGCCTTGGAGACAAAGTGCGCGGGTGCGCCTGTGTGGATGTCACGGTCGGCGATGTATATCTCGATCAGCTCCAGCTGCGCAAAAAGACGAGAGACGAGCCGGATGATGCCAATAGCAACCTGCGTCCCTACACGATCGTTCTGATAATTTTTACTGCATCGTGCCATGAGAATCCTCTGACGAGGCAGCTGATGCGTTACCATGCGACGTAGGAAGCCTTTGGGTAGCTTATCGACGCCCGGCATCCTTGCCACCAATCTGAGATCGTAAAGCATGCGGCTCGCCGACCTGGCATCTGTGGCAATCAGGTCGGAGCGTTCGATACCGCGAGCATCAGGATCGGCACGGAAATGCAGCGGCTTGAATACAGATTCGACCAGCTCTTCGAATGCGCGCAAGTCGGCATCGTGCCAGCGAAGGCGTGCCAATGCTCCCTGTGGTACAGCAAGGAGATAAGTATCTTCTGGGTCCCTGAATCGTTGAAGGTTGCGAAAGTAGAGCAGGTTGCGACAGTGGGTGAGGATGGCGAGATACTGATCCTGGTTGGCGATGCCCTGTTCTTCTCGGCTGACGGCAAAGTCGAGCGCCTTGACAGTGCTGGCGAGTTGCTTGTTGTTGGAGATGGTGTCACAGAAGCGCTGAATTCGCCATGCGCCCAGGGTGTCAACATCATGAGGCGATAAGGCTACGCAGCTGTAGAGCGGCACGATGCACATGCAAAACCATGCCCGATTGACTAGGCACCATCGGCAGAGCGTAGTAGGAGAGACGAGCCAACTCGAGGTTTCGACGATCAGCAGAACCAATTCACAGGGCAGGTGACGCCATGTCGAAGGTAGGAGAGGTTCGCTGCATATTGGCCAATCGGAAGGATGTCGCCAATGCCTGCCACTCATCCTCGTGATGTCCAGCGGTCACAACCAGGCACTCTGCATTGGCTGATATCGCGAGTTGGTGAAGAAGAGATTCTGGTTGCGAGAAAAGGAGGTGGAAGTGATGGAAGTCTAGAGGTGTGGTCAAGGCCAACAAGGCCAGGAGCGACACTTCCGAGGGTCATCTGATACCGCGGGATTTGCGTCCAAGAGTCTTGTCATGAGAACCATCATCGAAAGCTTACGCCAAAATGTCCGAAACACCCTCGTTTCTGAGAGCAGAGTCGCGGCTAGAACCTGCTAGAGAGAGGGACGCATGAAAGCGTAGTCAAGCCGCTTGGCAGAATCGCAAGCGTAGACGAGTTAACTTAGTCCTAGAGTCGGACGGAGCTTGCTTGCATCCTACGGGTGCACCTCGCTTCGAGACGCAAGGAGTGTGGCTGAGGGAAACCAAGAGCGCACGACAGGCAAGTTCGCACGTTGTCCGCTATGCAGAGGGTGGCTGGCAGTGACGCAAGCCATGACCGATAAAGGTAGTTGAAAATAGAGGCACCACTTGGTTGGGGCCACGATCAGGCTCCCTTCGTACAGGTGTGTAGCAACGGTAATGCTTGACATATTCAAGTAAAACTAAGGCTACAAACATGAGTATATATATCTTGACATCACCTCTGAGAACATCGAGCAGTCTTAGGTGAGTCGAGTGTCTCTTCTGCAGAGCTTCTGGGCCGTTGACATAGTAACCTTGATGTGTTTCACATGTCTGAATAAGCTCGTGAATAAGCGGCGTATGCTTTCACCAGCTTGGTTTCTGTCGGCATTCTGGATAAACGCTGGAAATTTTCCGACGTACAGCTCGCGCGTAAATGGTCCCGCGATTTTAGATGTCACCAGCCGACGCGCATGATCGACATCCACCGCCGAGTCCTTCTCACCGTGCACAATGTACACCGGAGGGAAGGATCGCCTCTGCTCCTCCGTACTGCCTCTCAGGAAAGTCACTACATCCGTCTTTTGCAACCAACCGTCATCTCTCTGTTGCTGTGTAAACAGAAGTGATGGGAAGAGCGCCTCCTGCTGAGCATGCATGTAGAACTTCTTCCTGTGCTCCACCGCGGCTGTGTTCGCAGTCACTGGCGCATTCGGATCGCGGAACTCAGCAAGGAGGAAGCAGCGGGTAAACAGAGGTCGAGTAGGATTGAGACTTGGCGCTTGGCGAATCCGAATGTGAGTGTGCGCATCGTGGATTCTTCCTTCTTGCGGATGAGACCGGATAAGTTGATGTTGCTGGTGAATTGAGGAAGTGATGACCAGAACAGGCTCAGGTGGAGGGGCAGCAAACAACGGCTCCACAAACGTTCCTGCAAGGTTGAAAGAAGCTTTTCTCCGCATTCTCGCCCGGAACGCATCCGCGGCCGGTCCGTGCTGTTTGTCGCTGTTGTTGATGTGACCTTAACAACCGCCTAAAATTGGCTTCCGAGGTGCAGCCAACTTCTCATCTTCTCTTCTTGACTCGGCCCGTGCGCTGCCACGCATGTCTGCAACGCGAGAGCCCGATTCGACACAACAGACACACACGCGAAGCATTCGATGCCGATCCAATTCAACAGTGTTGTTCTCAAGCCACGTCTCCACCTTCCAAATCCAACACCATCTCCTGCTTGCCTCATTCTTGCATCGCATCGCAACACAGCCATGCCTTCGATCCAAGTCTCATCCGCCGGTCTAATCGGTACCCTATTCGAACGAGCACAAGATGCCATCTTTGCTCTCTCCTCCTGTTTACCATGCACACCTGAAACCTCAGTCCTCAAACTCAACGGACGCAATTTTCAAATCGTCAAGCTTCTCGGCGAAGGTGGATTTAGCTTCGTCTATCTCGTTAAAGATCAAGAATCAGGACGACTGTTCGCGTTGAAGAAAATTCGATGCTCTGGATACGGCGCAGATTCGTTTCAGGAGGCAATGAAGGAGATTGAAGCGACAAAGAGGTTTCGTTCGCCGCACATTATTCCCATCTATGACAGTTGTGTTGTGCAAGATGATGCTGGGTCCGGTACTCTTTTTGGTAACCTGCCTTCGAATGACCCTGATAGCGGAGGAGGAAGGGGTGGAGATGGAGGGAAAGTGATCTATCTCTTCCTACCATTTTACGAGAAGGGGAATCTTCAAGATGCAATCAATGCACATGTTGTGCGAGGGACACGATTTGGAGAGCGAGAAATGTTGCAGTTGTTCCTTGGAACTTGTAAAGCTGTGAGGGAGATGCATCAGTATCGGTTACCCAACGTTGGCGTCACTCGTCGAAGTGCAGGAGCGTCATCAACACCACGAATGGAAGTTACACCTCCACAAGATCCCTTTTCCGATTCTCAAGCAGCAGCAGATGAAGCACCACTTCTCGACGGAGATCACGACGAAAACAACGCCTCTTATCCACCCAAACCCAACAAAGGCAAAGGTCGAGATTTCAGCGACACAGTCACCCAACCCTCCCTCGACGGCGGCATCGAATCCGGTTCATCCGGTGAACTCCTCCCCTATGCACACCGAGATATCAAGCCAGGCAACGTAATGATCGCTGACGATGGCAAGACACCGGTCCTTATGGATTTCGGATCAACCATCAAAGCTCGAGTTCATATCAAAACGCGTAAAGACGCAGTAGCACATCAAGATCTAGCTGCTGAACGGTCATCCATGCCTTACCGCGCACCAGAACTGTTCGACGTGCCAACGGATACAATGTTGACAGAAGCAGTGGATATCTGGTCGTTGGGTTGTTTACTGTACGCGCTGGCATATCTGCATTCACCGTTCGAGACGACTCAGACGATCGAACAAGGTGGTTCTATTGCAATGGCAGTGCTGAATGGAAGTTATAAGACACCGCCGAGTGGGGAAGATCCGTACTCGGAAAAGACAAGGGAGATTATCAAGAGATGTATACAGGTCAAGCCAGAAGACAGACCGGCGATTGATGAGGTTATTGAGTTGACGGGGGCTGCTTTAAGGGGGTTGGAGTGAGTCGTTGGAGGTTCATGTATAGAGTAATCTCATCCGACATATGTCCATGTTCTTATCTGCGGAGTGTGATGAGAGTTGAGACAGCTCAAAGCTGCCACTGAGCTTTCTTCGGAACAGCGTCGTGGCTTCTTTGTACTCGTGACTCCGTCGCTTGACGCTGAAAATCCTACCCTCCGAATGAGAGGAGGATGACAGAATCAGTGGAGTTTGTCAAAGACAATCTTGATGAATTCTATACGCAGTGCTTGCTGGGATAGCTGCTTCAGACGTAGTTATGGTATAGAAGTGCAGAGGGTACGAAGGGAGCCAGCTGGGAATTTTGTCGAAGGAAGATTCGAAACTGCGTACAAAATGTGAGCACAAATTGAGGCAGCAAAAAAACAAATCAAGTTGCTTGAAGGCATCCTTTGCATTCACAAATTGCTGGCTGAAAACACCGTGTCCACGTCAGGACTGCAGTATGACAACCAAGATATTATTGCTGTTCCTGATCAACTTCACCACGCATGACTCCGACTGAGTCACCTTGAGTTGCAGCTCTATTGGTTTGGTGTGTCACGAGATGGTAGCCGACCCATGCGCGCGAACACCTGACCCTACATTTCAGGAACGTCCTGTCTTGCGGAGCTCCACCTTTGTCACGCATCTCACCTGATGCTCCTTAGGTTGCAAGCTCGAAGCGGTCAGAAGCGACGTTTGCTCGTCAAAACGGTGCTGTAAGAAGAGAAAGGGGAAAGACAGACTTGCGGCGGAGCCCTTTGTGAAGATGTGGTTGTCCCGGCGCGCCAACGGCCGGAGCTTTGTGAGTTTCGATCTCAGCTCGTCAAGCACAAGCTCCTCCCGCACGACGTGCCTGAAGTTAAGCGGAGGGGAGAAAGGGTGTTGATGCAAACCGTCGGCAAGGAGAAAAAACCGTCCGACCGGTAAGAGAAGGGTTTGATACCGATGCTGCTTGGAGGGTTGCTTTACCGGCTGCAATCGCTGTTCTCTTCCATCGTTAGAGTGCTGGAGGTTGATCTTCTTTTGGATAACTCAACCTTGTTTTGCTGGGTTTGCCGCCTGTTCACTTCGGTGCAACTCTGCCCCTCAAGAAATATAGCTCGCTGTCTCTAATGGTGCCAGACGATGTAAGCTTACTCCATGGCGGTCGATACGTTGCAAGCCGCGACGAAAAGAGAAAATCGTCGTCGTCTGAGCGAGGCAAGGGTGGTGATAGCAGCAGCGTGGGAAACACCATTACCATGAAGCGTGACACACAATTTCTTCTGCAGTGCAGTCATCATCAAGCCTCACACATGCAAGTCAATGCAGCGCCACTCGTATCCCTCTGCTTATTCGATTTTTGTATGCCGGAACAACCGGCGCGGTGTCGAGAGGGGCCGCCCGACCTATCAAAACTCCCCCTTCTCAGTGCAGTATATCAACGCTTCAACGTATAGGACGAGCGTAAGAAATCAGCGAATCGAGTATTGTAACAAGTTGATGCCGAAAAAAGCTACCCAAAACAGATGGCGATGACATCGAGGAGGCACGTTAAGAGGCGCAGAAAGAGGCAAGGCCGGTATATTTCGGTAAACTTGACCCCAAGAGGCGAAAGAGAATCAATCATACTTTGCACTCGCAGGAACTTGAATTCTCTTTCTTCGTCCAACACGCAATACCCAACTCGATCAACAACCTTTCTGAAACCTGAAGGAAACCTTGTGGCGGAGGAAGATGATTTCAAGTGGCTGTAACATTGGAATAAGCGGCTTGCCCTCGTTTAAGTCAAGACCGATAGTTTGTTGTTGCTTTCTTGTTTGGCGGCGCGGGGGAGGAATGGATATCCGGGGGCTGGAGGCTTGGTTCCGCGGGGTTTTGTTGTTTTTGTTTTTTTTTTTTTTAATCTTGAGAGGGAATGTCAGTGCCGTAATTTCCACTTCCGCTGGATTTTCGCCGAAGCTTTCGCCAACCAACCAACGGTTGGAGTTATTCCCTCCACCCGCCTCTTTCCTTGTCTGGAAGTGCCTTGCCCGTGTCACATATCTCGCTGCAACGCTGAGACAGAGCTGTCACACATCCTAACCCTCGCTTCCTTCGCGGCGCAGAGTTCTCCGAATTGAGAACTGCGCTAGCTATAGACATGATCAAGCCGCCCCTCGAGCTATGCTTAGTCCAGGTACGAACCCAACTGCAGCCTGGGAAGTGGGCTTGGATCTTCGATCCGAGGCTTTCGAACGATACCATGTGTTCCTTTACTTCTCTCCTTGTTCTTGCTACACTGCTGGCCGTTTGACCCTTCCCGGTTTGCACTTCGCTTACCCACCCCGCACATCAGCATACTTTTCGCTTCTCGAAATGTTGTGGGGGCTCTGCGGGGTCCCCTCATTGCTTTTGCCGGAACCAATCATCTCCTGACTCCGCGCACTCGCATGGTGCCAAGGCTGGGTACCTATAGCTTTCCTCTGCGCATGTTTATCTAGCTTTCGCTTTCCGCAGTACACGAGTTCATCAGCGGAGGTTGTTCTGTCTGTAGAGAGATGTAAGGAAACAAGGTTTGCGTATATGTGTGGGTGGGGCACGCCACCACTGTTGGCGCGCTTGTTCATCGATACTGCAAGCCACCTTGAGACATCCTGCCTCATGTGTTGCGGTTTGTCTTTAGTTGTAAACCTTGTGCGCGGATGGTGAACCCTGTGGAGAATACACATATAAGGATGAGAGTTAGACTCTAGCTTTTGGCCTCTCGATCGACCCTCTCCTGGCCAGCCCTCTCTCCTCCCTACCTCTATCTGGAACCAGCACAGTAGGTGGACTTATCTATAACACACCTCCTCCCCTCAAAACCTCCTCCCCTCAAAACCTCCTCACCCCTTTCCCCCTATCCCTTCTAGCAAAGGAAGCAGCGCATCAACAATGTCGCAACCAGCCTCCACCCCCAACTACATCCCCGCCGACCAACTGCAACAGGACGTCTCTGACAAAGACAACCACTCCAACTCCTCTCACCACTTCCAACGAGCCCATCGCAAGAATGGAGAACTCGAACTCGGTGTTACCGAGATTCTCGAAGGGCGCACCGATGTTCAACGCACCGTCGCTCACTCTTCCGGTCTCGCTCACTGGCCCGGTCGTGTTCGTCTCGAACAGGCTATGCCCAGGCTTATCCCCGCTTTGATCGCTGAGTTCTTCGGAACCATGTTCTATTGTCTTGCAGGCGAAATGGCTACTGCTGGCTTCTTCGTCACTACCGCTGCAGGCTCTCCTCAGGGTAACTTGACTATGATCGGTTTCGCCTATGCTTTCGGTATTACGTTCGCTATTGTCGTTTGCGCTACTACTTCAGGTGGACAGTTCCACCCTGCTTTTACTATCGCACAGGTCGTCTTCAAAGGTTTCCCCATCAAACTTGCCCCGCTCTACATCGCTGCCCAGCTGGTCGGAGCTATGGTCGCCTCGCTCATCGTTATCGGCTCTTGGCACGAAGAGCTGATGCATATTACCCACTTGCTCCGAGCAACGGGCAAAGGTGCACAGATCTTTACAGCTGAAGGACCCGCCGGTGTCATCGCTCTCTTCCCCACTCCCGGTCGTTCGCTCGGTTCGATCTTTGTCAATGAATTCTTCGCAGATCTCCTCGTAGCCATGATCGTGTGGGCTAACCTTGATGCAGCCAACCCATTCACCGGTCCTCAAGTCGCACCCTACACGATCGGATTGGGTTTCGCAGTGGTCGTTTGGTGTTTCTCGAGCTCCAACGTTGCTGCCAACTCTGCTAGGGATGTGGGTGCAAGGTTCGTCTGCGGTATGTTCTGGGGTAAAGAGTGTTTCCCCAGTGGATACACCGCTCTTGCTGCATTGACCAACATTCCAGCAACACTGATCGGATGCGGTATCTACACGTTCTTGCTGAGCGACACCAGGAGGCCTCCTGCGACGGTTGCGCTCAACCACTTGCACGAGGAACACGTTAGGTCGATCGAGAAGGCCGAAGCTCTGCATGCCGAGTTGTTGGATCAGAAGATCTCGAAGACCTTGAGCAAAGGCGGTGATGCATCGGCATTGCAGAAGAAGAGGACGAACCTTAGCGTTAAGAACTTCTGATTGCTTGTACTACTTTGGTCTCGTAATGTCCTTTTTCCTTCTCCTTGATCTTTCGACTGTCCGTTGTCCGTATATGATGCGATGTTCTGAGTGTGCAATGTTCCGTATGCTGGGTTTGCTGTGTGTTGTATGCCGTGTTGCTGGAAATTTTTACCATTCTACTTGATCTTTTGCGGCCTGACCAACCAGCCACAGCACTACTTCCTCTTCATTGTGCAGCTGCTTGACGAGAGCCAAGCTCCTCGCCCATCCCTCCTGATCTTGCTCGATACCAAGGTGGTTCACACTCGAAAAGAGAAGAGCCTCTGCTTCAGCGAGACTTTGCCGAGCTTGCTCCGAATTCCTCCTTCGTTTGTTGCAGAGATCCACTAGAATCGCATGCGCTCGCTCCTCGTTCTCATCCGACACCTTCTCTCGGTACCCAGTAAGAGTCTCCTCCCATTTGGCAAGGTCGGAAGTTTCGACATTTGCGTTGTATGGCAGCTTTTTGCCCGACTTAACTCCTGGTTGGGCCTTTGTCTTGGTCACTTTTGGCGCACTACCACCACCCTCCTTTGCTGCTGCATTCATACCCAGCGCTGCCAGCCTGAGTGCTGGAATGAGCCGATGCGAAGGATGTGCAGGCTCAGGATAAGGATGGATAGTAAACTCTCCCCAATAGCCTCTATTTTGAAGCAATTCGATCTTTGCTTCCCCTTCCTTACCCTGTGCTGTTAGTAGCGCTTCTACTTCTTTGTCGAATTGAATATCTACGTATCTGCTACCCTTCCACTTTGCACTCAAAGTCTCACCCGTGAACTGAAGCTTACTTGGCAGCAGGAACCCATACTCCGAAAGCAGACACTCGTTGGAATGCGGTCCATAGGTAATGAAGCATTCGTCCCCGGCATTACCCATGCATGATTTCCTTTCCGCTAGCGTCTGCTGGTCTGCACAGGGAGCGCTGAGTTCCAGCCCGCCATCTTTGGTGTAGTTGACTTTACACTCGAGTGCGGGATCGGGAGTGTGGTTGGCCATATCGAGCATCGGTGCGAGAGTGAAGTTGTCTGCGTGTTCTGCCAGGCTGAGAGGTAGAAAGACACAGCGGGAGTTGACGCATAGCCATGACCAGAGAAAGAGTTCTTGGTCGATCGAATGAACAATGTCGCGAGCCAAGTCCGGGTTCGAGGTGAGGAGTGGAGGTTCAGCGAGCATGTCGGGTTTAGATGAACGCATGGAGCAGATGGCAGCCCAGTCCTTGTCGAATCGTTGTCGAACCTTGAGTTGGAGCTCATGGCTGTGCTGTGGAAGCGCTTGTAGCAGGATTTGGTGGATGCGTTGTTTCCAGGTGCCCAACTTGGTTGACTCTCCATTCTTCCCGAGAGCGCGGGCGTGAAGAGACCAGGTCAAAGGAACGGTGTCAAAGCTAGTTGGTAGCGTCTTTACGAAGAGCTTCAGCGCCTCATGTCTTGTCGTCGTAGCGTTAGATCCGCGCTTGACATTGAGTGCTTCCTCGACCTTGGTCCGTGCCAGCAGAAGCGACAGCAGCTGAGCAGAAGACAACCTATGGTCGCTCTTCTTAACACTCGCCGCAATACTTGCGATGTTAGGAGGCGTATCAGGGTGAAAAAAGGTCCTGAAACTCTTGACGTTGATCAGAGCCTCTGGTGGCAATCTCATCAGAACTTGTTCTGGCTCGACAGGTTGGGTGAAGACCAAGCCTCGACCTACGGGGACTTGGTCTGATACCTGGACGAGAACCTTGTTGCTCCCACCATCATCTTCAGGCGTTGCGCTGGGATGCTTCTTGGCTGAGCTTGATGTGAGAGGAAAGAGAGAAAGAAGCTGAGAGAGAAGGTGGTTTTGCTCAGCAACCGAGCTGCTGCTCTTTTTGGCGACGGTCATTGGTGACAGTTAGGAAATCGGAAGAAGCGAAAAATGAGGCAGTGCCTCGCTCTTCCGCGTTCAACTGAGGGTCACCTGACTTGCATTACGTGTCCCTCTCTACCGTGGGAGAAAGTGGCTGATAGGTCGGACGGGAGATGCCGAAGCTGAATGATGGTTGTCGGAAGTACCGAAAGTGATCCGGATATATGGAATGAGAAGAAAGTGTTTCATAAACAGGCCGTTCAGGGTCCCGGAAAAAAGAAAAAAGAAAAAAGAAAAAAGAAAAAAGAAAAAAGAAAAAGCTTCAACCTTGACCGGAACTCGGACTTCTCTTCGACTTTCCTTTCACTTCACACCCACTTGCTCGCCGTCAGGGCTCTTGAAGCCGAAAGAAGGATGCCCACGCCGCACAAGCAGATATACACAGGCAGAATCAATGTAATGCAAAGGCATATACTACGTCAAAGAGCGATGATTATGTACAGTCTATAGTAAGGTATTGCTCTTCTACCTGCTCAAGCAGGACTGCGTCCACTGTGTGAGCTAGCAGCATAACGAGTCGTCCCTTGTGTCGATCCAACGTGCGAGTGCTCGGTAGCCGACCTCTCTGACTTTTCCACCTCGACAAACTCGGCAGCATTGTACACCTGACCTTTCTCCTTGTTCCTCGGCAAGAACCAACCAGGGTGGACAGGCACAAATACGGCGATCGCAATCAACATCATCAAGGCATCCAAAATGTCAAAGTACACCTCTGTGGTAGCCAAGTATCCCAACCAACCCTCAGCCATCTCTACGATACGGTAAATGCATCGCACCAGCACAAACAGTGTACTGACACCAATCACAGCGGTAAAGAGCTCCACCTTCTGATGCGGGCGTTCCTGTTTCGGCAGCTTGGATTTGGCCCAATCGCCTAGTCGACGAATGTTGTAATCCAGATAGAGCACGAGGAAAGGAGCTGTGACTGCCACTTGAACGGTAACACCGGCGATCATGACGTTTTTCCCGAGGTTCACTTGATCTTCCGTCTCTGCTTCCGCCGACATTGCACCACCGACAGCTTGTACGATGAGCGAGCAAAGATCTCCGGCACAGAAGCCGAGGACGTACCACTTGCGAGGGATACGTGACCATTTGTTGCCAAACACATCCATAACGTTTTGGAATGCGACGTAGTTGACTGCCGAGATGAAGGCTGGGCTGAGAATGAGACAGATGATTTGGGCGATGTAGCCGTTGCGGTTGAATGGGTCGACGTGTCCGTAGGTGCGGGCGATCCAGCCTGCCAGTTCACCTGCTGCACCGACAATGGCGATCAACATGAACTTGGGGAAGAGTCGGTGGTATGTGAGTAGAGCAATGTGGATGAGCATCAGCACACCGAAAAGGCAAGAGAAGACGATGCCTGTCCATAGCTCTGGTTGGAAACCGTACGAGGAGTTCTCGGGGTTGCAGAGCGCATCTGGCCTCAAGTCGACCGATGTGCATGGGGAGCCTACCGCCATCTTGACGGTCTTCCACTTGGACTAGAATCGAGGTGAGTGTGTTCTCGATGGAAGATCAGGTCTGTAAAGATGGTTGAGGCTGAGCAGATAGCGAGAAGAAAAAAAGGGGGGTGATCGAGGATGGTTTGAGGTGCAGGTTAGCTGGCGACAGGAACTAGGGACGGGTGAGTCTATATACTCGCCTCGTCTCGAGCTGATGCGGTACCAACTCACTCAGTTGCGTTTCCATGAAGCGCAAGTACGAAAGAGTTTAAACTTGTATTGACGTCGTATAACAAGTTGACACGCAGGGACCAACGCCAACGTCTTTGTGCTGATCCATGTCCAGCGTTACTGCATTAGCGTCGTTTGTCGTTTGTCGTTGCCATTGCTGCTTTGCTTTGCTTCTGAAACGCAGCGAATTTTATTTTTTTCCGAACGCTCGGCTTCCAGCGCCAGACTAAAGTGTTTGTCCGATGTAAGCGAGCTGCTTGCGTGGGAAATAGGATGCTCAGTAGCGAGGAGGTTAGCCATGTTCAGTGATTCACGTCCATCCTTGACGGGAAGCATTATCGACGATCGATGTGCGAAACGCTGCTCAGCATATGGAGAATGGCAGTGCGGCGAGTAGCGATCAACGTGGTGGTACCTCCGATAAACGATTCCCGTACAAGCTTGCAAAGCCGCAACATGCCTTGTTGCTAGTACACATGTCGTGGGGAGGCGATCTCTGTCTGCATCCCAACGGCGAGTTAGTATCCACCATCGAGAAGCATGGAAAGTGGGAAAGAGGCAATTGGCGAAACGCGCTACAGCATAGCGGAGGTCGAGTTCCGTTTGTGTCTGTCGAATCGGTGCACCTCCACGGAGACTCTTTTCTCTTTTCTTTTTTCTCTTTTCTTTTTTCTCTTTTTCTCTTTTTCTCTTTTTCTCTTTTTCCCTCATTCTGCTCGCCTTGTAGACGAGTCGTGCGAATGGAACGTGCGCTCGTTTCAATGGTGGGCAAAGGCACGTGACCTGAGTCGTGTCACTTCATATCGCTCATCTCATCTCCTGTCTCTCTCGTTGCTTCTTCTCCATCATCTTCTCTCCTCTTGCGCAAGCTTTCTCCTGGCCGCGCTTCGTCAGGTTCACCCTCCCTTCCCTCCCTTACCTTCTCACGCTGGTTCATGCTTCTCACGTTTAGTTCCTTTGTACTTCGTTCTCACGCACATTCCGCCTCGCTCTCACGCGGCGCTCGACCGGCCGTGCCTCTTACGGCCACGGCTGGGAGCCCGCAAGCGACTCACCTGAGTTAGGCAATTTAACATTCTGACACAGACTTCAGGCACGTGAGATAACTCACCGTTGATACCGAATCGCACTAAATCAGACTAAACTCTGCAAGTACCGAAGCTGAATCAGAAACAGCGAGGTGCTTTGAGACCTTGCTTCTCTCGACCTCTGGCGTCCACGATGATTGCAGTGGTGCGGTAGAGAACAGGATGGCTTGCTTTTCGTGGTACCTCTGTGGCTGGCGCTGTTATGTTGGCCTGCATGAGAAAACTTGGGAAAGCCACCTGCGCACTATCTCACTGTAACGCTGCTATCTTCCGTTGCGCCCAACCTTTGTCGCGATTCGACACGAGAGCGCAAGTGCGTTTCGAGGAGGGAGCAAGTAGTCCAGTACTACAGAGATCATCGTTCTTTACCGAGGACAGAAAACAGTCACGATGTTCGCCTAAGCCAAGGCGTTAAGCGAGGGTCATGGTTAAGATCGAGGCGTTTCCATTCAAGGACGCTTTGACCTTCCGTCCCACCAGCTTTGATCGGAATCTGCAATGCAATGCAACAAAGAGTCAACTACAACATGCCAAGGTGTACGAAAGAGGAACCTTATACATGCCGCCATGGCCTTTGTCGTCACAACATCTGGTCAGCGAGAGCCTCAGGCGGTCGTGCTACGACGGTATATGACCGAGAATTCGAGATATTCGGCACAACAAAAGGGAACGATTACGAGCCGCCGGCGAATGACTCCTGAGTGAGCACGTAGGTCACCTTCCCATCAGCACAACGCCCCGGTAGGTCGTCATCGATATCGATGGAGACCGCGAGTGATTGAGATGATGTCGGTCAACAAGTTCATCCTGCTGAGTTTGAACCTCGGACACAGCCACCGCTGGCCACGAGGTCCACATGCAGGTACGGGGAGTTGAGCGCAGGAACACAAGACTTCTTCTGGTCGAGGTGCAGAACCAAATCCGCTCCTTCATGTCAAGTATCTCGCTGCCATCTGTCCGCCAGCAACACCAGCTGCTGGGCCACCGGGCGTCTGGCATTATTTTTGTGTTGTCACAATTGCAGCTCTAACAAGCTCAACATTTTGCTGGGCGGACACAAAGCAGCTAAGCAAACGCCGAAGGCACAAAATGACGTAGAGTCTCTGCACGTTGAGCCCACATCTTGCGGCTTATCCGCCGCACAATGAAAAAAAAAAAAAAAAGAAAAGGTTTGACATGCTCAAGCCCTTCCCCACACCCCTGCTCTGGTTGCAGAGGCATCAATCCGGATACGATCTCAGGCAAGCAGCCGAGCCATATCCCAGCCGTAGCAGCGGACATCACTTGTTCCTGAACGACCACCATCCACCCTCCTTGCCAAGATACAAGGGTTTGTCTCCAGCTTTACAACCTTTTCCGAACCATAACTATAACCCTTCAAGAGCTGACAGGTGAATATGTCGGCGCCAGCTGAAGGACCTAAAGTGCTCCTCACTGGAGTATCAGGCTTCGTAGGATCTCATGTCCTCGACCAACTCCTAAAATCCGACCGCAACTACCATGTCACCTGTGTTATTCGATCCAAAGCCAAGACGGAGCCCTGGCTATCTCGCCAATTCGCAGATGAATTTGGAAAACGCATTCATGTTGTCCAAGTCTCTGACCTCCTCGCTCCCGGTTCTCTCGACCAACCCGTGCTGGGCAAAGACTACATCGTCCACGTAGCATCCCCTTACGTCCTCAAAGCATCCAATAACAAACGCGATATTATCGACCCAGCCCTCAAGATGACGCAAAACGTCCTTTCAGCAGCCTTAAAATCTGAACAAGCTGACAAAACCGCCGGTCGCAAACCTCAACTCAAGCGTATCGTCCTCACCTCCTCTTTCGCTGCTATTCTCAACCCGCTTCGAGGTATTGAGAAAAGAGACTACACGTATACGGATAAGGACTGGCAACCGATTCAGTACTCCTTTATGGGTTATTTCTACTCTCCCCTCGCCTACCTCATTTCTAAAACCCTAGCGGAAAAATCAGTATGGAACTTCCTCGACCAGCACAATCCTAGCTTTGACGCTGCAACCGTCAACCCACCACAGATCTACGGCCCCATCATTCACCAAGTCAAATCCGAAGAGGCTATCAACACCTCTTCCGCCGAACCCTGGAAACTTTACAAAGCTGGTGGACCCAATGGAGATGGTAAAATTCCAGTGGAAAGCTTTTGGTCGTTCTGCGATGTGCGAGACGTAGCTGAAATCCACGTCAAAGCGTTGGACAACCCAAAGGCGTGCAAGACGAGGTACGTCGCTTGTGGTGGAAGTGTAAGCTGGCAGCAAGTGGCCGATGAGATACATGATAATCCAGAGTATCCACAGGAATTGAAGCATCACATTCCGAAGGGTGAACACGGGAAACAACATCGACCTAATCCACTGGCAAAATTGGATACAAGTAAGGCAGAGAAGGATCTAGGGATCAAGTTCAAAGATTGGAAAGATTCGGTGATTAAAGGTTCCCTCTATAGTTTTGTCGAGATTGAGAAGAGTTGGGGTCGATAAATAATTTTCTCCCTCCAAGTTCCGGGCATTGTTAGCCTTACTTCTAAAACACATGCTGATACCGCCCCACCAAGATCTCCCGCTGCGTGCCTGTTTTATGTTCCGTCTGCCCTGGCCTCTTCTGATGCTCGAATACAATCTTGCTCCCTCATGATCCGATGTTGCTGTGATGATGCTGATAGAATGTAATTTTGCGTGTGTTGAGTACAGGAGGGTTGCGATTCATTCAATGTGACCCTCATGGTCGACAATTCAAGTTCTGTAGTAAGAAGAAACGGGAAGAGCAGCAGAGAAAAGTTCAGCAAGGGAACCGAAAGCAAGCAAAGTTGGGGTCGGTCTGTGATACTGACTCAACACGATGACCGCTGGCAGCCTGTTTAGCCGCTTGCAGCGCGCCCAATGCAGCTCCTACACCACTTCCATCCTTTGCAAGACCGATCTTGACGCGCTTCTCGCCCTCGTCGCCAATCAATTCGCGTAGTGCACTGCGCATGCGTACCTCGAAGTCTGTCACAAACACGAGCAAGTAAGAAGAGAGGTTAGCCGACAACTTGCAACAACCCGAGCTAAAGAGGCGAGCGTTTGCTACTTACTTGGATAATACTCAATCACACTACCATCCATGCCCACTTTCACTCCATCATCTTCCGGTCCCGTACTCTGCACGTTCCCAGTCTGAATCATAGTCGCCGCAATAGCTACAGCGCTCAATCTAGCCGCTCTCGTTCCGACAATCTCGCATACCTTCCTTACCGTCTCCACATCTTCCGCTGAGACATACTCAGGCTTGATCTTCATCGTTTCCACCAGCACTTTCCTGGTCGCACTGCTAGGCGAACTGGCATCCTCCTTATCAGCTTCGACCGCAGACATGTACGCCGTATCGAAAGCATACTGCCTATTCATCAACGCCGAGCTGTACCCCTGGAACAACACCAACTGATCGATCAAGTGCAAAAGCACACATCTAGCCACTTCGCCAAGGTACATGCCCGAGATCATCTTCTCAAAGATATGATTCCTTGGTCTGATCGATTCCCTATCCACCTTATTATCAAAGATAGTCACGGGGAGAGCTTTACGCTGATCATCGAATCCACCCCATTCCGTGTTGACGACCATGTGACTGATCGATCCTTGCGCAGCCTTGAGTTTCTTGATCTTATCAATGCTTTCCAGATAAGCGCCATTGGTACCGGTACCAAAGATAGCACTGATCAGTGCACCTTTCGATGCATAAGCATGGGCCAACAGCGCACCTACGGTATCGTTGACAAGAGCACTGCATTTGACTTTAATATGCTTCCTATCCAACGATTCCTGCAACAACTGAACCACATCCTTCCCTGGTGCATCCGGGCAGTTGAAACCTTTCGTCCAATGAATCAAGTGTCCGCGATCAATCGCCGATTGCTCCACCGGGAAACTAAATGTCAAGCCCAAATGAAGAACATCCTCGGTGGAAGCAGTACCGAAGTCGGTCAAGAAGTTATCAACGCTTCTTGCCATATAATCAAAGAGATCGCGAACAGGTCCTTGCTTGAGCGCATCCGAAACGCGATACTTTTCCTGTTTGATGGAGAAAGTGCCTTTGCCGTCCAAAGCGACTTCGCAAACGCGAAGATTGGTTCCACCGAGATCGAGAGCGAGGTAAGTACCCTTTTCGGAACCGGTGGGGACTCCGGTGACGAAGGATGGAATCATTTGCATTTCAGCTCCATCGTGGGAGAGACCGTAATCGTAGAGTTCATGGAAGCGGGCGATGAGGGATTCCAGAAGAGGTTTGGAGAGGGTGAATTGCTCGACGATGGAGGAAAGGGCTTGTTGCCGTGAGACGGGCGGAACTGCCGGCATCGTTGAAACACTTTCGGATGAGTCTTCCGATAAGGTTGAGTGACGGTGATGGTGACGGGGGGGGGGAAAGAAGGTTGGGTTTGGGATGGAACCGGGTGCGGACCCGAAGTAAGTGGTGATGAGGCGGATGAAAGGGAGGAGAGGGGAGGAGAGCACGGGGAATGAAGTCAAGTCGAGGAAAGAGGATTGGTTAGAACGAAGCAAGAAGAACCATGGCTGATGCGCACCAACCACGCAGACCTAGCAAATTGAAGCCCACTCAAGCACAATTATTCAACCCAAGCGAGGCCACAAGCGAAGCGAAGGGTATAGAGTCACGATGGGCAGCAGCAACATCAAACGGCACCGCGTGTGTTGGGAGCAGAAAGAGCGGGATGCGAAATCAAGTCCGTAAGCTTGGCAGAAGAGAGAGAGAGAGAGAGAGAGAGAGAGAGAGAGAGAGATGGGCCGAGCATTAGGAAGTATCAAACTTTTCGCGTTTCTAAAAACGCGGGTTTTTCGAAGCTGTGTGAAAGTATGTGAGCTCTAGTTCGATCTCACACCTTCGTCACCTTCGCTCACTCGGATCCGTAGCATGTTGGCCTACGACAGGCATCGGCATACCGGCTATCCGATACCCAAGGAGGAGAAGATAGATGCCCCGTCATGTTTCATATGCTTACTGTTAGTTTGTGTCTCTTATCGGCCGTATGAGTACCTCGCGTTTTTGTAAACTTGCGTTTCCTTATTTCCTCCAAAAGCGCGCCCTCGAAAAACCCACGTTTTTAAAAACGCGAAAAGTCTGACAAATAGCAACAGCGACTGCTCTGTACGGACGAACTCTTCCTCACTGTACTCGCTCGCTCACTCAGGCACGACAGTGTGACTATTGTGATGCAGACTAGGGGGTTTCAGTTATCTCTGAGTTTTGAAAACACAATACTTTGAAAATATGTTTGGGCCCAATTTTTGATGCCCCAAGAAACTGCACAGGCCTGTGACACATGCATCTTGGAGTTTCACTTGACTTGCCTGGTAAAAACAATCTCTGATTCCCTACACCAGGTCAAGATCAAAGTGATCATATCAGACATTGTTGAACACTATACTGAACAATGCCAAAACCTTTGATTGAAAAGCTAAAGCAAATAGCTTACATCACACCTGTTCTGATTGCTGTCTTCTGCAAGCCTCATGCTGTTGGTTTTGTCTCTCCTGCCATTCAGCAAAGGCCAATGTTGTCATTCCCATCCTTTGAGATTCTGCTGTTGTGTCCTCAAAAGGGCAACCATGAGAAGCAAAAAGTGCAGTGAGCATCTCCTCCCTAAGATCCAGTGCTTTCTCCTGCCTGAACTTCTGGACTTGGTTCTGAGACATGCCCTCCATGGCAGCAGCCTGTTCCTGTTCATATTGCTGCTGGTTTTCCCTTTGTTGTATCCTTGCATCTTCAGTAGCCTGCTGATATGCTTCCATCCCTGACGTGGTCTCCAGCACCTCAGCTTCAGATAGAGTTTCTGATGCCTTAAGGTATTCTGCCACCTCATCTGGTCGATCATAATGGCTTGCGAATGTATGTGCAATGATACAAGCCTGGACCATATGTGCAGCTTTCTCATGGTCCTCTTCTTGATACAGGTTGCCTCGAAATCCAATGAGACATTGGAAGTGGTTCTTGAGGTAGGCAATGCCATGTTCGGCCTTGACACAAATGCAGGAGAGTGAATAGTTGAAGTAGTGGAGATCTCTGCTCTTTGCAGCTGCAGTGTTGCTGTATGGTCCAACTGTGTAGCTGGAGTAGCCATAACCAGCATCAACCCAGACAAACTCGCCTTCATCAAGATGCAAACGAGGCTTCGCAACAATACCACTGCCTGAAGCCCAGACTTGTGCATCATGTGATGACCCAGGTGTAAGCGGTCGCGCGCCAGAGACTAGCTGGGGTTGATTGAGTAAGGACTACTCGATATGATTCACCTAAATGTAACCAAGCATCATCGCCTAGTAAGTCTCGACTGACCGCCTTGAACACTCCATTCAGAGGTTGCACGGCATGGACATTGTTTGTTGGTGAGTGCATGATACACCCTCCCCTACAGTACGAGTGTTCATAGTACTGTTGATATGCTCTTGGACATCATCTGGACTGCGATATGCCAATCGCCTACAGAGAACCTGAGTTACTGGACCACTGGTGTAAAACACCACCTACAATAACCGACTGGACCACTGGTGTCGAGCAACACCACCTACAGCAAGGAACTGGACTGCTAGTGTGAGAACACCACCTACAGTAATGAACTGGACCACTAGTGTAAAGAACACCACCTACAGTTGTCAACTAATGGTGATACAACACACACATTGAGAGTCATTGCAAGAGCACTGCTATTGCGAAGATACGTAACCTAGTAAGTATAGAGTAAGTAGTAGAGTTTTCAGAGTGGATGCCCATCCACTTGAATGCTATGGTAGAAAGAGAGTATTTATATGTTTGATCGGTATTTTCCCTCGACACCTATCCTGCTCCTCTTGAGGGGCCTTTGTCCCCTGTTAGGCACTGCCTTGCCCTGCTGGCATCATCCCCTTCGATACTGTGCTCCTACCATTTTGCTCGGCACAAGGGTTATGCAACACTGCCCTCTCGCCTTCATGCTCTCCTTCTGTCTGATGTGTGATGCCCCCTTCCAGCATGGCCCCCTTTCAACTTAATCTTGTGAATCCCCTTTTGAGCCTCGTGACCATACCCCCTGGTTATGTGGTCACATCAGCTCAGTTCCATCTCAACTTGTTCGGATCAGCCGACTAGTTGAAGCATGCTGATTTGACTGACTCTGATGTCGGCACAGCTCTGAATACTTGTTTGGATCGGCTGACTAGTTGAAGCATGCTGATCTGACTGATTCCAACATCGGCACAGCTCCAAATACCTGTTCGGATCGGCCAATTAGTTGAGGCATGCTGATCCGACTGCCTCCGTCATCAGCATAGCTCCGAGTACTTGTTTGGATCGGCCGACTTGTTGAAGCATAATGGTCCGGCTGACTCCAACTGTTCCCATGAGATCGATCTGGATTCCCGGGGTTCGATTGATCTTGTAAATCATGTGTGCTGCCAACCCAATTAATCTCGTTGATCCCTGATGGTTGTCGACTCTGATCAATCTGGTGCACCCTTCATATGTTGATCTTCTGCGCACCCTTCATATACTGCTCTGTTACGCAACATTATCATAACTGCTGCTGATCATCTGGCACACTCTCTTGCACAGGCCAGCCGTCCCTGTGACATTACCCCCCCTTCCAGAGCTGAGCTCTGTCAAGGTTATATAAGCCCTCCTTTGTCTTTCTTTTCATCCCCTCTTTCTTCTCCTCTTACCATATCATGCAACCGATATCCCTCTACTCGGTATGCCCTGTCTTTGTCATTCTCGTCCTTTGAGGACTTCCCCTTCACCTCCTACTACAATGGTCAAGGTTTCTAACAACGACCCTGCCCCTCAGAGTCTGACTTCTTCTATCCAGACTCCCCTGTTGCCTAGTCCAACTTCTTCTATCCAGACTCCCCTGTTGCCTACATCTTCCCTTCCTGATGACTTGGCCTTCCCAAGCCCAGCTGCTTCCTTGCTTTCCCTCTGCTCCTCCCTTGGGCACATGTACAGACCCAATCCTTCATTCCTTGACCTGGAACGCCCCACGACTTCTTCCTCTGACCATCGTGATGCTGTGGAAGTAGACTTGGCATGTACTCCAGCCCCTCCTTCCCTTGATCATCATGTACCTACCAACGGTGAGATAGCTGGTTGGTCTGAAGGATTGGTGGTGTCTAGGCTGGTGGTAAAAATTGCTACTGGGGACTATCCTCCAGAGTGGGAGGTAGGTAGAGGTTCTTCAACTGAACAGCAACTGCACTGTCTGGCCATGCTTCGAATGACCGAGGGTTGTATGCCCTGGCCTAGCTGGCAATGTGCCCGGTGTGCTAGTCTTAGTCTCCCGTAAGTAGTCTTTTGTACACCATTCTCTTTCTTACTGCCAACACTAACCCCCTTTTTTTTAGTTGTTTTCCTTCTGCATTTGTCAACCCCTTCATCCCTTACAGTTGTGTTCCTCGCACCTGCACTCATTGTCACCTTGGCAACTTGTTGCATTGCAAACAGACAATTCCCGTTTCTCCAGACATGGAGTACCTTGGTGACGGTCCCCCCAACAGGCAGCCTCAGGGCACTTACCTGGCAGAGCATGTGCATCTGACTGTGACCAATGGTTATGGTCTGGGATTTGTTTGTGCCAATGATCAAGTGACTGACCCTGACACCTCCGACGAATGGATATTTGCCATCGGTGTTCTCTGGCACTCACCTAACTGAGCGATGGCATTCCCAATCATTTGGATTCTCTTCTTGTACCTTGATTGTCATGATAAGTTGTGCTCGGAGCATCAACCTCATGAGTCTGTCACAGTACCTGGTGAGAATGCTGATTTCCTCTTCTGAGGATGCTGGGTTCATCCTCCTCTCATTCCTACTCATGAATGCGATGTGTAATGACATGTTTGTATCTGCCCCCAATTCAATTTTCTTTTGCTCCTTTTTTCTCTAAAGCCTATGTCTCTTTTTTTTTTGTTGACTTGCGTGAGATGCTACGAAATTGAACAGAGTTTTTGCCTTCTGTCAATACATTTTGCTCTCCTCCATTTTGTGTCGCTTTTTGTGGAAGTTTTTGTGTTGCTTTTTTGTTGAAACTTATAGTCGTTGTCCCCCTGCCGATTCCTCATACTCCTGGATGAGGGTTGGGCAATCAAGAAGGTCGATCGACTCCCATGATGCTGCTTCTTCTGGGTACCCTTGCCAGAGTACCCTGTATTCGATCTTGTGATTATGAACTCGTTTGTCCAGTAAGGCCTCGACCTCGAATTCGAGGTCCTCCTCCAGTAACAGTAGCTCTACTGGAATCTGCACATGGTGTGGAAGTGTGCTTGTCCTGGCCAGCTCCAACATTGATACATGAAAAATGTCGTGGACTTGG